TTCTATCAAGGATCAAACCTTAAAGAACTATTAGATATTGTAGTATTTATGCGAGATGCTTTCTCCAATGAATACCCTCAAATTATTGGTCAAGTGGAGATTTACCCAAACACCAACGTCAACAATTTGGCTGAGAAAGTGAAAAATAATAAGATTTTGGCATTGGCTGCCACATATGATCGTTCAATTCTCTCCTCTCAAACATCCAGCAATGCTTCTCTTGAAATCACCCTTTACGCTCTTCAACAGTTAAACCTCTCCGCTCTTAATAAGGATAATTCAGAATCCTTACAATCACTAACACTTCTTTCAGAACAAACCTTAATAGAGCATCGCATTGCTTCTGCAATCACTGATAAGCTTGATCAATTCCTAAGTGAAATGAAACAAGTCTATACGAATGAAAAGATGAATTTGGGTTTTGTTCAAAACAAGGCAGATAAGGATTTACAATCTACTCTCGAACTCGTGTCCAATTTAATGAAGAATGGATTTTTCAAGGATGAAATTGTAGAACTTTGTCAACAAATTTCAACCATTGCACAAATTGGAGAGAACCCAACATTGCTCCGTTCTGATTCTTCAAACATACCAAAGTTTTTATTCTCTGAACTTGTGAACATTTCAGTGATGAGCTTCATACCGGATGTTTCTCTTCAAAATCATTCAAAGAATACATTCCTGCAAGATGTAGAGTTCAATATTCCAAATATTCTCTCAAAATATCATGGTTTCTCCCAGGAAATTGGCATCAAGTTGGTCTCCTTTGAAGAGGGAGTGAAAACTCTCCAACACGACCAAAATCAACTCATTTCACCAGTGAAAGATTTCTCCTTCTCAAGGAATATGAAAGATCTTGATTTACGGGATTTGTCAGAGCCAGTAGTGTTATCCTTTACCATTCAAAATCAAGCATTGGATCTCAATATTTCACAACTGTCATGTCGATATTGGAATGAAACGACCGAATCATGGAAAACGAATGGATGCGTGCTGCTGAAGGTGGTGAATGAACCTCGTCAAGTATTTTGCTCGTGCAATCACACGACCATGTTCTCTGTGTTCTTGCATCATGACAATTCCTCGATTATGGAAGAACCTATTCGACAAGAATTCTTGGCGACATTATTTATTGGACAAATAACAGTGGGAGCTGTGTATTTCCTTGTTTCATTAGTAATACTGATTGCACTATTCATCTTTCGATCGGAACAACCTGTCAAGAGTCGATTATTCACTCCCTATGTTGGAATGATCAGCTTGATGATTCAAAGTATTTTAATTTCTATGACTCAGAAAGGAGTTCTATTGTCAACCGTGCAAGAGAACATTTCAACTCAATCAAGTGTTGCAAAGTGGGAGGGCCCATTACAAAGCGCCAATATTCTTGGTAATGTAGTCATGATTATTTCAAATACTTTTAGCATTACTGCCATTGTGTTTTATTTGCTTCAAGTGACTCGATTCCAATTATTGAAATACTTCTATTACAAAATGAGTAGGAGCAATCATGAAAGCTTGCGAAAGACAAAGGAGGTACCAAAACTAATAAGTATTTCAATGACACCAAAGATGATCAAGTTCATGATATCCAAAAAGTTTTCTTCACTCTTGTTAGTGATTTGTTTGGGTTTGAATTTGGCTTTTTGGACTTTATTTGTGATTTTGGTAAGAACAGAAACAATGTTACCCATAACATACACCTTTATTGTGTCAATTTCATACACAGCATTTATATTATGTTGTGGACTATTTATTACGGGCGTCTGCGTGAGTGATTTCCTATATTCATTTATTTTCTCGTCACGAAAGCAACAAACAGATCAAGAAGGTACACAAGTGATGTCCATTGCGACCCAACACACGGATGAAAAGCCTAAAGATAAGAATGGTGAGGTAGTGAAAAAGGTGACACAATGGCTTCAAGTGAAACCTCTTCGAGATTGGTTTGCAACATTGGATGCTCCTCTCTATTTCCGAGTGGAAATGATTTTATTTGTGTTGTGTTACGTCTTTTTAATTTGCAACCAACTGACAGGTCTTTATACCTTAATGAACAAGGAAAGTTCCTCACAACAAGTCATGGTCTTAGATGTGATATCATTCGTATTTGAAATTTTATATGTCGCAATGTATATCATGGTCTTTGGTGGCTTTGCATTGCTTGTTTTCCTTGTTAACAAATTGAAAGCTCTTTCCAAACAAATGAAGATAGGTCAAGAGCCACAACAAAATCAAACGGAATTTCAAGCCCTCTTGGACAGCAAGGAAGGAAGAGAACTTCTTGAGGAATTTTGCAAAAAAGAATTCTCACTGGAGAACATGTTGTTGTACAAGGAACTAATGCATTTTAAAGCTCAACAATCACTCGCTGCCATTCATTCTTTCATGAGAAACATTTATACGAATTACATTAATGCAGGAGCCCCAATTGAGGTGAATATTCCATCCGAATGCAGAAAAGAGTTTATGAGGGTTTTCCAAGAGCTGAATGCCACTTCACGAGAATTGAATGACATCAAGAATTCGAAACAGTCTCCATCTCAAGAAATCTCCTCATTTGAACAATGCATGAACCATCTCACTGAAGAAATTCTAATGAATTTAGGAGATACCTTCTCGAGATTGGTCGCGACGCCGCAATACACGCAATTTCTGTCTGTGATGAAAAACAAGAAAGACATGATGAAACAAGTAAATCTTTTGTAATTGATCACAAATTTGAACCTTTTTCTCTTTTGTGTTCCAACTATCACATCTTCAAGAGACCTAGAAACAAAAATGCGCAACAACACTAACCAGCAGTTTCCAAGTTCCACAATTAAAAGAAATAAACGTATACGTATAGGAATAAATTAAGGCGAGAATAGGTTTAATCTTAGTGTCAACAGTTCAAATCATCTATTGTACATGAAATTTACAACTTTTGAGATTTCCAATTCACATTTTCAATGATGGTAGCAGTTGCAGCACCGTGACCAATACACATGGTTTGCAATCCATAACGTTTACCAGATCTTTCCAATTCATTGACGAGCTTAGTCATCAAAATAGCACCAGTTGCTCCCTAATTGAGTGAATTATGTGTCAGAATGCATGTTATGAACATGGTACGAGGATATATTTCATGAAATTGGACGTTGAGTGTAAAAAAACACATTTCCAAAAAAAACAAAGACTTACCAATGGATGTCCATGAGCAATAGCACCGCCGTTTGGATTCAACTTGGAATCTGGAACGTTGAAAGTCTTCTTCCATGACAAGACAACACTAGCAAATGCTTCGTTCACTTCAAAAACGTCAATATCAGAAATTGACAATCCAGACTTCTCCAAAACCTTTCTGGTGGCTGGAATGACACCATCCAACATCATCACTGGGTCACAACCAACAACAACTCGGCTAACAATACGAGCTCGTGGCTTGAGGCCCAATTGTTTGGCCTTCTCTCCAGAGCACAACAAAACTGCGGCAGCACCATCGGAAATTTGACTTGCGTTAGCAGCAGAAATAACACCATCACGCTTAAAGACTGGCTTCAATTGTGACATCTTTTCAACATCGACTGGATAACGAATACCTTCGTCAGCCTTCAACCAGAATTCCTTATCACCCTTGTTTACCTTAATTGGTAAAATTTGTGAGTTAAAAACTCCCTTCTTGGTAGCTTCGAATGCCTTTCGGTGAGATTCAACAGAAAATTCATCAATTTCCTTCTTTGAAATCTTGTAGTGTTCTGCAATCAACTCAGCACTCACACCTTGATGAAGCAATTTATGAGGGAATGGAGCAAACTTTGGTTCCTTTGGATTAGTTGTGACTTGGAACAATTCAGGATCGCAATCACTTCCCATGGGAACGACAGACATCATTTCAACACCACAAGCAACGACCATATCCATGTCTCCCGAAGCAATTGCTTGAGCAGCAAAATGCACAGCTTGTTGTGAGCTACCGCACATACGATTGAGTTGAACACCTGGAACATTGACAGGATAACCAGCTTTTAAGAGAGCCAAACGAGGAATATTGGCACCTTGTTCCTTGACTGGAGTGACTACTCCGCATACAACATCTAAAAGTTTCATCAAAAGGTCAAATACCAATTGGTCAATAACATCATTGAATGGCATTTTCGTGACAATGTATTTAAATCATCATCATTGTCATTTTGAAAAGTGATATTAAATGTTGAACATTGAAAATATACGCTCTTCTTTTTCTTTTCCACTGAACACAAACATACCTTCAACTTCAGCCTTATTCACATTACATCTTGAAGTAACATTATCCAAAACCATTGACAACAAAGTAACAGGATGAATTCCATTCAAAGATCCTGAGCTTCTTCCTAATCCAATAGGAGTTCTTACACAATCTACAATATAAACATCACGTCCACATGTGGAGGAAGAACCAGCAGTTTCGTTCATGTTCAACATTTTCCGATAATGATTTTAAAAAATAGATGAGGATAATGATGGGGAAGATGATGATGAGGCTCTCAAAGATCTTCTTGGCCAAAGGAAGGGAATTTTTTTTTAATTCTTTTTTCGTTCGCGTTATTGAGAAATCAACGGTCCGATCGATCGGGTGGGAGAATTTGAAATTTTCCTTCGCGTTGTAAACCTGCGATCTTTCGAGTTGAACTGGTGGAAGGTATCGAAATGAAGGAATGAAAGTTCGAAAGCAATTGATCGATCCAATTCATCGATACTGGCAATCCTGGTTGATTAAATAACCTCAATGAGGTAATTTAATTAATCAGGATCGACAGATTGGATCGGATTGCTCCAGCGATTATTTTTGAACTTTCTATCAGTCAATCCCAAAATCCGATCTAATTAAATTTCTTCAATGAAGTCTTGGATAGTGTGACTGGAAGAAATGGAAAGCAAGGTTGTTGTTGTTGTGTTTGAATGTTCATTGAGATTGCTATTTGTGTATGTATTACAAGGTTGACCTTAGTGTGGACATTTTTGTGAAGACATCATCATTGTCAACAATTAGTATGGTTAGTCATTGAGGATGTTGAATCTGAAGTGTCCGTGCTCTCCTCATTTTCTCGCTCAATCATAAATCTTGAAAAAGTGTCATCCAAAATCATTCCTTTCACAACAACTTCCAACTTGTCAAATAAATCCAATTGACCATAACCACTGGCAATTTTCTTATATTCTGTTTCGAGAATTTTCTGAGAAACATTGAGTGGTTGAGGTGAATTTGGTAGCAAATGTCGTCGAATGATTTCCTTTTGAAGAACTGCTCGTTCCTTAGATTTCGAAATGGTCTTGTATTGTTCAACCATTTCAAGGAAGAGGAAATTTTCAGAACTTCTTTCCTTAATTGTGAATTCTTTGAACTTGTTCCTTAATTCCTTATCTGCCATGACTTTATCAAACTTGGCGACTTTTTGAATTTCCATTAATTTTTCTTGTTGCATGGTCAACATGTTCTTCAACTCGGTTTGTTCTGACAAGTTTTTCATGACAATAATGAAGGCATCACCAATCACACCCTCTCGAACAGTCATTTTCGTTTTGTTGACACTCACGTTCACAGGATATTTGCTTCCGAGATCGGAGAAGAGAGTCGTTTCAAAAACTTCACCACCACGAGATAAAATGTCCAATTTTTCTAACAATTCTTGAAGTGTGGAATAGTTCGTAATGTACTCGTTGATTAAGTGATTTTCAAAAGGTGCGGATTTCATGGAATGTTGCAATTGAGGTTTTTTCTTTAAAATTTTGTTCTCGAAAGATGAATTGATGTTAATAATTAATCCCTGTGTAGATGAAAATGGATGATGAACCATTTCATGTAAATTTGAATCCATAAAAATTTTTAGAAGAATTGAATGTAAAAGAACATGATAGAATCATTAAAAAGATGATTACGTACCGATGAGCATTCTACAGTCACCACAAAATCTGTAATGCTATTCAAAATGCATCGACTCTTTTCCTCTTCAATGGCAGTTCTTTCCAATATATTTTGCATCATCAAATTGTCATTGGCAAGTTTTGATTGTGACACTTCCAACGCCACCAACATTCCATTAATATCCGCAGAGAGATCTCCCAATTCATCTGAGCTCATATTCACAAGTCTTCGAGAAAGATCATTCTCATTCGTAACGCTTCTCACAAAACGTCCAATTTTTAACACTCTTCGCAACACCACAAATTCCACAAAAATCATCACTGCAATAGCCATAAGAATGACCAACGCCAAAATAGCAATGGCAGTATAGAGGAATGAAAGCCATCCCAATGAATACACTTCTCGTGAAATATCTGTTCGAATGACCACTGCTTGTTGTCCACTCCAATCATTCACAAGTTTAAATGAAGAAAATCGTGTCGATCCACTTTCAGTAGAAGTGTAACATTGTCTCTTTTTAGAGTCATCATAAATCGCACCAGGAAACATGGTAAATGGTGTTTCAATGGTCCATGAATCTGATGTTGAAATGGTGGAAGCATGTTGAGTGGATAAATAATTCTTCAATTCATTCACCGAATCAAAGCCCATATATTTCCTTAATACTTCCAAATCGGTGGAATCTCTCAAATCAAAGAATGTATTACATTGTTGATTTCTTCGAGCAAGGTCTAACATTATCGTTGCTGTAATGTATCTCGCAAAAATCATCAAGCCATTCGTTACTGAATTGTCTGTGGGTTGAATGGGTTGAGCAGTCACCATAATAATATTCGTATGATTGGTGTTTTCTGGCAATAGATCAGAACTGATTGGAGAAATTCCACTTTTTTTCATCAATTGATCGACCGTAAGTGATGGAATTAAAAAAGTTTCTTGTCTCTTCTCTGGAATGCTCAAATTAACGAAAAAACTTGAATCCAATGTTGTCAACTCGACCGGAAATTCACTCACTTTCACACCTCCAAAACAATTCACACCTCGAAAGAAGGTTTGATTTGGAAAATACATCATGATATAATTCAAATTTGCTCTCTTCATATAATCACACGAAAAGTATTCATTGAGAAGAACATCTGCCTTCTGAACGCTTTGTTCTTGGACAATATTGAACACATCATCCCAAGCTGCATATTCATAGAGTTTGTTAAAGAGTACATCAAAGTCGTCGTGAAGAGAATTTGAAAGTTTTTTCACAGATTCCTCTCCAAATCCTCGTTCGACATTACGAAAGGAAAATTCGAAGGAGAGAGAAAGACCTAGAGAGCATAGACAGACAACCACTGTCGAGTGTGGTCATAGTGATGATCATGATGGTATTGTTAGGAAAGTTTTTGTTGTTCGTTGTTGTCAAGTAGTACCAATTTGTGGATACAGTGACATATAGCAACCATGTCAATTGGACCGATTTGGAAATAATATTCATCATCAAATTGTGGAATTTTGAAATCATAATATATTGGAAATAGACGACATGAAAAAGAAGAAATCAAAATTTCACACATGAGTTTTCCAACATATGTTGACCATCAACTGTTCACACACTTCTACTTACCAATCGATGTCATCAACAAGGCCGTCACTGTTTTCAACCGTAATCCAAAAAAGCGAAACGACCTCATCCATGCAGGTCCATCCCCTTCTCCTCCACCAGGATTCAATATGGCTGATTGTTCATGTTGTTGTTGATGTGGAAAGTCACCTACACCACCGAGTTTTGGAGAGTCAAATCCTGCTGTGCTTTGTGAACCTGTTGAATCTGCTCCATTGTTGTTTTGATTCACGATTCCAGTCCATGTTTTGTTGTAAAAGGAAGAGTTGGTGGTGGGTTTTTTAGAAAGGGACGACGAACTGTTGTTCATTTCGTACATCATGATGATGAGAAAGAGAAATTGTGTTACAGAGAGAGTTGTGTGAGAGAATGGATGAAATGACTCGAAATTCCACAAAACAGTGTGTGTGAAATACTTTTTGAACACAACGACTTTTTGTTTTGTCGTACGATTGATCAGTTGTGGACAACACCACTGGAGTCAGTAGTGGTATCACGTAGCAGCAGAAGCACCAGTGAAATAGAACGGGCTTTTGTGATGGTAATAACCGTGATGTTATTGTTTTGTGAGATGAAACAAGATAAACGTTGTTTTTCTTCAAGGTTATTTGCGCATTTGATGCGGATAGTTACTTGCGATAGGACTTTCCACTTTTGAGTGTGTGACTGGTCACGAACATTGACAATGAATGATTGATATCAAGGAATCGAGCTGTAGATGTGAAGAGGCTACTATTTCATTTTATCTCTCAAAGATAGCTGCCCGCATATGGCCGAGTGGTTTTTCTGGAACTGTGGCAGCCAACTGGTCCAGCGTTCGAATCCCAGGGGTTGCTGCTGTTATCGTGAGCAGTTTAAACACCTTTACTTCCGGGGTGCCTGCTAGGAAGTCACTACGTATCTTACGTTCGGCTTGTAAATAATGTACATAAAACCATCGAACAACGTTTATCATCGAATAAACCCATCCCTGAATTTTATCTCTCAAAGATTCTCATTTCCACCATGACTTATCACTCCTCACACACAAGAATCTTGTGCTGATTATGCCCAAAAAAATCAGAACATAGCAAGACAAGCCAATAGACCCAGTTGCAGGATGGATTTGGCAATCCGGAATTGAAAAAAAATAAAATGTTTGGGACGCTACCATGTCGCTTGCAAGAACAATCGAAACAAAACAAATATAAACTGTTACCCTGATCAACCATCATCAGCACTTCTTGATCAGCATCATTCACAACCTCATCTACTTACCATCAACTTCATTGCTTCAACACCGATCACTGATCGCATCATCATTAACAGCAACAACACTCTCCAGCACAATGCCAAAAGAGCAATCAAAGAAGATCACACCTTCCCAACCTTCAAAGATATCAAGTACACCAAAAAGGCAGCGTCGTCGTTACAAATATCATCCATTGGAGGCCTTTGTTAAAGTGGATAAGATACCAATCACCATGCATCCAAGCCCTCTCAATTTAATCCATTTTACTCACAACTCCCATCGGAAACAAGCTGCTCGTATGGAACTCAAGCTTTTCAACTTTTTGTGGGACATGAATTCTCCTTGCAACGGCCCAGCACGGACTCGATTGCCAATCGGTGAGTGTAAAGAATCCGTTTTTGATATGTATATGTGTAAGACTATGGGGCCCGAGAAGTATGTTCGTGTGGAGCAATATTCTCCTTGGATCAACCGAGAAGGTGACATTGAACGGACTCGTCACATCATTTACGAATTCAATTATCCAAACTTTCCTTCTTTCGGGGATGGGACTTGGGCAAAGAATTATATGAGTGTCGACCAAAAGCATGTAATTGACAGCCTTAGAAAGAGATTCAACAGGCCCATTCGCTCAGAACTTGAAACTGTTCAATATCCTTGCATTGCATCCAAGTTGATCATTTCCTACGACACCTCATTCGAATTATATTATGCACACCTCAGTCATTGGGTACAGTCAAAGAATGGAGATTGTTGGATTGAAAGTTTTTGATTTCATTCATCATTGCTAGGACATCCTTTCCGTTTCTTGTGTGACATTGTTGCAGTTACTCTCCCAGCGAAGGCATTGGTGTCTGTATCTTTGGAAGTTTGCTTCTTCCTGTTCTCCTTGTCATTTTCTTGGATCTTTTGAATCATCATGTTCAAATTATCACGATCCGTAATTATGGTTGGATCCACTAAAGAAGCATCATACCATTGATACAATTCCTTTTGTGGTTTGACATGACTTGCATTCCAAGAATAAAGCTTTTTTAAACGTTTTTCATGCCAATATGTTTCTCCTGTTTTTTCCTTCAAGTCAATTGCGACTAATACCTTTCGCCATTGCCACAATAGCAATTGTTTGGTTGGGTGTATTTGAGTACAATCCCCTCCATTGTTAATAATTCGATTAAACATTGCATGGTGAAATAAATGAGACCGTTCGAATCCCTGGTTACTCAAAATCGAGAGTGATAATTTTTCTTTGAAAAGAGCTCATTATTGAGGGTACATGAATTATAAAATGGAAATAATGAGCTTTAATTCCTTGAGTCCATATTGAAAAACACGCAACTAAGAATTGCATTATCAGTTTGTCCAATTCCGCAATCTTATTTGCTGTCAATACATTGTCATTATTTTCGTTATCTTGATGCATTTCAATAATAATGATAATATTTCGCAACAATTTCAGAATTTGTAAATATTTTTGTTTGGTGCTTGGTTCAATATTATCAACAACTTTCTCAATATTTTGTAAAATAGTGTTACAATGATCTCCCGACAGCATACATGACTTGGTTGATGATCGTGCTGAGGTTTGAGAAATTCCATAATTCGATATTCGTTCGTGGAACTCTTTCCAATTAAATGTTTCCAATCCATGTAATGTTTGTATATTTTTCTGAATCTCATATTTGTAAGTTGTTGATGCCATATAACCAATAACATTTTCTACTAGCCTCTGTTTGATATGAAGAGCACATAGTATTGTTTGTGACGGAGAAAAAGGTAACTGGCCGTCAAGAGAGTCGCGTGGAGTTGATGCAAAATCTACAATAGTTTGAGCCATACAATAGGGACATAAATCAAATGAGAATGTCATGCCTACATTATGCATGTCTGAAACATAAAAAAGGCAAACTTGATGCTTCCCAAAATATTGTTTTTGCAAAACACGCTCAATCTCATCGTGAAGCGTTCCAATTGTTTCTTTGATACTTTCTTTTGTTTCCTTCATCTGAAATAACCCAATATAAAACACAGAATAAACAGCCTGCGATGGAAACACATCTCTTAAATTGAGTGGAACCAATGCAACTGCAACTTGTTTAACTCCATTAATTTCTCTACCATCTACCCCAATTTTAAAAAATATTTTCTTGGGTAATTTTTTCCCTAATGACATACATAGCTTCAGAATATAAAATATGGCTTGATCTAAGTCTATAATATATCCAATGTAGTTTGAACTTGGATATCGTAATTTGAAAGTTTTCTCAACTTGTTCATTTAGTGATTGTTTCGATGTTGTCATCTCTTTCCTTGTCGGGAGTAATGTCATTAAATTGACTTCTTTTCGTAAGTTATGATATGTAACATCAGAAATCAAGTTATTATCTCGCCAATATTGCACAATAGTTACATCTTTCTTTTCAATTAGATATTCTTTCGGTTTTTGATAACGATGGCTGTATTTAATATTTTGCTCTAATTCTTGGATTACTGTTTTAATACCTTCATCAGTTTGAAGATAACATTCAAGCCATGCATGTACATCATGTCCTAAAGTACCTAACATTTTCTCAAATATAGACACTATTTCTTTTGCTCGATCTTTCGCTCCACGGTTGTAATTGTCTTGATTTAATTGAATACCAGGGTATTTGTGAGGACATGCTTGGACTTTTTGGTGTTTACAACAAGCACATTCCCAATATTTCAATTCTACTTGTTGATCATTATCAGATTGTGCTTGAGAACGGTTGAATGAGTCACATGTATTGGATTGTAAAGCGGTATCAGTTGTATAACAATTTTTCCATTGTTCAATATTATATTGTTGAGAGTAAATTGGTTGTGTTGGGAATTGTTGAGGCTGTGATTGCTGTTGAGGCTTGAAATAGTTCCAAAGTGCAAATTGGGACAAATATGTCTCACAAGTCTGGTCTGCCAAAATGAATGGTTCGACATACTTAAGCCCAGAATATTGTATACAATTTTGAGAAGCGTTCCATTGATCGTTCCACTGTTGAGAAAGGTTAGGATCAGTGTTTGCTTTTTCCATACTATCTACTGTTTGAGTAATCTTGAGAGGTTGTATTAAGTTCATGTTGCTGATTTGCATCATTAATTATATCAGAAGCTTCTACTATAATATTATTTTCATGAATATCATCATCATTTTCATTAGAGTTCTCGTCAACAAAATAGGATGCAGCATCAGCAACCAATTGATTGAAAGCTTCATCTTGGTCCTCGACTTGAGGCTGGTTGAAAATTTCTTCCATTGAATTATCAAATAATTCATCGTCATCCATACGTGTATCATAGTGATCACTGTTGTGATTGGGATGTGTTTGGAACAGGTGTTGAATTAATAAATCATGATGATCTTTCTTCGACAACTTTAACAGAGTTCCAATAACGGCTGCCAAGCTTAACAATAATTTCCAACAACAAGAGCTTGGGTTTAATGTGTTTGCCATAGCTTCTTTCGATAATATTGCAGATTTTTTGATTTTTCTCCTTTTTAAAGAACGATCCAACAATTTCATCGGCAGAATAATATTGATCGCCTTCGTATTGATAGGTATGTAAAGAATGAAGTGCAGGAAGGTGTTCTTGAATCTCTAAAGTTTTACCCATCGCGATGAATTTTAATAATTTTTAATATATAAATGATGATGAACTCTACACGAATTCTAGGAAGCCAATTTTTGTAATATTGTCAACAACATGGCTGTAATATAACAATTCCGAAGTGTGATTCAAAAAGGAAATGAAATCTTAATACTCGAAGCCCGAAAGTTTGTTTCGCTGGCAGTTTTGCTATGCAAAGCGATACACTCAGTTTCACTTTTTTCTCCTTATTATCTTTTTTTCGGAGCGAAGAAGAATTCTTCTTCAAGGTGCATGCAGTGAGAGATTCATTCTCACTCGTGATACTACGAGGATCATCTTTGGATGGATCGCTTTGAACCTGTTGATCTGCATTTCTTTGCATGGCAATATATTGTTTGCATTGTAACTTCTTAGAAATGTAGGTGAAGGCCTTTCCACATTTTCGAATGGCTGGGAGTACGATTTCGAGATCTTCACGCATAGCCTCGCCTGCATATTGCAAAGCCATTGGATTATGCTGAATGGCCAACTTAACCACTTCCTTGTCACTTCTCAAATCATCACCCACCCTATGAAAGAGATAATTATCCAAAGCGAACTCTGGGCTTTGAATCACTGTCATTACAATTTCACGGTCATTTGAGAATATAGAGGGTAAATGGTAAAAAGTCTTTGCGTTGTTTTTCACAGCTTGCAATGCAAATTCTCGATATTGGCTAATCGGTTGTTGAAAATCAAACTTTTTCAAAATAAAAGGCGTTGTTTTACATGCAAGAAGGGCTAATTGTTGGTTTCGTCGAAATTCTTCAGGAAGAGATTGAAATAAGTATCCGTCATGTTCAATGGCATAACGCAACACTGTTTCGTTTCCATAAAGACTCGGATCAACATACTGGAAGGCCTTCACATTTCTTTTCAGAGCCGTCATGACCACTTCCTCATCACTTCTCAATTCCTTAGAGGCATACGAAAGAGCATTTGGATACGATTCTATTGCCTTCATGACCACTTCCCTATCATTTCGGAGTTCATGTGAGGCTTTACGGAGCCATGATCCATCAATTTGAATCGCTTCAAGCATGAATTCCTTTCGGTAAAAGAGTTCATGGGTAATCGGCAAGTACGTGAGGCATTGAGGATCCACACGAAAAAGCTCCTTCACAAATTTCAGTTGATTCCGTAATTCTTCCGAACAGAATTTAAAGGATTTTGGATTTTGCAGATAGGCCTCCCGAACGATCTGAGGATCTTTCTTAAAATCGGAACAAGCATATTCCAAACACAATCCATCACATTGGACACATTTTAAGGTCATATTGCGTTGAGAGGCAAAGGTGGAAGGAATCAAACTGTACAAGGATCGATGCACGCTATAAGGAAAATATTTTTTTGTTTGAAACTTTTCTTGGTCGTAGAGGGAGAAGTGGAATGGACGATTCTGCATGGTCACGAAATGTTTGAAATGAACGCGTGTCTGATTTAATCGAATCACACCCTTCTTGGGATCCAAAGTCAAGGCATTGGAATTTTGAGTGGAAAGTCCTAAAATGATAAATTTTCGAGAGTGATCATATTTCCAAAGCTCTACACGATTCAGAAGGTTATTGACATGAAGTACGTCGTCACTCCATGAGGGTCTTCCATTCGTGATTTTCAGAAATTCTCTCAAACACAATGGAAATTTTGTTTTCAATTCCATTTCTCGCTGAGAAAGGACTTGTTCATCGACAGGAGGCTCCGAAAGTGGTTTTAGTAAACACCTATTCTCATCGTGCCACATGTAGAGAAATTCGCGTCTCTCCACCACACGACAAGCCTCTTGAAAGCACCTGCATACCTGTTGAACCATTTCACGATCTTGGTCTTGTATGAATTCCACCACATTTTCAACTGTATCGGAAGCAAGAAAGAGTGTAATCATGACGGAGGATGAAGAGGAAGAATCATGTCGAGAGAAATCATGATGAGAGTGTGGTGTTGTTTCGGGAGAAATCTTGTCATCCCGAATGCTGTCATTAGGCAAAGCAGTGCTTTTGAGACGAAGAAACATTTTTTTTATATGTTCAAGGTGAGGATTGAATTGATTTCGAATCGAGTTCTTGGGAACATCATGAACGGAATTATACAAATGCTCTTTCTTAACAGGTACATTGTATCTTGTTCTTTGTGAGGTAATAGACACTTGTGACTAATCCTATCTATTAATTCTCGAGAAAAGAACGTTAGTATACAACCTTATTGGTAAATTTCCATAAAATTCACAACGATTCTTAATGATTTTCCAATGCCTGATTAATTTGTTCTTGTATCTCTTTTGAAAAGTATTGCAAACTTGAAGGGCATGCCTTTGAAAGTTCTACCAACTTTTCAAATTCATTTCGAACTAGCTCAGCAAGAGATTCAGCAATTTCCTTATTTAATCTCTCTCTCTCAGTTCTTTCAAAGATCTTTTTCAGGATAATCATGTCCCTATCCCAAAGCAAATGTACCAGGCGAGTTGAAAAATAACAATTATAGGTATACGTGACATGTATGATAAATTGTTTGGTAATCAAAGGAACCACAAGATCTGGATTCACATTATTCAATAGCATAAAATGTGTATGGGCGCTCTTTTTGACAAGCTCAATAGCAACCTCATCTTTTGACATATGTGGAAAGCCAATAGTGGATCGAATATATCCCGTTTTTGAACTCCTCACTAGAGCTGCAACTTGGGAAGGAGATATCACCTCTTCAATACTAGAAATTCCATCAAAATGACTCGTATAGAGATAACGTAAAAAATTTGAATATTTTGTGACATGGTCCCTCAGAATTAATTTTCCAGTTTCTGCATTGATTGAAAATAGAACGTCATGAACCATTTTTGGATGTTCTCTTTTCCATTTGAAAAACAATCTTGCCTTCTTATTCCATAACTGTAAATAAAATTCCTCCGTTCTTGCATTTTCAGGAACAAGAGCCAAGCTATAAGGCAAGCTTGCTTGAATAATGCTTGAATCAGTTTTTAAATCTTCAGGAAGGCTTGAAAACAAGCCTGGATACATTGAAATCATTTTTTTCACAAGAACCTTGTCTCCGAAAGCAAAAGTGACAAGTTCTAAAGCCAATTTCTTTGCAATTTCATCGACACATTTTGATTCCAATGTCTTTGTCAATACATTTTTTGCTAAGGCAGGTGTCATTCTGCCACTCTTCATGTATTTCATCATGTAGAGTATGGTTGGAGCAGAAAGCGTTTTTGAACAAGTAAAGAATGCAAAATATGCGTGATCCTTCTCTGTGAGGCGTTCCACAACTTCCATCATGCTCCACTTTCGGAATGGTGGATAAAATTCCATGCCATCAATTGGTTCACCAAAGTTATTAAAATAATAGGCATAGGGTTCGAGAGAATAAGAATTTTCTCCCCTTTCCATATTTACCATGCAATGTGCATAAAAATACTTTTCTAGTAATTGATAGGCCAGTTTGTAATTTTTGAGAATGAAAAATGCAACCTGCAAAGCATCAAGCATGATATCCTTTGGTAGTTTTGTAAGTTCTACCAATTCTTTCAACACGCTCAGTTTTTCTTTCTTGAGAGCGAAATGTAAAATTTCTCGATCGATCATTTCACCTCTCGAAAAATAATAATACAGAACATGTCGAGTGAGTCTCGAAAATGCGAGACCTCCACTGTAGTGATGATAAACAAGTTGGTTACGGCTTAGATTACAAGAAAGAGCAGCTTTGAGTATGTCATGGTCAATCGTCACGCCATAAGGTAAGTTGTTCAGTAAGGCGCCATTGTGTTTCATTGCAGCGATCATTACTTCCTTGTCAGATCTTAATCGAGTGGATAATAATATATAACAATTTGGGCTTTCACGAGATACTTTAAATGCCTTCTTTAGGATGAAATCTTTGTCATCAAGCAACCTCGCAGGAGCGTACTTAAAATCATCAATACAATCAAGAATGACATCTTGTTGAAGCGGTCGAAGATACATGTCATCATTCATTTCAAAAGATGAATCATAATAATCTGGTTTGAAATATCTGAATAAATTTCGTTGATATTTTCCTGTTCGAATTAAAAAGTCAAAAATGTCAAATTGTAATGCTTTGGAGAAGTTGGGATCGTCACTTGGGGATCTTTCCACTGATTGATCAGTTTGTACATGGATAAATAATATTGAGAAAAACACAATGACGTACCAGTTAATGTAATAATTGAATCTGCATTTAAATCGGGTGAGCTCATGAATACTTTCTTGAAATCCTTTGAAATCTTCTTTAACACTAAATATCTCCGATTATAGGTCAATATTTCAGCAAAAGCTGTACACACCAAAGAAAATCTATTAAAATCGTACAAGGGAATAAATTCAGAAATGTAGAGCCAATAGTCTTCGGAGAGGTGTTGTTGTTGATTGGCATGATGATCGGAGACCTCATCATGATGCTGATATTGAATGCTTTTTGAAAAATCGGGACGTGATTCTTGGATGGTTTCTGCTAAATTGGTGTTGAATTCAAAGTCAGTCAAATTGAACACAAAGTCTTCATCATCGTCGACCGATTGCTTGGAGTTGGAGGGATTGATGCTGAACATTGGTTATTTTTGTTTTATAGAGGAATGTGACAGATCAATTCAGAAATCGAATGTTCATCATGAGACAGTTCGGTGGAAGGATGTACAATTTCTACATTTTCTGAAATTGTACATCCTGTATGCGCTAAGAAGACTTCGCCTGGCTCATAGGAAATTAGAACAATGTTCAAGTTTGATAACAACTGGCAGATGAGAAAAAACATGACAACAATGAAAAATATATTTTCATGCTTCCAAAACATCTACCACCAAAGAACAGAAAGTTTAATCTGATTTACCCAAGTATGGGCATTGGCTTTAGAACTATCAACATGATTATGAGAGCCCGACTTGACGACATGAAAACATTTAGTAATATTGACAAAATTAACAGGAAATTTACCCACCTCTGCACCTGTGGTGACAAAGAGACCTTCACCCACATACTAATGAAATGCCCTAATTACAAGACCGAGAGACAAGCAATGTGGATTAATCTATGCAGTATTGCCAACCAATCTTGCACTAAGGAGAAGAAAAGAAAAGTAAGAAAGATCATAGATAAAATCAGAGCGAATGCAGATGTATGGGCATTACTTGGGGCTAAAATCGGATTAGGACCGAAGTGGGATAAGATCTTTTCAAAAGAAGCATACAAACAGGTGAACTTAATATGGATGAAACGCAATGACTACTATTTTGAAAAACTCGGAATCAAATGGGATAATGAATTGCATGGATATGCAAATCACCCTTTAATTCTAACCCGTCACGACAACAAACTCAAAAGCTGTATATAATCTTCACCATCTTTTTGGAAACGAACATGATTACGATCCTTGTGGATCCGTTTGCTCCCGCAAATAAAGTCATGCCTAGTTATTATCAAAAAAAAAATATTTTCATGCTTAAAAAAATTTCTGCAGATTCGTGCGTTTTGATTCACCTAGTGACTTCCCATTCGCACTCTCACCACTTGCTTTCTTAAGCTTCTAAGGTACATTTTTAGCTGATTGGAATGTTCTTGTGGTAAGGATGAACATTGTGACGGTGTATTTCCACCTTGATCTAATCTTTTCGACAAGGATTATATTGAGCTAACCAAAAATTTTTTATTATTATAAAAATCATTAATTTAATTCATCTAGTTATAACAATTGTCATGGATCAACCAAGCAATTGCTTAACAGTATTTCTTTGGGCTTCACATTTCTTTGGTTTTCTCCTTTTTTCAGGCTGAGCGGATTTTGTAGTTTTTTACCTTCTCATAAAATGCATAAAGCCAATTGACAAAACAAGCAGTCAATTTGAGAAAGGAATACAATCTGTGCATCTTCCCATTCGAAGACAATCATTACGCTTATCGGAATGTGAGATCCCTTGTACGACCTACAAAGGGTAAATTAAAAAACTTTTTTAGGAGCAGAGGGAATCGAACCCTCGTCTAAGGAACCACAATCCTTCATTCTACCATTGAACTATGCCCCTTTATTGGAAATGATATTTTGGTAATTCACACCTCCATATTCACTTGATATGTTATGAACGGAGTGAAGGCTTTAAAATACAAATCGTTGAAAATATTCAAAACTGTTTCTCCAGTTCTTCCTCTTCCATCATTTCCATTCCCCACTCTTTCAACAACTCCACCAATCGATGAACCATTATCTTCACGATATTAGATTTTTCTTCAACTCTCATGAATAATTTCAACGAAGCAACAAATGATGGATGATTTTTCAGCATTTCCAAACACTTCTTCTGTCCAATGTATTTTCTCAACACTTCCATTCGTGACAGCAACTTTTCGAGTGGCATGGATGGTTCCTTTGCAGTGATTTTATAATTGATAACTCTGTAATTCCTCGTCACTCCTCCTCTAACTTTGAATGATATCGAAAGGACCTTTTCAACAATAATTTTATCACTAGTACCCGAATGTTTCTCCTCATTATTACTACTACAACAACAACTTGGTATCAAGTAAGCAAACACACCCGTCCTCTCATTGATTCCACCAAGATTCAGTTCGTGTTGTCGACTTTTAAATCGTTCTCGTTTTTTAAAACCTTTCATGTGGTGATGGAAGTGACCAATCAAGGTTGGTTGATGAAACGATGTATTTAACACAATTTCAAAAACGTTTGCATTTCGAAGAGCATTTTCCAAAAGAACATGTCCCATATGACGACGACACCCATTCTCACATGTTCGTTCCATCGCTTGTTCAATCTCATGAGGTCGATAGAAAGAATACAATTGACAAAATATTGTTTCAAAGGTGGAGAGAATAAATGTCTTCAGTGATTCCTCCTCCTCTTCAAATACATCGAGTTTGAAACATGTTTCTTGAATCCACACATTTAAGCAACTTGTTAATGAAATGTCAATGTTCGAAATTTTCCATATTTTTGATAACACTTGACATAGAGTTTGAATGACATGATCCTCTCTTTGAACCAACAGTTTGATGTTCTTCATGACATGTTGTAACAAGTGTGAAATAGAGTCGTTTGCATTCACTCTTTTAGTAAGAACATTGTTTGCATGTTCCTCGACCATTTGTAACAATTGAAATAATTGTTCCAATCGAAAGGTCAAAAATAAACTCGTTAAAAGACCACTATTAGAAAAGAGAAGAGCCACAATGTGAAGTGTTTTCTCTTCCAGTGTTAATGAATCGTTGTGTAAAATATTTGAAGAGAGAAGGGTTGTGAAAAGATCGGTTTGAGAATGTTCGCAAGTGGTTTCAAATGCCAAACAGGTGGTATTTAGAATTTCACTTTGAATTTTGAACCTGTCACTTCTTGGATCCCATGGAACTTGTTTAAGACTCATGGAAAGAGGTACCTTAAACTCTTCATACAACAATTGTAAAAACTCGCACATTCTTTCTCTTTCCATATTTGAAGAGGACGTTTCATACTTCTTTTTCGCAATCATCTTGTATTGTCTTTCAACAAACTGGTTCGAATATTTGTGATGTGTGGTGAGTAAAAGAGTCACAGTCTGATTTACCTGAAAGATATAGTTGGGATTTTGCACCAATTGAGTATGTTTTTTAAATTTCCTTCTGAGAAAATTCAAGTAATTTCTCCATGGTTCATTCGAAGAGAAATTCAACATTGGATGAGATGTCCATGATCTGTTGTTATTATTATCCATGATTGAAGAATTGAGTCCAAATTTCCCACCATTCAAATACAGTTCAACAAAATGTTCTGAACTATTTTGTAAGCGAATGACATGTTCAATCAGCTCGTGATCATTGATCTTTGAAATGTGTGTTCCTCCAAATAAATACAGCCACGATTTTGGTCGAAATGGAACTTGACACAAGATGGTCTCAGCAATGGCATGAATATTCTGCAAAGAAATTCCTAAAAATTCCCAAAATAAGCGAACCGAATCATTCTCTGAACACTCTGTCACAAAAACTCGATAAAAACATTGCTTATTCACGAGCAAGTAATTCATGAATGAATTTTCAAGTAAATCTTCAATTAAGAATTTCCGTTTCTTGTCTGCATAATTATGGACATTCACGACTCGGAGTTTCCAATGTTCTTCTCTTTCACTCGGAGCGACATGTAGTTTGAAAAATTGAGGAATTATTCGAACCAGCACTTGCTCGTGTGTGCTGCATGTTGAACAAGTGGTGGTCTTGTCATACTCCGAGAGCATTTGAAAAAAGGGACATGTGAAATCGAAAATATAAATCAACAGCTCCGCTGGTAGATGGTTCAAGCAGCAGCAACATTTTGACATGAGCTTGATGGATCTCTTTGTGGAATCAAATCTTACTGGACGCTGTTGCTGGGACTTTATGTTGGTCCAGTTTTTCTTTTTTGGAATGCCAGAAGAAGGAGTTGATCCGAGTCGTTTTCGAACTGTTTTTGCTTTGGGATGATCGATCATGTCCTGATCTATGGATTCTTCCATTAAAATTGAAAAATAATTCGAGATCAACTCTGGAGAGGAAGGAGACATTGTTTTTTTAACGACCTATCGATTGTGTTGAGACATGTCATTTGCAATCGAACGGTCTAAAAAACCATTTTGGAAATTGAATCGAACCAAAGGCATGTGCTAATTCCGACATTGATCTGGCATTCAATGTCATGAGTGCGTGCGAACACTTGCCTCCTCCTCTCACACTCACAAAAAAATGTATTCTCAACACTCCTTCACTGTGCCATCTTCATCTGCCTTCAATCAAAATGCAATCTTTGGTCCCATGTTGGCCACCATAGGTCTCACGTTCATTGTGTGGTTCTACATGTATGTTCGTAGAATTAGGCTCATCCTCACTTCGAAAGTAAATCCAAATGATTTGACACCTGCCATGTTGGCACAAATGTCACCTCCTGCTGTAGCCAATCCATCCGACAATTTGAAAAACCTTTTTGAAGTACCAGTGATTTTCTATGCATTGGTGGTGTATTTGTTTGTGACTCATCAGGTTGATTCTTTTTATGTGTCATGTGCATGGATTTTTGTGGCATTTCGTTGTTTGCATAGTTTGGTGCATTGCACGTTCAATCTTGTGAATTTGCGTTTTACTGTCTACATTATTTCGACTTTGTCTTTGATGGTCATGTTTGTGAGAGCTTCGATTGCATATTTAAAGTAGTTCACCTTGTTGTCGTCAGATACTTTTAACTCAATAAATGGTGTCAGAATCCACAGCTTCAACAGGACTCTTGTTACTTGATTTTAGATTTCTTGGAAGAGGAATTATAACTATTGACAGGGGAGACGGGCCGTTCCTTATTACTACCATCGCCATTGTTTTCTTGTTGACTCGTGGTCAAATATTGTATCATGTCTTGCACCCACAGCGCAGCCTCATTCATGTGATATTCCTTGTAAAATCTTAGTAAGGCCTTATACCTTTCAAGAATGTCAAAATTCATGAGGGTTTGAAACTTTCGTAAATCTACTGGGCAAAGATGAATGGACTGACGGTAATCTTCCTCTAACCATCCGCTACCATTCATGATACAATCAAAATCTATATATTCATGTGAAATATTGGATTTCAGATGAAAACCTTCACAATTACTTACACACACAATGTCCTATCTGCTGCATATGAGCTAATTCATGTACAACAATTTTACAACACCTCTCAATGATGATCAAATCATTTGAGGACAGTTTTTCCACGTCAACAATACCATCACTTTCCCATTCCACTGAAATGTTTTTTTCTTCTGTAGAGTTTTCTTCACTTCTAAATGCTGGATTGTATCTACACATTGAAAACACTCCAATATGATCACCTCCTTGAGCTAAACCACACGTAAAACTGTCCTTTTTTCCAATAAAAAGGTCCTCCATAGTAACTCCACATATGCACGATATTTCTTTTTCGATTGTTTTTTTCAGCCTGTGAATAGGGACAAGAACGTCCGCGGCTCTGAATTGTATTTCATTCTCTCCTGCTTGTTCCTCATCATACTCGTGACACCTTCGAGATGAAATGTTGTATTTTGCATCATTAAACTCAATATAGTATTGATTTTTTGACTTCTTAATCACAAACGGATCTAAAATTCTAACATGGATACCAAAATAAAAAGCTTCAATGAATCTTTTCAAATGAACCATGAACTGCTTTCTTGGATGATTGGTGTTTTCTCTTTCGAGCCATACTAAACAAATATCTTTCTCTAATTGGATGCTATTTTTCTTACAAACTCTCTTTCTTAACTCCATCCATTCGTCATAGCTGTCTCTATCCTCAACATACTGAGCCAACCAATCATCAATTGAAGTTGGATCTGGAACCAGTTTATAAAATAAGCTTTTTCCATCGGAGGGTCGTTTCATTTCAAAATCATAACTAATATCCTTAGATCCGATGGCTTGTTTGATTTCTTGTTTGTTTGGTCGCGTGAAGCCTTTGGCGAATGGAATCTTTTTGGCTCGTTGTTGTTTTCGTGGCATTTTTTTCTGTTGAAGAAAAAAGAATCCAAACATTGTAAACTTGTTCCAAATACATGATGAAAATGATTTACATGAACTCTTGTACGAAAATTTTGGCATTTCACAACATTAATCTTCTTCTTCTTCTGATCCTTTGGACTTCTTCTTTTCTGACTCTCGAAGAAGGTCGTGACAGGAATAACTTTCCCAATCTCCTGTCAAAATAACATCGATCATATCCTTACAATCCACAACGATTGGTGTTTGCATTTTAAATTTAACAGCATCTCTAAGTTTTGTTTTTCGTTTCATTTTCGAGTCACACACAATATGCGTTGCATAAAAATCTAAACGATTACTGTCGTCATCTTCTGCAATTTGTCCTCCTCCACTTTTGAGTATTCTCTCCCAGCGTCTTTTCTTGATTGTACTATTAAATACGAGATGGAATCGAAGTGACGCGAACATTTTTTCACCACTCTTTCTGTTTCGATCATTAAGAGCGAGTAATTGTGCAACTTTTTCATCCAAAGGAGTTTTCACTATATAGGGATCTTCCTCAAGAAATTGACCACACTCCACACATGATGTGATATAAGAGTCCATGAGTAGAGAGCAATTGCCAACAACTGCAGCAATGAATCCTAAATCATCCAACGATGGTGAGCCTGAGCAAATGTAATGGGTTGTGGTATCAGGATTAAACTTGTCGTCAACAAATCCACCGAAATTTTCAATGAAAGGCTTCATCTTCTCTCTAAGTTCCTTGTTGTTGAATGCAAAATGCTTGCTTGATTGTTTGGAGTCCCACTTTGTTGTGGTGGCTAAGAGTAGATTTTGTACGTCGGTTCGTTCGCTGGAATCGATGGAATCTAACCAATTTTTTACCATTTCAAAAGATTCTTCGTTCAATGATCTTTCAAACAGATTGACGCATTCGGAAACTATTCTTTCACAGCTGTATTTGTGAGCACAATCCAATGTGCTAATAACTAGCTCATTCTCCACTTCAGGTTGAATGCCATAAAACATCATGAACACTTTTTCCAATGATCGAGTTTTGATGTTGGACTCTTCTTCGTCTTCATAGTCATCTTCTAGAACAGGATCCTCTTGGTCTGTGAAAACATTGATTTCTTTTGACACGGAGAACTGTCCATTGAAATAGGCTTCAAAGAACATGCTTTGAGACGCTAGTAGTGTTTTGTGACAATGAATTTTCTTCATCCATTTCCTATCCAAAACTAAGATGATATCACTTGTTTCTACATTGTTATACAAATCTTGAATGGCTTGAATATCATTTCTCTTTAAGTATTTTGTATCTGCTCTATTAACGGGATCAGGAATCATTATGGCCGTCATTGCAGGAAGAACTGAGCCATAAATGTTTTGGTCAAGTAACAACTTTACATATTTGCTTTGTTTCTCTTTGTCTCGGCCATAATTCTCAATGTCATAAATGTTTGATAATTGGTTTCGAATGGCAAAAAGCAAATGTACAGTAAAAAAGTCATGACTAAACAATGTCAATTCCAAAAAATAAACAATCTCTAGAATCATTTCATAATTGTAATCACTGATAAATGATGTGTTTTCTGTGAAACAATAGTCCACTAAATTTTGTATAATACGAGTGGAATGTTCAGAAACGTGTAGGTTACTCTTGTGTAGCAACTCATAGAGAGGAATATATTTCTTTTTGATGAATGGCAGGAATGCAATCACCTCACCATTTCCCACTTTGATTACATCAGTTGAAGATTTGAATTTCTTGGTTTTCTCCAGCAATGAATCAATAAGATTATATTCTTTTCTGAAGGAAGTAGGTGCCATGTACTTTAAGCTAACAAATCCTAAATATTCACTAAACTTTCCAAAAAATTGCACGTCCTTATCCACACTCAGATAAGCCTTATCAGGGTTTGTTAATTCTATTATACCTCTCCTGTTAAATAAATACTCTCCCATAATATTTGGGAAAAAGCCTCTAATAGGATCGTAGGTACACGTTGAGTCCTTTTGAAAAGGAATCTCTAGATGTGACTGAGTATCGTTAATAATCATATTATTGAACTTTGAAATGAGCACGGTATTGGATCTGCCACAAAACACTTTTTCAATGTTATCGAATGGACTTGCTAAGGTAATATTGTCGATAGCTTTGGCGTCAGTTCCAAACTTGTAAAGTTTACCTTGTACTGAGAAAACTGTATATGATGATCCACAATACACTGCATCTACTTTCAATGCTTTCTTTTCAAAATGAGTAATTCTTGTTGGTTTCATGACATATGCATTTTTTGATTGAGAGGGATCGATTTGGCCATAGAAATTTGATCCACATGAATAAATCGTTCCACTTTTCATCTTGAACACTGTAAATAAACTGCCACAAACCACTTCAATAGGGTAATCCACAAGTGTTCTGTATCTGGAAGATCTAACCTTGGAGCAAAATTTTTCAAAAAAAGGAATCAATGTAAAATTGGTTCGAGGGCACAAATCGTTCATTCCAAGTTGACCATACTGGTTTGTCTTTTGTGGATTGTTGCAAGAGGCCCATGTGTAATGATATTCATAGGTGTAAGATGGATATTGACACATTCTTTCACACAACAATAATGATGCAAAATTACTTACTCCTTTGGCATATGCCTTTCCATTCTTTGTCAATATTATTGTATGCTCCGACCCACAACTAACATCGACAATGAGATCATCATCTTTGCTGTCCTTCAACGATTTAATTTCGAAATGATTTAATCTACAAATGCCATTAATCTTGCGTGTAATTGCACAATGAAATAGCCTTCCCGAAGTGGTGAGCACAAATAAATCAGATTGATTGGTTTCAATTTTTTGAATGGCTTCATCGGTGTCTAGAAACGAGAGGGGACCCACTCTCATGCGAGATGAAGCATTTATATGTTGTTGTCCCACTGAAACCTCCCAACCTTTATATTGATATCGACGTTCAATTTCATAGAGATACAAGTACGTTTCATCATCCAAAGTATGATGAACGGTTGTGGATGGTTGTGGAATCATTTTTTTTGTTCTTCTGCAACAGTACTTTCCTCTGTTCTCTGGAAATTCAGATTCGGGTTGTAATGGACAAATTAATACTTGTACTTCAACAGTTAACTTGGGAATTCGTAGAGACATTAATCGTAGTAGGAAAATTTGATTGTCCTTTGGATGAATTTATTTCTTTTTTTTCTTGTTGTGAATTGCTTCCACGAGGGCCATGAATGCATTGCTGATTGATTGTACATGAAAAGACAACATTGTGAATAAAAACTTCATTTCTAAGGTACTTACTTTACGTTGAGTCCTGACTTTGCACTCACTTCAAACACTATTCATTGTCATTAAAATGAACAAGTTGTTGAATTCATGTTGATTGACAAGTACGATGATTGTTGAATGTCAATGGCTGTTTCTTCTACATACCTTTGTCAACAACGCAGGATGTATTTTTACAAAAATTGTTGGCATCCTCAGTTTTCACCATTCTTTCATCCTCCAAATCTGCCTTATTTCCAACCAACAGTATTGTAATGTCATCATTTGGAGACGTATTCTTTTCAATGTTTCCAATCCATTTCTGCACATTTTGGAATGAATCTGCATCAGTTATATCATAAACAACGATAATACCTGCACATCCACTATTTAATGAGGAAATGGAGAATGAGAATTTATGTGTGTTATGGAAATGATGGTAAACCTACCGATAATATGTTGCTTGAATGGTATTGTATCTCTCTTGGCCAGCACTTTTGTGTTAAAAACATGACAACAGTGACGTGTGACCAAGTCGTCGTGCGAGTTAAATGTTCGTTCAAGCACAAACTGTTATCTGTCAATTCCGCCCATTTGACACTTACGTATCCCATATCTGTAACTTTATCAGTTGATTATCAATCACTACATCTTTCTTTTTGAAATCCACACCAATGGTTGCAATATAATTTTCTTGGAATGATCCATCCACCCACTTGATTGCCAAGGATGTTTTTCCGACACCTATTGATCACACACACATTCCACATTGGCATCACGGATATTCGGATCATAATGGATGAATAGTTTTTTCGTGACCACAATATGAAGTCCGTGTCAATAATCGATAGTCAACCACAAATTTAACACCATGATCGTACACAACCGTTTAAAATTATCCATTCATTCCACCTACCTGCATCGCCGAGAATCAAAATTTTATAAGTCACTTTTGTTTCCGTAATTTCACCATGTCCCTGTACATTTAATTTGTTTTGTTGTCTGTTTGCGGACGATGAGGAAGAGGATTGTTTTGTGTTGTTACAATTACCCATCTTGTTTTGAGTTGTTGTTAATGAAATTATTGAGAGTGTGATTCAATATAAACCCTACGATGATGATGAGCTATTGATGAAAGCACGTGAGTATGATTGATACAGGAGAGCAGTCAACACCAAAAATTGAGAAATTCCAACCCGAACACTTTTTACTAATGTTGTATCGTAGTAAAGGTAATGATGAGAAAATTCTGATCAGCAACAACAACAACAAGTTGCGATGATGATTTTCAAGGTATTGCAAAAGATAATAACGGAGGAAATGAGACAATTTTTTTCCTTTTTGTACCCAATAATGAGCGGACTGGCCACTGAGGAGGATTCTATAGGAAGAAAGAATTCAGACATCTCTCGGAGAGATGTAAAAAGATCCTTGAGAAGAATAATTATTTTGGATGGATTCAATTTATTTATGGTCGTAAATATGAATTTTACTCATAACGTTCTTCTTCCTATCAACATTGAATTACATGTATCATCATCAAGGTGTGTTGATGAAACCATTAAAAATTATTAATTTTATTCATAATTAATTGAAAAAATACCACAACATCATAATGCCAGCCAAAAAACCCATTAAAAAGTTTGACCGAAACAAGCAAACCAAGCTTGAAGTACTTGTCGAAGATCTAGAAAAGACCGAAAAAGAAAGACAAGAACAAGAGGAAGCTGCTGAAAGTGATGATGAAGAGAGCACTGAAGAAATTGTAGTCAAGAAAATTGAAGCAAAGAAAGTTACCTATTGTCCCGAATGTACCTATCCAATCGACTATTGCGAATTTTCTGACAAATGGCCATTATGTGAGAAGTGGCTTGAAGCATTTCCTGAAAAGTTGAAGGAATTGCGAGAATTGAGAGAACACGACAAGTATAAAGATAAAACTGTGGATAAGAAGGTTGCAAGAGAAGTGAAGGAAATTGTGGAAGGAAGTGTTGGATCTTCCGATGATAATTCTTCAAAAACTTCATCTGTTTCAAAGAATAGAGAATTACTCATTCGTATCGATAAAAGAAGTAAGAGAAAACGTTTAACACTGGTTACTGGAATTGAGGCTTTTATGCAAGATGCTTTCAAAGGAGAAGAAAAAGTTTTGAAGGATGTTGTGAAACAATTTGGTAAAATGTTTGCCTGTGGATGTAGTATCGTGAAAAAACCTGAACTCAGCATTGAAATTCAAGGAAACGTTGCAGGAAAAGTTGCTAAATACTTTTCAAAAGAGTTAGGCGTTGATATGAATCAAATTTATATTCTTGAAGACAAGAAAAAGACAAAAGCTGTCGACATGGTATTTCATGATGAGGATGAGGAGGAAGACGATGACGAAAATGATGATTAAATTTTGTCAACAAACAATCACAATACAGTAACTTATTTCACATCAATGAACATGACAATGAAACTTGGCTTTGGAGACTCTGTTCAAATTAGCTAAGCTCAGATCGGTGCTGGTACCTTGATCCAAACAAACATTCACAGTTGCTCATTAATAAATTATTGGCACACAATTTATTGTTGCTTGCATTCTTGCTTTGGTGGCTCTGTTCCTTCTTGAGCAGCATTGACTTGAGCAGTAATCATGTCAGTAACTTCTGGAATAGTTGAAAAATCACCCTCTTCTGGAAGAGCAGTATTCAAGAAATATTTAACAGCATTAGGAATGATTCTATCCTTGAAAAGGTCACCAAATTCAGCTTCATTCTCCAACAATTCTTGAAGCATCATATTCTCTTCATTTTCTTCCTTTTGGACCTCTTCCTCAAGATTCTTGAAGAAGTTGAAGAAGGAATCCTTTGGTTCCTTAACTTGAATTGTTCTGGTTCTAGTACCAGACTTGTGCTTTTGTTTCTTGGTGGTGATCTTGACAGTCAAATCCTTGTCTTCCTTCCATTGAATTTCAGTTCCTTCACTGGCAGCAATGTCTTCGGAATCAGCATCTTCATAATAGTAGGTCTTGACCAAAGATTCGTTGGAGAAGAATGGATTTTCATTGAATTGGAAGATGATCTTGAATCCAGGATTGGACTTGAAGTCAATTTCTTCTTCCTCCTCTTCTGGCTTCTTCTCCTCGGTAGTTGCTGCTGCTTCCTTTGGTTTGGCACCAAATTCTTCAATCACAATGTTCTTCAAATACTTGAGAGCTTCCAAGTCTTCCTCTTGAATCCATTCAGATCTAATTTCAGAGTGGATCAAAACCTTGTACCAGAAATCTGGAATGCCCTTAAGGTCTTCCGCCTTTTCAGTTGTAACTTCAGGCAAAGTAACCTTGGACAATTCCTCTTCAGTGGCGTCCTTCTCACCGGTAACGATTTCGTTTCTTCTGACAAGGATTGGAGCTTGAAGAGCATTGTACTTTTCTCTGAGTTTTTGGTATTCCTTCTCGAATTCGTCCTCCAAATTCGTGTACTCTTGTTGAAGATTCTTGAGAACACCAATCACCTTTTGAGTCTTGGATGGATAGTTGGCAAGCTCCTTTTCTTCAATTTTCTTTAATTCTTCTTCGGTAGCCTTTCTCATGAGCATTGGGTGCTATTTAGTCATTTAAAGGTTCACATGATGAATAGTAGTAGTATTGTTGTTGTTGTTGTTATGTGGTGATGATGATGAAAATATTTTCACCAATAATATCAATTTAATTTGGAATTCATAAAAACCGTTAAGCCGAAAGCAACAATAAAAGTCCCTTTGTTACATCAAACCATACAGACATGATTGCGGTACAATACTTACACCGATCATTTCTTCTTCAACTTCTCCTTCTTCATCGTAGTCTTCCTCTTCAGCAGGAGCAAAGTTAAAATTGAACTTTTGGGCTGGCATGATGGTGTGTGCTGTGAGTTATTGTGAATTTTTTCAACAACAAAAAAAATTCTCTTCTTTGAAAAAATTGTTGAACAATCAAGAGAAAGATCTCGGTGCACGGAAATAAAGAAGACAACAACAGGTCTGGATTGAAATACCGTCTCGAGGTCCTGAATTATGGCAAAATGTTCTCACCATTCGAGAACAAAGAAGAACTATTCAATTTGTATTCATTTGAACGGAACAGCCTTGACAGAAGGCATCGAGACAATAAGCCTCAATTTCGTGAAACATGTTGATAGGAAATTCCTCTTGTGAAAAGTTAATTTCAAGTGGATCTCCTACTTTAAGTAATGTGTCAATTATGGTAATGGCAAACTTTTCGTTATGGAAGACCAAAAGTGTTTTAAGGTTTGAATTTCTTTCCAGCACAATACACCTTCAACACCGTGTGAAGTTGTGAAAAAAGGAAATTTCGATTGTCATGTCACATTGATTGGTTGTTGGAAAGAATAATATTAAGGATTGATCAAGATGAGGAAATCTACCAATACCTTCGACCTACCTAATCAAAAACATTCTTTTTTTTTTCAGTAAGCTGCAATATAAAACACTGCTTCTACGAGAATAATGATGAGTAAATTGGTGAAGGAGACACGTCAAGTTCAAAATTCAAGATGACCTAGTTTGAAAGATAACGACCGTTGCATAAACCATGAGAATCATGGACAGTTTGTCATTCATCGTGTACACCTATTTTTGTGGATAAGGAATAGAGCTCAGAACTTTAATAAATTCAACAGGACCAACTTTTTGTATTCAGTGAAAAAAAGCAAAGTTCAAACGGCAATTGTTGTGCGTGAACGAGGATCGTCATCCATGATGATCTTAATTTAATCTCAAAAATTCTTTTGACAACTCGTAACTCTTTAATTTTTCATTGCCACTATTTGTCTTGTCACAAGTCGATGATAGATACCATCCTTATCGTTTTGAAGAAGCTCTTCATGAGTACCAACTTCCTTGATCATTCCTTCGTCTAAAACAACAACATAATTTGCATTCTTAATAGTACTTAATCTATGAGCAATGATAATGACAGTTCTGTCAGCCATGACTTCTTCGAGAGCTTTGGAAACCAAATGCTCGCTTTCACTGTCCAAAGCAGATGTGGCTATTGTTACGATGATGTGAATTGAGGAAAAATTTGTGAATAATAATAAACACGATTTGTCACGTACCTTCATCAAGAGCAAGAATTTTTGGATTTAACAAGATGGCACGACAAATGCTTATTCGCTGTCTTTGACCTCCCGAAAGGGCAGATCCTCGTTCACCAATTTTTGTGGCATATCCATCAGGGAAAGACATTATAAATTCATGGCTAATCGAATAGTTTCAAAAAGTACGATACAGAATCATTAAATACACAAATACAACATCAACATATATAACGAAAAACATACCAATTAGACTTTTTGGCTGCCTCAATAATTTGTTCCTTTGTCACCTCTACCCCTTCTGGAATTCCATATCTAATATTGTCTTCTATACTCATGTCGAATAAAACTGGATCTTGGCTGACCACTCCAATGTGTGTTCTTAGCCAGGTGGCATCAAGTTCTCGAATGTCAACACCATCGATAGTAATTTTACCTTGATCAACATCATAAAATCTGCTCAGTAAAGCAAGAATTGTTGACTTTCCGCTTCCACTCGCTCCAACGCAAGCCACCACATCTCCTGGTTTGATCTGTAAATTGAAGTTTTTCAAAACTTGAACTTCCCTTCTTTGAGGATAAGAGAATGTTACATTTTCAAAAGAGATAGCTCCAATCACTTGTTCGAGTCTCTTTCCATGATCTCTGCTAAATTCAATGTGGGGTTTTTGGTGCATAAGCTCAAAAATTCGTTCACTAGAGCCCATAGCTTTCATTACATCCCCATAAACTTGGCTCAGGTTTGTAAAGGAAACGCCAACGTAAATTGAATATAATAAGAAGCTTGTAAGTTGTCCAACAGTAAGAACTCCGTTAATGACATCAAAACCTCCCAGTGCCAAAACAGCAAGCATTGACATGTTGGCTCCAAAATTCACCGCAGAATAGAATACACCTCGGGCAATGCCCAGTTGTCGACCAGATTTGAATACGTGATCAATTTTTTCTTCATAATTTTTCACTTCTTTCTTCTCAGCGGAAAACAATCTCACTGTACGAATGTTGGAAATTCTCTCTTGTGCGAATGCTGTTGCTTTGGCTAATTCATCCAAATAATTCTTTGATAGCTTTTTTACATATTTACCATAGACCACTGCTCCAATTCCTAATAATGGAAAAATTGAAACCGCTACTCCAGTCAATTTAAAGCTCAACACACATAATAAAATTATACCTCCAGTTGCTTCTACGAGCGAACGTACGCCAGAAATTATAGTGTGTGTAATTGTTTCGCTTACAACTTCTACATCTGTTGAAAGTCTATTCACCAATTCGCCTGTTTTGGTCTTGTCAAAAAACTCAATATCTTGTCTCATATAGGAGTCGAATAACTTTTTACGCAATCGTTTTTGAATTTTTTGGCCTGCAGTCTGTACAGCAGCATATCGTCCAATTACAGCTGCACCTGAGACTACGAACATTCCAGTAAGTCCATAACCAATTAATTTCAATTGATTCATTGCTTGCTCAGGAGGTAATGAAAGCGTGTCAACAAGTCTACCGATACCTATTGGCATAATTAGGGACACCGCTGCACTGACGGCAAGACATGCCAGTCCAATTGCTAATAATTTTGATTCCGGTTTTGCAAGATTAATTAACTTTTTTATCACCGAGAGTGAAGGGGTCTTTTTGCTTTGATCCGACAATGCTTGTCCTTCCGAAATAGATTGACTGTGAGATTCCTTATTGGATAGACTCACGTTTTCGTTGTGGTCCACCTTTTTGTCCAATTTATGATCAATATTGGCACAAGATTTGAAATTCGTTGAGTAAAAGGCTGATGAGTCTGTCATCATTCTTCCGAACATTTGTTTGTTGCTCCACTCATAATTTACATCAATTCTTCCGAAGGATTTTCCACAAAAACTATTCGTTATTGAAAATCTGTTGTTGATGTTTTTGATTGAACGGAATCCTTCTTGCTGCAGACCGCGACAACACTTTTTGCTCGCAGAAACAAATCGGATCATTTTTTTGCATGATTTTGATGTTTTCTTCTAAAGAAATGTCACTTGGAGTGTCCTTCGATATTATTAACGATATGACATTCAAATCAACAAAATATAGCTCCTAAAACCTTGGTTTTCGAAAATATCTCATCTCAATGGAAAAAACAACTTTAGGAAGCTCTTTTCAATGGCATTTAACCTTCTCATCTATTAATAATAATGACTCATTAGATCTTTGTGGAAAGGCATGAAAAAAATGGCCATTTTTCATTTGAAGGAAATTATTGAAATCATCTTGACATTCTTGCCTGAATGGGATCGGAAGAGCTCTGAACAAGTGTCTCTTACTTTCCACCAAGCGTGTAATGAAGTGGAAGAACGGGAAATGATTGAACGATTACAATTTGATGAGAAGGCTCTTCATAAAAGTATTCTTAAAGCACTCGATAAATGTCGTGATGATGATCGTGATGAGAAATTAATTTTGAAACAATTAGAAAATATTGAAAAAGCATTGAACTTTAAAATTCCATTTCATGTTCGGGTGTACATGAAACATTCCAAGATTTATCCAAGGAATGAAGCTATTCCGTATATTCCCAATCTCAACAGTTTTGTATTGCACCCATTCATGTGTATTTCTCCAATACCACAATGGAAAGTAAGAAGAGGACGAGACTGTGTCGTGATTGGTGAATATCAACCAAGGAAAAATGACAAATATTTAGTGGTACTGAATAATAGAGAAGGAAAGGGAGAGCTTGAGGTTGAAAGACATGTGAAAGTGATCTATCACCATCTCGAGTCGCAAAATTTTGTGGTAGAGTCAATATTTAAAGCCAACAGAATGGAAACACTTGTGGTTGGTACCTTGAAAAAATGGGTTTCCAATTTTGGTTACCTTAAAGATCAGAGTAAGCTTTCTGTTCTCACAGAACTGTTGAGGAGTTATCCTAACAATTGTATCTATCAGGAAAATGTTCTGTCTGACAATCCTAAACTGTTTTTGGAATATTTTGTTGCAAATTACAAGCAAGGTTATGTTGTCATGAGTTGGTTTAACCAATTGAAACAACGTGAATATCGTGAATTAATGAAACACAAAATTATCACGCTTGATGAATTACCAAATCATATTAGAAATGATGAAAAATTAATTCGTTTCGCAGTTGAAACAAATGGAATTAATTTAAGGTATTTAAAACGAACACATCACAACGATAGAGATTTAGTTATTGCTGCAGTGAGAGAGAATGGTTTGGCCATTGCATTCGCATCAAAAGCACTTAGAAATTCAGACCCTTTTGTTTTTTCACAAGCTTTTCAAAATAATCAGTTAGCACAATACTTTTCCGACACAAAGAACCAAAAAGAAGGATCCATATTCAGTGAAATATCATCATCACTTGATCGAACAGATCGAAATGATGATTTCATTGATCAATTTGAGGAAAATCTTCAACGTGGTATTTATGGTTGGGGTATTGAATATTTAACACAATTTCAAAAACAAATTATTCAAGCCATTTGTGAGAGTGGCAACAAAAATGTACTAATTGAAGGTCCTTGCGCCTCAGGTAAAACCATTGCGTCCATTATTGGAGTGCTACACAAGGGTTTAGATGATTCCAAAGCAGCTCCACCGGATCAAGTACAATGTTTGGTCATTTGCCCCACACGAGACATGGCCATTCAAGTTCAACTATTTTTCACCTCCCTGTGTGAGTATATGAAAGATATAACGATAGGCACCAGTACAGGTGGATTAATTACATACTATACAATGGAGTTTGCCAAATCTTATCGAATTATTATTGGAACTCCAGGAAGAATAGCTCATAAGGCAAAAACATATATGGAGCTATCTCATGTAAAGATAGTGATATTGGAGGGGTCGGATCAGCTATGTGCTGGAGAATTCGACAATGATCTCAATGTTATCTTTAAGAGACTACCCGCCACTTGTCAGAGTGTGCTAATTTCTTCAGTATTTCCGCAAAAAGTTGTCATGAGAATTGGACAAATGCTTGGAAGTTTCAAAGTCTTGAGATTGCCGATGTTAACAGAAAACCTCCCACACAAACATCAATTCCTTGATTTGTTGTATGAGGAAGAAAAGTTGACGCTCATTAAGGAGATTATAATAGACCATACTGATGTATCAATTATGATTTTTTGTAATTCGAGAAGAAACACAGAGCGCCTGAGCCAGGAATTGAGAGATTTTGGATTTTATTCTTTGGTAACACATGGTGACATGGACGATGCGGATAGACAGAAAACCGTTCGCGACTTTAGAAAAGGCGTTTGTAGAATTCTTATTTGTACGGACACAATGGCACGAGGGTTATCGATATCGCATCTTGGGCTTGTTGTCAATTATGACTTTCCAGAGAATAAGGTGGTATTTACCGAAAGGATGGGAAGACTATTGCACATCAATCCCAACAAAGAAAAACAAGTAATATCTTTTGTGACCAAGGAGTTTTCGAAAAAAGCAAAAGCTTGGTGTCGAGAGTTGGGTATGGAAAATCATAGTGAATGGACCTGGTGTTGAAAGTTGTTCCTGTTTAACCCAACAAGTAAAATCGAAGAAATATGACTACTTTATTCTCCAATGTCATGCAACTCTCATGTCAACTCATCTCTTCATAGCAACATTGATTCGAGTCAGTCAAAACGAAAAAATACATCTGCAACTTTCCAAATATTTCTAAAATTGAACAATTTTGTAATGGATGTGTCTGTTGAAATGTACAATGCGTAAAAGGTGTTTCCCATATTCATGGAGACCTTAGAATTACTAAAAGTACAGCCTGTGTAAATTTGTCTTAAAAGTCGGGACCATTCCAACTTGGAGTATTCACCCGAGTTGCTCGCGTTTAATGCACTTCTACCCATACCACCAATATACACTTCTTTGTTTTCTGTTGACCAAAATTTCAAGTGAAACCAAATTCAGGAAGTCACTAATCGGATAATTCGACAATGTTGGTCCACAAACTTACTCGTTAAAATCATAGAGTTGTAGCCTCCACAAACGATATCTGCAATCTTTGATATCTCAAAAGTATCCAAAAGTATTGGTGTACTATTTACACCCGAGTTTGTTGAACTGTTTCGTCCAAATTGATAGAAGTTGAAATACCCAAACACATAAATTTTGGACGACCTGCACAGAACAGCAACAAAGAACAATCCAGTTCTCACATCTACTAAAATGAATATTAAGACGATTGTCATTAAGACTCACATTCGAAAAGAAACTGACCTGTCACAAATTCATGTGAAATATTTGAAAGTAGAGTCCAACGGTGAAGTAGAGCACCTGATTCACTCGCCAATCCCGAAGCACCATAAGACCGATCACCACATGCGTATAATTTCCCTTCGTCTGTCAAAATAAAACTTGTGTTATACGTCGTGAAAATTCTAATAATTTTTCCAGTAACATGTAAAGTGTCAGATTTGTGCCAAGCAGTTGTATAAGGATTATTTCCATATGGGAATCCTATTTGACCATCTTTCAGTTTGTAATGAGGGTGTGTATTAAATTCATCACCATAAATCATACAGTGACACTCGATCAAATTGTCACTTTGCGCTCATAGTTTGACTTACAATTTTGTCCATATCCATAAACATTTCCAACATTGGTAAGTATTAATAAATGTGTTGAGCCTGCTGATACATCTACTGGATATTCTTTATCTTTTGGCCAAGGATAATCATTTGTTTTCCACTTGGCAAGTTTGTCCGATGCCATATTAAAAGAATCATTGAAATAAACACTCTTGTCTTTTGCTACAAGTAATAAATGGCGACGTGATGTCATCATTTCAATTGGATCAGGAATGTCGAGTTTTTGAAAAGGTTCTCCAGCAAAACAATGATAAACATCTCCCTCTGTCGTCAAAATAAATGTTCGTTCCTCTGAAGCCATGACTTGTTTGATCGAAATATTATAACAATCATAAATAGTGAGAGTGTTATTTCCCGAACTGACAACCATGATCACACTTGATCCTCCCGATAACGGTCTTCCGTTGCTGGTGGTTTGATCTACTTGTGTTGAGTTCTGTAATTTTTTCTGGATGGCCTGAATAGTTTCTTCAAATCCAGAGACAATTGGATCATATTTGGTATTGAATGGAAAGGGACCAGGAGGCAGTTCAAGAGAAAAACATGGATCAATCTTCTCTTCGGAAGAACAACCTCTTCCTTTAGACATTTTTTAAATACCAAATCTTAAAATAAAAATGAGCAACAGCGAAAAGGAGAAGGAAGCTCTCTCGTTAGAGAAAGAGGGGAAGAAATAGTAGGTGGTCCTTAATCATTGTATTTCAAATCGATGGAAGAATATGAAATTTCTTTTCCTATTTGTTATGGAATGAACAGTTCCTCCAAGAGTTTATTGAATTTTTTTAAGCCTGATTATGATTCGGCGGCCGTTGCCTTTGAGAAAGCAGGCTTAATTTACAAGCAATTAAAACAACCGGCGAAGGCTATTCAATGTTTTTCTCAATGTGGAGAATGTTTCGGTAAATGTGGCATGTAAGTTGAATGAGCAGGTTTTCTGGTATATTGGAAGTGCATGTAAAAAACTGTATTATTCAGATATTACAAATCGGGATCAGCGTTTGAGAATGCAGCCGCTTTATGTAAAGACCTTAAAGAATTTGATAAGGCAACAGATTTGTACAGTAAAGCATTTCAAATGTATGTTAATGATGGGAAAGGAAACAGAGCTGGAGAGGCCCTGGTTAAAGCAGCAAAAGTGATGGCAGAGTCGGGAGCATTGACTCAAGCCGTTGAATTATACAAAACGGCTCTTGAATCAATTTCAACAAGTGGATATCATAACGCGATGAACACATTTCGATCGTTCAATAGTTTTCTTCTTCAAAAATCTCTTTATGAAGAAGCCATCCAAAACGCGTTTGAAATGATGAAAGGTTACAAAGACCTAAATCAAAAAGATGGACTTTGTAAAACCTGCACCTCTATCGTTCTAATTTGCTTGATGATGGATGACTATGTAAGGGCAGATGAATTTCATAAGAAATTTTCAAATGAGGAGAGTGATTATTTGTCGTCACCAGAATGCGACATTAGCATTGAGTTTTTAGAAGCATTCGATCGAATGGATGAAAATTTGCTCGAGAAAGCAAAAACCAATAATCAATTGAAATATCTTGAAAGAGAGGTTTATAAATTGGCAATGAAATTGAAAATATCTGCCAACATGAGAGGAAGTGCTGGCGTGTCTCTAAGACCATCCACCAGAACAAACACAAAGAAAAACATATTGCTTGATGATGATGAAAAAGTCGAGTCAGAAGAAGAACAAGATGGTGAGGAAATATCGAAGGATATTGACCGACTTATTGTGAAAGATCATTCAGATGAAGAGAATGAAGATCCGTTTGACCCAGATGATTTGACCTAATGTTATCAGAATTGAGTTTTATGAAGCATTCAATCCAAATAATTTCAAACAATTATTAAAAAAAATGACGACTCTTCCTGATGCTGATATCAAACAAATTATTGAAAAGGCAGCCCAGTTAGGCTGTTGTCTACGTTGTGCTTTGTCTTATTTAGATTTATTCAAAATGAATATTTCTATGTATTCAAAAAAAGAAGCACAGTTAGTGCAGGTCTTGCTAGGAAGTGTCAAAATGGATTGCTTCGATGATCATCAAACATCATCATCACCGAAAGCAAGCTCGGACGACGAGTGCAAACATGAAAATGAACCGATTTTAAAACTGTTAACAAGTCGATGTAAAATTTGTTTTGGAGCTTTTCAAGATGAATACTTGCATCATCGATTACCCTTAGAGATGGAAAAGGTTTATAATCAATATGAAACACAATTTTTGAAAGAATTTCATGTCTCTCTATTGTATTCTCCTCACTTTCAAATGAGAGAACATTGCTTTAAATTTTTACTCTCCAAGCAAGTGACCTCACAAAAAGTACAACAATTATTGCAATCTCAACCCCCTTTGGACAGAAAGAGATTACTGAAAACGACCGTTTCAGACATTTTTGAAAAGATGATGAGGAGTAAAATTGGAGATGACTCATTGAGAGCGAATCCACAATCTGCTCCTCTTTTAATTGAAATTAAATTAAATGACGAGTATTTATTGAAAGCAAATTCTGAAACGCCACAACCTGAGGATGATAAGCTGTCCCCAATGAAAAAAAAGAGAAAAAAGAATAAGAATGACCGTAACAATAATTTAAATTTGCAAATGGTGTTGAAAATGAACACGTTGGAACAATTGGAGAGCGTCATTCAAACTGAAATTCCAGATTGTTGGCGGTCAGATTTATCAGACTTGAACTCGACTGCATCTATTGAATGTGATAAGCAGTTTCTCTCTGTAACCGGCCTTCATTTGGTGGTGTACATATCAGGATATTACCGAAAGTTAGAACGTGGACTGCCCCAATCACCATGGGTTATGAGAGGATCGAAGGATGACGAACAAAGTACCAGAAGTGTAGATACCTACATTGGAGAGCCCGTTATGAAGTATACTCTAGCAGATTCTTACAAATTTGATTCTTCAGGAAGAGAAGACAAGAACGTAAGAATGTTAGGAAACGGCAGGCCATTTGTTTTTGCCGTTCACAATCCAAGGAGGTGTCACTTCACCCATGAACAAGTGAAAGAAATTGAGAACACAATTAATACACTGGCGAATGGATCCATACAAGTCCACACCATCCAAATTCACTTTGACAATGCAATTTGTCAAAAGATGAAAGCAGGTGCCGAAGAGAAAAAGAAAAATTATAGATGTGTCGTTTGGTGTGAAGCAGACATGATGAATCAAGCTACTCTTTCACCAAGCAACCAAGACCATCATTGTGTGCCTTTACAACAACGAATTACCTCATTCCTTGAAGGCATTAAGGATTTGGAAATTGGACAAAAAACTCCTCTCAGAGTACTGCACCGCAGAGCGTTACACATCCGAAAGAAGATCATTCACTCCATCAAGTGTGTGGAATTTCTAAATGCTCACACTCTAGTTCTCGATCTATCCACCAGTGCAGGCACTTATGTGAAAGAATTTATTAATGGCGATTTTGGAAGAACGGATCCATCGTTTGGAACACTGTTAAGCCAATTTTTTGAAAACCCAACACCTTTCAATACTCAAATTCTTCAACTCGATGTCATGGATATCGAAATGGCATTGTAAGCACCATTGGCCAAGTTCTTTAAGTGACTTGAACAAGGTTGTATCCAAACACTTTCACGTGGTCATTCGTCTTGATCAAAGCGATGAACACACGAATGAACAACATCCAAACACACAATTGTCGAGACTCGAGTCCATTATCTTTGTTCTTAAAAGCCTCTTTCCTCAAAATACGTATTTCCTTTTTATCTTGCCTTGTCCAAATCGAGAGTGTTGGTAAAAAATAAGATGGTGTGCCCAACACCTGATTCTTACAACAGAATAAAAAATGCAAACCACAGTTCCTTCGTCGCTTTCTTCTCGTGATCAGCTCCATCATCCTCTTCTCAGTTTCATCACCTATAAACGATATAATGGGATTGTATTGGTGTTATCCATTGGTTTGCTTTTCATATCATTACTGAGTGTGTTTCCTAACGCTAACAACAGAAGTGTACTTGCATCGGAAGTGGAGAATCTCACCAAAGCCAAGATTTGGATTTATTTCAAGGATAAAGGACAAGAAGTTTCTAATTTAAAGTCCTCTACTCAAATACCTGTCATCATTCAAAAGAGATTGTTGGCATTGAAGAGTAAGAAGAATAGTAGATCGGTCGGTGAGGCTGAAGCAAGCATGATCTATCCGACAAATGTGGCCATCACTGAAAAATCTCTTGAAAGAAGAAGAAAACAATTGGCACAATTCGAAATCAGAAACAAGAATAATTTAAAAAGATCGGATTTATCAGAGTCTTCATTGTATTCAGTACATGACATTCCTATTCATGAAGAATATGTTGAAAGAATTGAATCAATACTGAGACCTGATCAAAAAATTGGAGTCAGAAGCAATTGGTTGAACGCTATTAGTGTGGCTGATGTTACACAGGACCAAGTTCTCAAAATTCAAAATATGGATTTTGTTCAACACATCGAAGAAGTTGCGAGTTTTAAAAAACGAACTCAAGTATCGGAAGAGCCAATAATTACTACAAAATCCTCACACAGGAAAACGTCACAAAACTCAATTTATGGATTGGCACAAGAGCAATTAAGTCAAATTAATGTTATTCCAATATTAGAATCAAATCCGCATTTAAATGGAACAGGTGTTACTGTTCTCATTTGCGACAGTGGATTCCATCGACAGCATAGAGCATTCAAAAATTTGAAGCTTGTGGCAGAGTATGACTTTGTTTATGGCGATACCAACACAGACAATGAACAAAACGAATCTCCAACTGTTGCGAACCATGGAACTCAATGCTTATCAGCACTCGCAGGTTATGACCCTTATAACTTTATGGGAGTAGCACCAGGCATTTCTGTACTTTTAGCAAAAACTGAGGATGTCAGATCTGAAACTCCAGCTGAAGAAGACAACTTTATCGCTGCTGTCGAGTGGGGAGAACGAATGGGTGCCGACGTATTGAGTGCCTCCCTTGGCTACACCGATTGGTATTCACATGCAAAGAAGAATTACAATGGTGTCACATCACCCCTTACCCGAGTGGTCAACATTGCTTCTCGATATAAAGGAATAGTGTTGGTTCTAGCAGCCGGCAACGAGGGCAGTGAAGGTATTTCAACTCCTGCAGACGCATTTGACTCAATCACTGTTGGATCTGTAGACTCTAGTGATTTTATTTCAGGCTTTAGCAGCAGAGGCCCTTCAGACGATGGACGGATTAAGCCAGAGGTTTGTGCACGTGGAAGCAGAACCAATGTTGTCTCTCCAAACACTGACTCTGACTATACCATCAATTCTGGAACTAGCTTTTCGACTCCCATTGTTGCTGGCTGTGTTGCTTTGACCCTGCAAATGCATCCTAATTGGACCCCTTATCAAGTCAGAAAGGCATTCATGTTGACAGCATCCCAAGCTACTGCTCCAGACAACAATTATGGATGGGGTATTGTGAACTTGGCTGCAGTTATGAATTTCAGTCAAAACTCTTCATCATCTTACTTTAATGACTCGCCAACACCATGCCCTGTTACAACCAATCTTGGACCTCTCTACAACAGTGAATGTGGATGGAAAGCTAATAGAGGAGTCTGTTTTAATGGATTGTGTCGTTGCTACTTGTCTTCCTCTACTAAGGATTCATGTGATATTCCATCGACAGGTTCTTCTATTTCGACCAAATGTGGACTTCATAATTGCAAAGGTGGAGTTTGTTCTAAAGAGAAGTGTCTATGTTTCTATGGATGGAGTGGTTCTGATTGCAGCATTCAAGAGGCTATCAGTATTTCCAGCAAAATTTTCCTCTCCCTTAATTCTATAGTAATTGTCTTTCTTTTTATTATTTTCATGTAATCACAGAATTCATTTATTGATCTTCAACATTAAATTATTATCATCTCTGATAATTGTATTATTGTCATTATTAAGGAATTATTGCTTTTTTCATAATTCAGAAATCCATCCTCGCTAAACATCAACTAGTACCAAATGAATTAGTTCAAAGGCATTATTTTTGTTTCATCACCTTGTGTTGTGACAGGTTCATTCAACTAAAAGGGACTCTTCTTGTCATGCTATCGTTGCCTTTTCCAAAAAGTAAATACCTTTTCATCTTTCATAGGTTCGCAATTTTCACTCCCAAAAAAAAGCAACCATGTCGTCATCCTCCTCACAAATACTTCCCAAAGTCATTGTCCAAGTTGGTACCAACCAACTCATCCCTCTCGATATGCATTCTCTCTTCTCTTCTTCTTCAATTTCTCCCAAACAAGTCACATTCATCGATGTCTTGGACGCTCTTCAAGACAAGTTGGAAATCATTTTACCAGCCAAGTCCTCCGAAAGTTCCATCTCTAAAACATTTGCTCAATCCGATTATCAATCCATTCTTTCACAACCTTCTCTCGAATCGGAACAACAAGTGCTTCTCATGTTGTGGAGTGTGAAAACAAAGAGCTCTCGAAAAAACTTTTTGAGTGGAATGGTCGAGCGATCGAGTGCAGCATTGAGAAGAAAAATAGAAGGAAATAACATTGATTCCAATGCTTCATCTGCCATGATGAATGGAGGAGATTCGTTGGAAAACGTTGTAGCTGTGATTTCACCTATTCCTATTACTGAAGGAAAGATCAAAAAGAAATTATTGAAAATGAATGAAACTGTCTACAGTCATAGTGGAGAATGGTAAGTAGGAATGAGTCATTTAGTCGAAATTGTTTCATCTCAATGTCAACACTTCATGAACAAACACTCTAAAACAACTAATACTTTTGTTACTAACAACAAATCATCATTGAAAAGTATCAATTTCAAGTTATTGTCCCAAGTGGCACCTTCCATCACTGCTTCACTTCCCGAACAAGTTCTTGAAAGTGGTTGTGATTTCTTGTTTTTGGAATGTCATCCCTCGATTGAAACCTCTCGAGTCACAGTGTTGAACAATTCTTTGAGCGCCACTTGTCTCAATGAAACTTTATTCAATACGGAGCATTATTACTCTCAATTCATGTCGAATTCCATATCGTTGAACTCCTCTCTTGAATCACAAAAGATTCAAATGGGAGATTTATTGAATGAGGAATTATTGAAACCTGTGAAAATTCCATACTTGTTGAGAGTTTGTATGAAATATGTGAGAGATCATGGAGGTTTGAAAACTCAAGGAATATTTCGAGAGGCTGGATCGAAACGAAAATTATTGGAACTCTCAAAATTGTTTAACACATTTATGGCATTCCCTCAAATGTTTGTAAATAAGAGTATTGAAATTCCAGCACATTTCGGAGTCATGATTGCAGCAGATATGATCAAGACGTATCTTCGAGGATTACCAGATTGTTTATTGACTTTTAGACAAGTATGACTCTCTTATTGAATTATTTTCAAATAAGGAACACAATGAAAGTTACTTGTTAGAAAAAACCAAGTTAATTTTATTGGACTTGCCTGAAGTGAATCGAGCTGTCTTGGTTGAATTGATGACCCTCTGTCATGACATTTGTTGCGTCGAAGAAAATGTATCACTCAACAAAATGTCATCAAGAAATTTGGCGATTGTTCTTGGACCAAATATACTCTTTGTTCCAACAGTGAATAATTCAGAAAGAGTTCACATGGATAGTTTCAAGAGACTTTCTATTCGATCTGAAATTAAGAGACAACAAGAAACCATTTCAGTGGTCTGTGACGTGTGTCAATTCCTCATTGAACATCAAGAAGAGCTCTTTAGAAAATCTGTGCTCATCAATTCATATTCACATCCACTTTCAACACGAGAATTGAATGAAGATGAAGCCTCTGATCACACCAAGCATTCACTAAATAATGGAATCATTAACAATTCTGAAGCACCAGCAGCAGTGATGAACGATCTCTTAATGGCTCTTCAAGAAAAAGAACAAACCATTTCTCAAATGAAACAAGAAACCTTCTTGAAATTGCAAAAACAGAAAATGATCAAACAATTACAAGCAGAAAATGCACTTCTCGCTCGAGAGAACAAACAAATTTCAAAATCTTTGGAAGAAACATGCAATGAATTGCAATATTTGAAAACTCAGATCGAACAATTGACATTGAACGGAGAGATGGATTCGAATCATCTTTCACCCATGAATGGAATCCCAACCATTGCAAGTGTTTCAACAAGTGATTCAATCGACACGAGTAGTGAAAGTAGTAGTTCAGAAAGTGCCACCACCTTTGAGAAAGTCACTTCCATCATGTTTACACTGCTTGTCATTTCACTATCGGTTTGGATCTATGCCAACTCTGTATTTGAATCATCACAATGATCATTAGCATGATCACTTGAAAAGACCAGTCCAACAACTCCTGTAAACTTTTTTCATGGTATCACAAACTTGTTCAAAAGATCTTCGAGTGAACACTCGAAAAAAAAATTAACGATTTTTATTAATAATATTATTTTTTATATTGTTGATTCATCATCCTCTCCACGACGACGACGACGACGATTGCGTTCAATTGGTTGTTGCACGTGAATTGTTTTGTTGCTCTTTATTGCTCAAACATATTCATCACCAGACGCGTGCCTTTAATGGACTCTCGTAAAATCCGACAAGTGTGCTTTACTGCTTTTAATTCCGAAAGAAAGGTAGGATATCAAAATTTAGTTCATTTTCATTCTCATACTAATAATGATAATCATCATCATGAATATATATATTTGGACGAAATGTTATAATGGTGATGATGATTATAGCGGGAACTTGCAGATAAAGCAACCAAGCTGGGATTAATTGTGGAATATAACTTTGAAACTCGGACGGATGTTCTAGTTGCTGCCAGAGTCGGAACTGATAAATATCGACAGGCCATTGCAAATGATGTTCCCATAGTAAAAGAGGATTGGCTTATTGAATCAGCAAAAGAGGGAAAATTATTGGATATTTCAAAATTTAAAGTACCTCCATTATATGGCTGTAAAATTTGTGTCACTGGGTTCAAAGAAGAAGTGAGGAACCACATTAAAAGAATGTGTGAATTGAATGGAGCAACATATAATCCTGCTCTGATTGCAGGATATACTCATCTCATAGCAAAGGTAGGCAATATTGTAAAACTTTGGATGTTTACAATTTTAAATATTTAACCACACGTGCAGAAAACAGGATCTGAAAAATTTGAGTTTGCATTAGAAAATGATATCAACGTGGTAACTAGCAAATGGCTCGACGATTCTATAAAATTAGGGTATGCCCAAGATGAATCTCATTATTTCCTGGCCTCTCTTACGGAAAAACAAAAACAAAAATGTAAAGAAATTTTGGCCAAGTAAGTTGTGACACCTTATTGTTCATACAGAGTCCAAATAGCTTCACTTTTTCAAAGATATCAAGCAAAAGCGGTGTCTGAGATTGATGACATTCCTACCTCCAGTACTAGCACAAAACCTTTTCCTAACCTCTCTGTTCAACCTACACAAATTAACAAAATTGATCCTATGGACACAACAGATTTTTCAGCCTCCCAATTTTCAACAGAAGATGCCGACATGTCGTTACTCAATGGCCTTGTTTTTTACTTGATTGGATTTACTCATTCCATAACAGAGGTGGTAAGTTTTTTAAACCAAACAAGAAGCCCATTTGAAATTTTTAAATTGTCAAATCGATGATTTTAATGGTTAGAGAAAAACTATAAGAAACTACGGAGGTATTGCCTCTTTTTCTCTATTACCGTCTATTAATTATATTATTGTGGATGAAACCATGGATACAACGGACATGGTTCGCTCTGTAATGGAAAAATTGAGCTACGAACCGCCAGTTGTTCCTTTCAAGTGGCTAAAAGACTCTATCAAGAACATGGAAATTCAATCAATAGACTTATACAAAACTAACTCTCATAATGACAACAAGAGCGTCAACAACAATGACAATAACACTGATATAACATCAACAACTACTACATCTCCAAGTACGTCAAAGACAGATTTTATTGAGCTCGACATGACGGATGAAGAATTGGCAGAAGCTTTAAAGTCTCAACGTGCTTCCCAGTCTACAGAAACAAGTAACGAAAAGAATTCAACGAAAATTTTCTCAAATTACTCACTCCAACTTTCGGATCTATTATCAAGCACAGATAAGCAACAAGCTAAAATTATTATAGAACGAAATGGAGGCAAAATTGTGAAAACATCAGCCGATTTTATAATATATCCACAGTCTAGTAAGGCTGCTAGAGATAATAATCCAAAAATAAGAACCTTAACATGGTTGAAAGATTGCGAAAATTCGAATTCTGTGAAAAACGTGAAGGACTCAATACTCTATTTTCCTACGTTTAGACTTGCATTTAACAAAATTCCTTCGAAAGAAGAAGGTACAACAATGAAGAACGAAGACGTGATTGTCGTCATTTCCGGTTATCAAGAGGATAAACCTCTACTCACGGCAATTATTGAAGCTTTAGGAGCTAAAAACAATGGAGCATTGAAAAAAACTTCAACTATTTTAGTATGCGAAGATGCTTCTGAGAAGTATCACTTTGCAGTGAAAAACAACATCCCCATTGTTACCAAATATTGGCTGATGGAGAGTTACAAAGCAGGATACTTCCTTCCACCAAGTGACTTTAAATTACTTATTTCAGAAAACAAAGAAAATATGACTACAAATACTGTCACCACTGCGAGTACATCTACCACTGGAAAAACTGAGCCAAATACTACAAACTCAACAACAGCAAACGCCAATGATGTTGCTGTATCTATTCCAGTTGACGCTCCAACTCCTAAAGCCGATCAGAAAGAAGCTTTCAAAACAGAAATAACTCCCACAAAGATGGAAATTTTGACTGATGAAAATGCACGAGATACTATTTCACCATCAAAACCTCTCACTGTCGCAACACCTGTAAATATAACCTCACTAAGCAACGTTAAGAGTAGAGTACTTGACTTGTTACCAAAGAAGAAGACGAACACAACCAATAAGAATACAGACATTTTTAGCGAGCCCTCACCCGAGACAACTTTTGTTACAAAGAAAAATCTAGAGTCGAATATATTTATTTCGAACGATCCAATGGACTCAAATAGTGGCTCCGTAAATAGCATGAGTGATTTTGGAGCTGAATACGATATGAAACTCAAGAAAGAAAAATTGAGCAAACTCGCTCAAATCCACTCACCGTCACCCTATGCAACGCAACTTGAAACTCAAATCGTTTGTCACGATTCTGAAAGTCACAAAGATCTTTGGAAATCCAGCTATGAGAAAAAGCAAAAAACATTTCTTTTGACATCTGTCAATGATAAGTCTCATTTGGCAACATGTATTGTACATCTTGGAGGAAGAGTTGAAGATACATTCTCATCTTCAATCACCCACCTGATAATGGGAACTCCATCGACCACTGAAAAATTCTTTTGTTGTGTGGCATCAGGATGTTGGATATTGAAACCTGAATACGTGATTGATTCTTTCAAGCAGCAACAGTGGCTTGATGAAGAACCTTTTCAATATCGTGATGCTAAAGAGGGTGATTTGTCTTCTCACTTTGCGAGTGCTATTAGGATTAGAGAGACCAAACAACAACCATTTGCCAATCTAATTGTCTATTTTGCGGAGGCTCATCAGTCCTATGCCAACATTATTTTAGCAGGTGGAGGTAAGATCTTAACCGATGTCCAGAATTTGGAAAGAGACTCCTGTACCCATATCTTTTACTCGACTGACAAATCAAAGGAGGTTCAAAAGCTGAGAACCAAATATCCCAACATTCCTTGTGTGAAATCAGAAATCATCAGTGTGTTGCTTTCTCCAGCTGCTGAAGGCAAGAGAAGTATTGAACCATCTGCCACCGACACTGTTCCACAACCTGAAACGAAAAAGAGAAAGTTTATTAAAAAGTAAGGAATGGAAGATCGTTTCAAGTCAATATAGAATACATAAGGAGATGACGACAAGAGTGCACACCTGATTCGATAGTCTTTACAACTTTTATGGCAAACCTTTAATGACAAGAAAATATTAAGGACGCATGTGTTCTCAGAATGCGAAGATTTATGATTATCATAACGAATAAAATCGGCTGTGTGTCTTTGATGTTCTTGAGCGGATCGCTAAAAGTGATCATTACAATCAAGAAAGCGCAAATTTAAAACTTCGCTTCAAGTGACACCTTCCAGTCACAGCACCACACAAAAAATATGAAACACTTGATTGCACTTCTCTTGGTCGCGTTATTGGCCATCTCAGCAGTCACCGCTTCTGAAGAAGTGGTCACTCCACAAGCAGACCAACAACTCCAATCCTTCTTGGAGGATGTTGCTCAAGCTGAGGAACAAGCAGATTTCTTCCTCACTCCAAGTATCATTAGAAAATTGAAGGAACCAAGATATTATATTTTGACCGATGAAGAACTCGCTGACAAGAGCTTCTGGGACAAGGCTTTGAAGGTTGTTGGTGAAATTGGAAAGGGTATGTAATTTGATTGATGTTGTATCGCTAACGTTAGGGTGGTCTCAATGATCGCATGATGCCATCCACAATTTGACTTTTTCACGATTGACTCAACCGTTATTTGTTGACACACGTGTAACATTAAACGTGTTCACCGAAACTGACATTCATGATCTCACTAACAATAATAATATCAACAACAACTACATGCAACCGAATAACCTCTTTCCAAACACCTCATTGTCATTCTGCATTCGCGAATTATTAAACTCACACCAACCACTCGTTTGTATGCCGATCGTCATCATCGTCGATTATAATCATCACGACCCAATGATCCATCATCACAATCATTCACAACAACATTAACAGCTGCCATCCGAGACTACATCAACAAGAACTGGGATGAAATTCCAGAAGAAGAAGCCGATATTAAACTCGGAAAGTTGTTCAAGAACATCCTTCCATATTTGAAGGCTGCTGCCAAACAATACATCAATAACAATTGGGGTGCTCAAGAAATGGCTGACAAACCTCAAGAAAAGTGGAGCCGAATCATTAAATGTATTTTGCCATACATTAAGCGTGGTGTGAAGGACTACATTGCTGCCAACTGGGAAGAAGAGGCCGATAAGGGATTGTGGAAGTCTGTCTGGGAAGTTGTTAAGGAAATTGGAAAGGGAGCAATCAAAGACTACGTCAATAAGAACTGGGACAATGAAATGGAATTATCTGACAAGTTCTGGAAGAAGGTCTGGAACATTGTCAAGGAAATCGGTAAGGGAGCTCTCAAGTCCTATGTCAATCAAAACTTTGATGCTGTGGAAATGGCTGATACTACCAAATTTAACATTGGAAAATTGATCAAGAAGGCTTTGCCATACATCAAGGCTGGAATCAAGGATTATATTAACAAGAATTGGGATGCTCAAGAATTGGCTGATTTGGAGAATGATGAATTGGCTGATTTGAAGTTGAAGAAATTCTTCAAGAAGGCTTTGGAAGTTGCCAAGAATTTGGGAAAGACTTACATTCGTACTCAATTTGGAATTCCTTTGGAAGATATTCCTCAATCTGATAAATTCTTCAAGAAGATTTGGAAAGTTGTTCGTGATCAAATCAAGAATTACCTTAAGGAACGTGTGAATCAATATGTTGTTCCTGTTGCTCCTGTTGCTTCCGAGGAATTCTATGATGAAGAGGCTGATGTTGAACTTACCTTTAAGGAATTGTTGAGCAAGGCTCTTCCATATTTGAAGGCTGGTATCAAGGAATACATTAACAAGAACTGGGATGAGGAACAAGCGGATATCATTGATTATGAAAAACTCTTCAGAATTGCTTTGCCATATCTCAGAGGTGAAAAGGTTCTTGAAACAGCTGCACTCCGTGGTTAAATAAAGAACTCTAGAGATCAATGTTGTAAACTACATGAACACACGCATTGTTGCGATCTATATTTTTCTTTCAAAGCCTTTAATCACGTTTACCACCGTATTACTAATTAGTCAGTCATTCATATGATTCGAATTCTTGCCAAATTCAGATAAAGTCTTTCAAAATGAAATTCTCTTTAATATGAATGGTCTTGTCTCTTCAGATGATGAAACGGAAACGAGACTGAATTATGAAATTGCATTCAAAGAAAAAATTCAAACGCAAGAGAGAAGAAGGCTCAAGACAACATCAGGATGGATGAGAATCCTCTCCCGTTTCAACATCATCACCTCGAGGAAGACCACGAAAACGAGCATCAAACTCTCCATGGTGATGATACTTCACTCCATGGAGTGGAAGGAGGAATTCAATTTGATGAAGAAGAAGACAATGGAATGCCAATGACATTGAATCCTACTCATATTGATATGGCATCAAATGGGAATCATCAACACGTTGATGATGATCTGACCAAGCTCATGAGTCTTCCTAATTCCGAAGAACATGCAACTCATGAAGAAGAAGGAGAGGATGATTTATTAACCATGGACGTTGTTCGATTCGGTAATTCTTCTTCTTCAAAGAGAGGCATGAAAGAGCTTCCAAGCGAACCACAAGCCTCAACATTGGATGGAAATTATTCCTTCGATGATCATGGAAAGGATTATGTCCTGAAGAGCGTAAAAACATGTGAAAGAAAGAAAAAGAATCAATCTAAAGTTTACAAAATTCACAAAATATTGTGGAAAAGGAATCACGAAGCAAACTACCCACAAATACACTTGAATGATGGTGTGGAAAACAAAACGGAGTTTATTTATTTAATTATGAGTGAAATCGCAACCGAAAGCGATGTTATTGGAGTTACAGAACAATTCGGACCAATTTTGATTGGATTAGACATTAGGAACTGCAATTTGTCAAAAAAATTGAAAACTCAACCACAAGCAAAAAAGAGAAAAAAGGAGGAAGAAAAAGAAGAGGATGGTGAAAAAGAAGACTTTTCACATCCAGTTCTTCAATCCATTTCCTCCAACTGCCTTAATTTAGAAGTTTTGAAAATTGACGGAAACAATTTTAATGCAGAGCAAGTCGCAGCCAGCAAATTGTTTGAAAACTGCGTGAAATTAAGAACATATTATGGACCTATGAGTTTTTCTTGCCTCAATTCGAAAAATAAGTCTATTTTAGCGAAATTACAAAAGATAAAATTAGAGCTGGACTCACTTCCAATTACTTTAGCGAGAGCTGTCGTAAAAAACACAAAGAAGGGACCTACAATTGTGAAAATTGGAAAAGAAACATCAATTCCATACAAGGCATTTCAGGAATTTGGAGAGGATGTCCACAAACTGATCATCGACACAGCTAAATATTCAGGATCGAAGGAGAATCTACCAAAAATATTGAGGAATACATTTCCAGACCTAGAGGAGCTTCATATCGTCAATGAGTCCACTATTGATTCAACAGATTTAAAGATAATTGGAAAACTTACCCAACTTACAGTGTTAAATTTTACACATTGTGACACCATTACTGATCTTGGTCTGGCCACAATTTTTCAGAAATGTACGCTATTAAGAAAAATAATTTTGGATAACTGTTGGCAAATTTCGGATGAGGCATTTTCACATTTAAAACATCTTCCCAACTTAACTTATATGGACATTTCAAATATTCGGGTGACGAATTCAACCCTCAAAACCATTGCAAATAGCATTTCAAGCGGAGATTTATTTACTCATTTCATTTCTGAGAATAATTACAATGCAACAGATGAAGGTTTAAAGTTCTTCTTAGAGAAATTTCCAAATTTACAATGCCTTGACATTAATAATTGGGGCAAACTCACTGATGCAACTCTTGAAAACATTGGAAACTTTTTGAAACATCCCAAACATCTTGGTCTAATGCAAGGATCAAAATCAAAACCTCGTTACACATCCAATGGACTTCGAAAGGCACTTCAAAGCAAGACCATCGAAACTCTCACTATTCACTATGTGGAAAACATTAATGACACCATGATTGCATTGTCAGAGTTATGCCCAAATCTCAAACGTTTTGGAATTAGAGGAAATGAGAACATTACAGACGACGCTCTAGAAGTGATGTGTGATGGATGTAGCCAATTAGAAATTTTAGACATTAGCCAATGTTCTCTACTCACTGATGAAGCACTCAATGCAGTCTCCAATTCTTTGAAATCCTTGTTACAAATTAATATTTCGTATTGTGATGAAATGACCTGTGATGGCATTGAAGTCATGCTTGACGCTTGTTCACGTGTGACTCATATCCACATTAAGCCTGATTTTCCATACATTGAACAAGCTCGAGTTCTCTTCCATGAGCACTCCACTCGGTATTCACAAGAAGTGTCCGTCCACTTTTCGAAAACATTAAATGATTCTTCTTGAGAATCTGGAACAGCGAACTTGTGAACAAGTTCACCATCGTTCTTTATAAATATTTCGAACAGGCACGACTGCTACGAGTGCTTCTCAACAATCATGACCTTCAATCAAAACAAAAATGTCAAACATTCCTCCACCTCCTCCTCCGTTCACTCCCTCCTTCACACCAACTCAGGGTCATTTTCCACCTCCTCCTCCACCACCAAGCAACAACTTTCATACGATTCACAGACCCTCACACGCATTAACATCCACACTTCCTCCTCCATCACCTCCGATGACCAATAGTTCAAATACCACCACCATTGACACCACCACTTCCACCACGAATACAAAACCAAAGAAAACATGGAAAACCCTTTCCGAAGACAATAATCGCCTCAATTTACAACAAGCCATTGCCCATCCCATCGATCAGAGTGTGGAATGGGAACATATTCGAAATATTTGTTTGTCGACAAGTGGTGCTGCTGGATCTTCAGGTGTCTTCTTTGTTGAAACACAAATTCCAAATCAAGTGGTGGTGGTGAAAGCGCCCGCAACACTGGCAGGAGAGATTTTTGGATCTCGAATTGCAAAATTGTTGGGACTCTGCTCTCCAACCATTCGACTTGTGGAATATAGTCCAAAAATTAAGAATCGAGAACAATTATTGAAGGGAGGAGGACGAGAGTGGATTTTCATGAAAGAAAATATGAAACGAGTGGCACGAAACAAAAATGATACCATTTGTGAAATGAAAGTGGAAAAGGAGTTGGATCGAGCGTTTTTTATGGTTATGGAATTTGTAGAAGGAGCAGTGAGTTTGGAAGATTTAATGAATCGAGAGGAATTAGCTCAAAAATTAATGCAACACGAAGAGATTTTGTTGGATATTGGAAAAATGATTGTGTTGGATATTATCTGTAATAATTGTGACAGATTTCCAATGACTGGAATTTGGGATCACGAGGGAAATGCTACGAATATTTTGTTTTCTTCATCTCATTCAAAGCTTGTGTGTATTGATCAAACTTTGTTTGCCATTTCAGGAGAGGACAATCAGAAATTGTATCTGGACAAGCTTGTCAAGTTCGTGGATAGTCTTTATTCAACAAAACCAAATGAGAATTCGTATATTGACGATGTTTCGAGATATATTAATCAAATGACAGGTGTCAAGTTGGGTGAAGAACAAAAGGAGACCATTTTTAAGGGAATTATGAACGCCATACAAATTTTGTCTTCTCCAGACTTTGCACTTGAGTCTTTGGAAAATTTGAAGAAGGAAATTGATTCAATGAAAACAGGCAGTGACTGGGCAGATGTTTGGAAATTGTCGATCGATACTCTCAACTTGAGATGGTTTTACGAGAACATAAAAGTCTTAATCAGCAGGTGCAATGTGTAGAATTTGGTTCTTAATGAAGTTCGAGTTTTTCTCATTCAATTAAGCTGTGAGCTGATTGAAATTCTCAGTTTTCGTTTTTATTGAGACCTTCGACGACTGATTCGCACTTCCATCGCTTTTCATCAAAGTTATATTTCCACAAACGAACTGTACCATCATCTCCACTGCTAGCAAGGACCGTTCCGCTTAGATTCCACTCTACTTTCCAAACTTCAGAATTGTGTTTATGTGTCTCATCCATCTCCATGAGCTCAACTGTCTTAGTTTCTGTAATAATTTTCCAAATTCGAACAGAGCCATCTTTTGAAGCAGAAGCAATTAGATCATAGGATCTTCCCAAGTTTGGAGCCCATGCAACATCATGAACTGGTTGAGCATGTCCAAAAAGTGCAATTACTTGGCTTACATTTCCTTCATTCACAGAAATTGGTTTTATAGGTGTCCCAGGTGTAAAACCAATCAATTGTTGTGAAATGTTATGAATGTTTGGAATAATGGTCGACGGCGTCCAACTTTGCCATTTTCTATTTTGAGTGTAGTGCCAAATTCGAAGTTTTCCGTCCTCGCATCCAATGACCATCATTGGTTCCTTAAATCGATAGGGACACCAACTAAGGCAATGAATTTTACCCCCATTGTTGGCATCAAAGTCATGGCCAATATTCCAATAGGCGAGGTTCATCACGTCAAATGCGTCATAAATACGAACTTTTCCCGAGAGTGAACATGTGGCGAGTTTCAGCCCTAAATGTTTTGGAGCAAATTTGATATCTACCACATCATCTGTTGAATCTACAAGTGTAGCTTTCAGTAACCATGCTCTTCTTGAAAGTGGTCCAGCTGTTCCGGCTGCACTACCTGCTGTTGTATTGGTTTGAATTTGTTGTTGAGCCAAATTGCTTGAGGATGTCGACATCATTGGATTTCCATTAGCCACCGCAACATTTTGGTCCAAGTTCGAAGCTGGTGAAATATTTCCCTCAGAGAGTCCCTCTGGTTGCTGTACATTTGTCGAAGAGGAAACTCGGGGTAAAGTTTGTAAATTTCCACTGCTGGCACTTGTGTGAATTACTGGTCCACTAGTAGTGCCAACTCCACCACTTGAAATCATTTGTTGTTGAATATTTACACCGTCTTTGGATGAATTTCCGATAATTCCTTGTGAAATCATTATCGGAGCTAATCCACTTCCTGGGCCACTATTAGCAGGAGGTTCTTCCCAGATACTGACTGTATGATCATAACTACATGATGCCAATACTTGTCCAAATTCTGGATGAGCCCACTCTACTTTCCAAATACTTCCATTATGAGCTTTCCAGTCGTAGGTACACTTCCAAGATTTTTGATTCGTTGTTGTTGAGGATGCTGTTGAAGTGCTTGATGTTATATTCGGAATGTTAGTATTTGGACTTGTTGCTGATGATGTCTCTACTCGGTCCCATACTTTAATGTGATGATCACTTGAACATGATGCAATACGCTCTCCATAGAAATCATATTTTAGATCATGTATGTAATAATTGTGAGTACTTGGAAAGGAATCAACCACTCTCTGAAGGATCCAATGGCAATTCGATGGTCATAATTCCACAAGTACGTGATGATAATTTCCGGGTCCGAAGCGAATGTTTTTATGGAAAGCATTCAAATGAATGATTCATCGTAGCACATTGTAATTTCCAGTGTATGGTCATAAGCACACATGATGGAGCAAAATAATATGAAAATCATTAATTGCCAATACCATCATCATCATATTATTACCACACATTGAAATTACACACACCAATAATAAAAACAACAACAACCATTCATCGTCCGAATCAGCAAAATTTCCAAATAAATCAACAACAACCATTAAAAATATTCTGCTAGCCTCCGACTCATCATCAACCTACCATCCTCAATAATAATTTATCAGAATAGGCCTATTGAAACAAAACTTTGGTGAGTAATGAATGATCAACACCAATACAGAAAGAAACACAACTATAAACTCTCGGGGTGGTTTCGTTGGTAATGCTGTTGTTGAGGCAACAAACACCTCTCTCTGTGGAATTGTTTTTTTTTGAAATAAATGTCCAGAAATACACCGAAAGCAAACTCTTCTGAGGAGACCATCCTGAAAAGATCTTTTGGAGGTGAATCTCCATTTCTCAATGGAAAAGAACCATCACCGATACCAGTGAGACGACGAATGAACAAATGAAAGGTAACTTGGGAAACAATCAGAAGCCGAAATTTTAATTTCAAATGAAATGATAAGTTGTGAAAAAAGATCTCCCAACACCGGCAGCAGCCATCTTTTGCAGATCATAAAACTATTGAAGCAGGTATGACATTCATTGCATCAATCATCACGGTTTAATATTTAGATATTAATACAATCCATCTTGGATGACGAATTCTCTTATCGGATGCACTATTAAAATAATTCTGACGATACTTTTGATTACTAACATGATTATGATTTTCATAATAGATTTTAATTTTTCCCAAAAATTAAAACCACTTTTACCACATGTGAAAAGTATTGTCGGAAAACTATCAACACAGCTTTCCAATAGAAATACAACATGGAACTCGAGCCCATCCATAAAAATACCTCAATCATTGAAAGCTCAATTAAAGTCTCCTCAACAACAAAAACATCAAACTGAGAGATCTCATTGAAAATTATATCAACGATTTGACCATTGAAGGAAAGATGCTCAAGTTGAGTGAAAAAGATTTGTGGAATATTTTCTTAAAGTTATGTAAACGAGCTCACAAGTGGTATGTGAAAAATGGAAAATTGAATCCAAAAGAAAGTGTTAGCGATTCAGATCGCTCCTATTGGAGAGAGGTCATTCAGGTGATTAAGGAATTATCTAGATCGACCTGTAGAGGTCCTAAGGATGATGTGAATTATTGGAGAAGTGTTTCTAACATGATGAAAGAATGTGTTGCATGTTGGAGACAAGTTTCATCCTTGATCAAGGAATTTGGTGGAAAGGTACAAACATTCAATGCTTCCTCCATCACAACAACAAACACTCAACCAACAGAGGAAGACATGAAATATTGGCGTCAAGCCATTGCCATGACAATAGATTTGTTCTCCAAGTCATCTGCCACCCATCAAGAATACTGGAGAAGCATTGCACAAATCATTAAGGAATTTGGTAGAAAGAATTTGAAGCACAAAGGCTGGGTTCTCAAAACAAAAAGAATGCGCAATTCATCTCTGAAGTGAACTAATGGAGAAAAATTTCACAAGCGATTAAGGGCTTTGGAAAAGCAATTTCAAGACAACAAAAGAAGAGGTCACTTAAAAAAATCAAATTACCAAAGCATGTATGGAAGAAAATTGCACAAGAAGTGGATAAGCTTGTAGATCTTGTGATTGAGTAAAAGCTGAATCGAATTTTTCACGTGAACACTAGTCTTGCTGAGGGTGAACCAATCTTCACGAGTCCAACTCGAGCATCACTGGACTCTCTCAGAACAACCTCTTAATTCCAAGATATCGTTAGAAGCTCTCTCCTCTTATAAAACATTGTCACTGCGAGATTGTGTTGAGACTAAGGTGACAATTTTCATAAACAAATTTTCTGGAAACTCCTTTAATCCAGAACATTCGCGGAGGTTTCCACATAGGTCATACACCCTGTGTGTTTCGCCAATTCTTCTCCAAGCTCTCTCGTGATTGGTGCACATAATTCCTGATATTTTAGTTCATAGAGAACTTTCATATTTTGTCTTAAATCTACCTTGCAAGCGACTAAAATGATTGGAACTGTTGGTAAATGTTGTCGAATTTCCTGAATCCACTTGTGTATGATTGAAAGATAACTTTTGTGATTTGTGACATTAAAACATGCACAAACAATATCAGCTCCAAAATAGGAGAGAGGTCGAAATTGGTCATAACTGTTTGAAATGAACAACAATAAATTCATGATGTTAACAAGAAGACATATTCAAGAAATTTTCATTGTTGGACACTTCTAGGAGTTAAGAGAAGGTCATCATGGAAGAGCAAAAGATTCAGGTTGATGATCATGAGACATTTTTTCTTGGAGAGAACTTTTAAATAAAAACTCTCAAACAAGAACCTTTAAAAACTCTCAAACATACAGAAAACAAGAACATGGTGCAATGTTTGGTGTTTTGGCCAATCATTACATCAGTACTTAAGGAAGTGATGAGAAACCTGTAATGATGAAATTTTATTGAAAACAATGTACAATAAGACGAGCAGAAATTTAAAATTTTCCTTGAATTCCTTCTCCATTGGCATTCGAATTCGACGATTATTCATATTCATCAATATTGTCGATAAATGTAGCAAATATGGGTGTAATGTCATCCTGTTCCTCGAGTTTGATGATAGCATTTAATGCTGTCTTAAATGTCATATTATTTTTTGCAAAATTTTACGAAATATTGTCTTCTTTGAGTCCCAATTAAGTTGCAACTATCGATAGAATCTTTGACAGTTGTGTCTGCAAAGTAGACAAAAACTTTCAACAAGGATTCATAGTCATAGATTTTGAGATAGGTTGAGGTTAATCTGTGTGTCCAATGTTCAGAATATTGTTCTGCGCAAAATGTTGAAGTGCCTGCAAAGTTTGAGTGGTGTTCTTCAATCCTTACAGAGAATCCAAAATCAATTAATAATGGAGTACTATCTGTTTTCATTATATTTTGAGGCCTAATATCTCTATGTAACACACCTGCTTGGTGAAAACTTTTTACCAATTCCACCAAAGCTTTCATTTCTGATTTAGATAAAGATGTACAGGGATAACACTTTTCCATCACAATCCAATAATTTCCATGCTCAACAATTTTTGGAAGAGGATTCACTCCTTTCTCGTCCAAAAAAGTAATAGTTTTTGTTTCTGTAATGATATGTGTGTTGTCGCTTGGTGTTTTGGCAAGTTTAATAATCTTACCATCTCCAAAATCAAACACCAACGACGTTGCTCCTGCAGCAATAAATTTTCCAAGTGTAAAGGTTCGATTGTCTGTCCATGTTTGTTGTGTTGGAGTGTTTAAAAGTCTTTTGAGATAACTATATCCATCAGAGTTCTGAATTCCAGTGGAGAAAAGACTCAATTTTGGACTTCTTGTGGTGATAATATTTTCCTCGCCCAGTTCTGTCATCGATTTTCTCATCTTCACAAAAATAATGTCCTTGAAGTTTGAAACGAATCCAAAAACATAGGACTTGTAGCTATCTTTGAGTGCCCTAAACATGTAATCACAAAGCTGGCCAAGGATATGTGGTGTTTCAATCACTTTTGTATCCTTTTTCAATTCTAAAAAACCTAGCGCCAAATGTTCTATTGCTCTGGGATCATTTTCTGTTAGGTTAAACATTTTGGGAATAAACGTAAAGTCGGGCTTTCTGTTATGAATAATAGTTTTGTTTGTATCAACGGCTGTATATACTGTGGAAATTTCATTTGAGAACAGTTTTTTAAAGAACTGGTGGACACGTGTTTCTTTGTCCAAATTTTTTTCATTGATTGTTAGAGAAATCATGTTTGAACTACTTGCTTGATCATTACTATTGATTTGTAATGCTGGAATAGTACTATTGTTGAATTGTGTTGATTCTTCTTCACTCTGAAATTTTTCAACAGAGACTGAAAGACGTTGATACAACCCCGATGTGGTTATTGTACTTTCTTCAGTCGTTACTCGATTTTCCAATTTCATTCTCTTTGTCTGTTCTTCCATCTCCTTTCTCTTTGTCTTCTCTCTTTCCTTCGTCTCCTTTCTCTTTGTCTTTTCTTTTTCTCTTTCCGTCAAATATTTTAAGTACGCCCCCAATTGTTCGGAATTTAATTGGGCAAAAGAGGACGCTGGGACCAATCGTCAGACATTTTTAATTTTTTTTAAAAAATATTGAATATGAATACATCACAACGATTGTTATTATCGTAAAATGCCAAATCGCCGGACCTGCAGAATCTGCAGGTTGGAATTTCCAGGTTTTTAAAAATATTTTTTTATTTTTAAATTTTGAACGTTTTTTTTGCAGGGGGAAAGTGATAGGGTAACTGGTGGTACAGATTTTTTTAAAAAAAAATTACAAGTCGAACCATTAGCAATTTATTGGGCCAATCAAAGCGGAAACAAGCAGAGAAGGTTTATCGTTTGTTTTCAATCAATCCTAATACTCTAGTCTCTATTAAATCATCATTACATAATTTGTTACCATTAGCATCAAATACAATACAATCTCTGGCTTTGATTGTGATCTCCGACACGTACCGTTTCACAGAATTAATTACATCATTTCCGAATATTCTGGGATGTTGCAATATTTGCTTCAATGCAATAACATCACTTTTTGCTCGATGTTGATCTACAATATCACGATCAAATAAGGTTTTGAATATTGTTCCGAGCTTGTAATTTTCTAATTTTTCTAATAATTTTTGTTTGATAATTCCTAAAGAATCTACAAATATCAACCGATTTTCCTTGAAATTAGATTGCAAGAGTTTTTTCTGCCTCCAATACATGTATGCTTTAAATATTGCATCTTTGTCAAATGGAGAATTGTGAGCAATCATAATTATTGCTTTTTTCGGAAGCTCTGCAACCAATCTAGAAATTGCTTGATCTTCATGCACTCCGTTAAGCACCATTTCATTTGAAATATTAGTCAATTCTACGACTGATTTTTCTATTTTTCTTCTAGGACGAATAAATTGTGGAAATTCAATAGTGCTGTTGTTGCTAAGATTGTCTGCATAAAAGTCAGTAAGACTTCTGACTTTGAAATCTGTAGTTTCACAATCTGCAATTATAACTGAATAGTCTTGAAGTGAGTCAATGACTTTGTAATATCGGAAATGATGATTGCAACCTCCTTTGTTTAAACAGCATACTTTGCATAAACCACATTCTTTGCGTCCTTTTAAATTTTTGCATTCTGAACATTGGGTTGGTATCCTCGTTTTTTTTGTGCTCTTTTTCAATTTTGCAATTTCTTCGTTTGAAAGTTCAACATTATCGAGTGCTGATAAATAAGGCTTCTTAAATTGATGGAAGTGAGATTTGCTTTTGATGAAGTAACTCCTTGGTTTTCTTTTCTTCTAGATCGTAGTTATGTAAATCTTTCAAAACATCCCATTGATGGAGTCGCTGTTGACGATGAACTCGTTGTTTCAGAGCATTCACTTCATCTATTTTGTGGATGTTGTGTAAATGGTTTTCTAGAGGGCCAATTGTTGCATAAAATTTTCCACAAAATAGACACTCCAAATCAACTGATGTACGAATTACAACAGATGAGTTTGATCTGAGTGACACGCTTTTTTCTCTGTGATTCAGTGACTGAATTTTTTGTGTCACTTTTTCTCTGTTAATCGTTTCTTGAGTTGGTAGTTTGTTGTCCGGCATTGGAGGAAGACCATTGTACTTAATATTCAACCTATTGTAATGCTTTTAGCAACTTTTTTTAGGTAGGGAAAATAGGCGTTGTGTATCTGTTAAATGTTCAATTACAACAATTAGATGTGACTTAAAAAAGGATGCTACACAAATCATAAATGCAAAAATTATTATACATTTGTGTTGTATCAAACTGAAAATCAATTCTAAACCGTTGCTACTTATTGCACTTGTTAATATTTTTTTCTGATCTTCAACAGGTCTATCTGAGAGCTTGAAAAATTTTTGTCCAGCTTCAATAGCACGTAATTCATCGCTAATTGTAGTGATATTACTGTCTACGGAATCATAACTTAAATCTGAACCAACATCTGAGACATCATCATCATTGTTGTTTTTGTCGACAGTTTGGTCTTGCGTAGAATTTTGTTGTGATGACCAATTTTCATAATTATCGAATGGAAAACAATTATTGCTTTGGTTCTCATTGTGAGAAATAATTGAGTCATTAGAAGGAAATTCAGACAAACTCCATGAATGAAACCATAGTCGTTTCAGCATTCTATATATCTAAACAATGCCCCTTAAAGTTTGATCTGAAATGATATCCAGTTTTGTCTTAAAATACTGAATACAATCATATAAATCATTCAATTTAGCCTCCAATGAAAGCTTTTCATCATGACAGGCGTAATAGAATTTTCGAGTATGCCATAAATAATAATACATAGAATCAACAATAGCATATTCTTCTTGGATGGTGAGTGTCGGAATATTGTAATTTTTTTTGAAATACTCATTCAATTGTTTTTCTGTCATTTTGTTTAAATTAGCAATATCAATATCTTTCATAATAAAGTCAGTTATTCCACTCTTATGAATATTCTTGCTGTCACTAAGAACAAAGTTATTGAAGAAATTTGGTACAGAAGGAAGAATATCGTGGAATTATTCTTTTAAGTTAGATCTAATTGTTTGTAATGCTTGCAATACATCCTCCTTAGTGAGATTCAAACAACTTTCTACATTCATTTCATCTTTGACGATTAAATCTGATCTCCTTAACTTTCTATTAAGATTGTCGTACTTGGAAGTCAGATAAATCAAACCCATCATAGATATTGCATGACTGCTGTCAATTAATAAATTTCTTAATCGCTTGAGAATGTGAATGTAATCTTCACAATGAGTCCATTGTTTGCGCTCATTATTGTTGTTCAAAAAATTCTCTACTGTAGCTGGTTCAAACTCACCATCCGTGACAGAACCAATTATACAAAATTTTTCATGAACCGACCATTTTTGATCTATTTCTCTAACCTTGTCCATAATAAAAGAGAACATATTGGAATTTGGAAGAGCAAAGACAGCACAAACATTTGAAAAGTTGCCATATAAATCAATAATTTGAAATACAATAGCCTTCTTCGCAAAATTATCTGATGAATAATTTTCTTGTAAAAATTGTGTATGTGTAACAGGACCTGAATCTAATCCAAAAACATAGCCATTTTGACCATAAGACAAGCATGGTCCCATGAAATAAGAGCAATACATGATCCATGTTGTTCTAGAGTGGTTGTGACTAGTTTCTTAATAGTTTCGTCAGTGTATAGGTGACCATAAATGGGTGGGCCTGACCAATTCTTCAGGGAATCCGGATGAGGAACATGAATATTGCTGTTGTTATTCCCTTTTAGAAGCTGTAACACTCATTCCGATGAATGGAAACGTATAGATTCCCAATAATAAGCAACCTCAGGAGGATATGGTTTTGTTGTTTGAGGGTGCATTTTACGATAGAGTTCGTCATGTAATCTTGTTAAATAAAACGAGAGATTTTGATGTTGAGCAAATTGTTCAATAATATTGAACAATTTTTCATATACTTCCAGTTCAGTAACTGGTACGCTTTTCATTGATTGTAATTCACTTCGTAAAGCCTTGATATGGTTGTTAATGATTGTTGGATGTTGAAGATGATCTCGCCCTCGGAACTTAATCGAACACAAGTCTTCATATGTATGATTTTTTTTCCATTTGCCCAACTTTCTTGCAAGAGTTCTACATGCATTACAATTTGATCCTTGTTTTTTGACTATTAAATTACATTCGGTTGAGTAAATTCGAATAAATTCGGTTATTGATCGGTATTCCTATCACTTGGTTTGTGCAATCATAAATTTTGTCGTTGAACAAATATTGTTCATAATCTTGCAGATAAATTCCACAACAATTTTTCTCAACCTTGCTTTTCTTGCTGTGGTTGGTATGATCATGATCACAAACAAGATTGTTCTCATCACACTCAACATTATTTCTATCACAATCCCGAGACGATTTATGTCCTATTTCTTTTTTGAACGCATAGAATTTACTTCCATGAGAGTTGCATAATTCACCACCACAATGATCGGATTGTAACCCTGTTTTAGTGAGAAAGAGTTGAAAAGCTGTTGCTTCTTCTGTTTTAACGGAATTGCCTCCAGTAAAAAATTGCTTTCCTTTGCGTGGACATTCTTTGATGATGCAGTTGTGTGATTTTGGCTGGCGTTGTCTTGGCATTTTTTTGTGTCGGCTTTAAAGACTTTGCATTATCAACAAGACGTTAATAATACGATATTATTAAGCAAATGAAAGAATTTCAAACCTTCTCGTGTTAAATACTACTCCATAGTAGTGTTTTCATACAAAAATTTGACAAATGAAATTCCATGGTGTTGTATTAATGAAGAAAACCAAACAAGTTCGCTTGATTTTAAAAATACTACTGAAAAACTTGTTTTAATTGCATGTGAGCTAATATTCTAGTAAATTAAAGTATATAGGTCGGTAATTAGTACATAATTCCATCTGCTCCAACGATATGGTATAGAAATTAAACAATTGAATTTCCATGAAATCTTATTGTTTGGGAAAATTAACACAGAAAGATCTTCTTCCAAAAAATGCTTGAATATTCTAATAGAAAAGAAAAACAACACAATATTCAAGAAAAGGAAAGTAGATCAGAGGCTCATCACGAACGATATGCCTAATCCCATTGGGAACCTCCTGAATATGGCTAGAAGAATCTCCATGGAGCCCTATTTATTGTGAACAAAAGGTACTAAAGAAAAATTTTAAGAACACAGATCATGATGTGAAAGTGACCATTTGATTTTCTGCAAAACTACAGCAGTGGACAACACATGTATCAATATTTAGCTTTAACGTTAAGATCTCTACGTAACTTCGTAAATGAATTTCCATCAAAGAGTATTAACTGAGAAAATTAGCGACGTATCCGATGTCTAAAAAATTCTAATATATTTTCAACGTTATAGTAATGCTCTATCAAACATAAAATAGGATCTATCCGAAGGACCTCTTATTAAATATAAACAGTTGAATTCCCATGAAACTGTAATAATGAAGAAATTCAACTCTGAATGTACCCCCAGCACTAAAATGCTCCGCAGGTGGTAATGAAAAATAATGGCCACTAAATATTCTTGTAAACGAGAGCATTTCAGAACTTCATCACATAGATTCTAATCAAGTTCATCGGATACTATACGAATATGTTTAGTTGAATTCCCGTTGACCTCTCTTAATAGGCGAACTAGCTACGCAATATATTCTCCTTTGCCTGAAAAGGGTTGTTATCGCGAGTTCAACGAATAAACAGATTCTTTACGAGTTAGACAACTTGTGTTGAAATCTTTATCCTTTGATATGATTGATAAGATTGAAACGAAACCTCAGCTTAGGATGCTTCAACTCAAAAATCTGTACCACCAATGTTGTGGCCATTTAAAACCACTTCCCTGTCATCAGACCGATGCTTTGCTGCTGTGTTCTCTTTGTCATTTTCGACGCTCAAAACAAAATCATCCAATAAGAATTGGACGGTCAAAACATCATCTCAAAATCAAGAATTTCATCTGGAACAATAGATTCCTCTTCATCATCTGGAACAAAAGATTCCTCTTGGAAGCACTAATTCAACTCCATGTTTGAATGTGTTTGCTTTATATCCAGCATCAGCAAGTACCATCACACCCTGTAAGTATTTTTGGATATTATTGAAGAACAATACATCTTTGTCATTCTTGCTTCCAGGAAAGCCAACTGTAAAGTGTAAAAATCTGCCTTGAAGATCAACTAACGCTTGTCCGATGAAAGAGTGGATGCATTTGTCACCACGATAATAGATCGCCTAATCTACACTTGGCTTGGAGATACGGAAATGTGTTGCATCAATAGCACCAATTATCAATTTATCAATATTGGAACCTCCCGAGCACTCGAAATTCAGCAAAATTTTTAACATTCTCAGTAAATCAGTTCGTGTTTGGGGACTGAATATTTAATATTAAGTCGAAAAATCAGCTGATTTTCCATACTTATTTCTCGGTGCTTTGTTCCAAATCTGCAGTTCACTAGATTTCATATCTGATTTAATTCATTTCAGTATAAAAGTCAGAAACAATATTTCATTGAATTCAGTAAGAAAATTTTATTATAAAATCAGTTAAGAAATAAGGGACTGATTTGAATTAAAGTCAGTCTTCGAATAAGGGGCTGATTTTTCTGAAATCAGTTAAGAAATAAAGGACTGATTTTTCTGAAATCAGTCTCCGAATAAGACGAGAGGTTGAATTGAAATCCGTCAAAAAATAAGAGACTTATTTAATTGAAATCAGTCTCCAAATAAGACGCTCATTGGAATTGAAAAATCAGTATCGTATTCCACGATACAAGTTACGTCTAAATTCCACCAACAACAAGGCAATTCCAAACTTGGTCGAATAAAAGTTCAACATGCTTACCTTGATTCATGTCCAATATAACAATCATTTGTACAAACTTGATTTAAATTAAAAACAAGTCATTCCTATAAACTTGTTTAAATTTACCACAAACTTGGAAACATGGTATGGCATCTTTAGGCATTTCGTCCAACATCTTGACTTCATTAGAGTCGAGAATTTTAACATGATACAAGCTGTCCTTCTTACTTATCACTAAACCATGACCAAATTCTGGGGCATGAAAAAAATCGCCCTTTTTAAATTGAAAAGTAAAAGATCTTACTCGTTTCATGGAAATGACTTGATGCAATGAAACGTTTTGCAGTGCTTTGTGGTCCATGTTATTCTTTCCTCCTTGAACAGAGCTAATGATAGATCCAACTAGATCTTCGAGCATAAAAGTACTCATACACCATAGAGGTCCAAGATAGAAAATGGAGCTGTTCAACATGAACAATGATATAATGATGAGCTTAAGTATTAGACTTACAGAGGAAAATGAATGACTGTATGTGAAGCCAGTGTTAAAATAATAATGTCAAAGTCCATCTCGATGGTTTGTAATATTTCAAAAATTTCCTTTTTCATACTGTACAAAATTTCAAGACTTCTCACTACTGGATGCATGATGATGTGTATAAAAGTGGAAAGTCTATTGAGAATATTATAATGCTTGTCTGATATTTCATCCTTAAAACCTCAATACAATAAGCAAATATCATGTAATATTCGATTGCTTTGAAATAACTCAATTCATCCAATCCACGAACTCTTCGGTGATAGAATGAAGGTGTTTTGATTTCATATAGTTTGTCTATCGTTCCTTTAGTAGTGGGAAAATTCTCAAGAAACTCAACTTACTATTAATAGCGTCAATGTTGTACTTATTTTTCAAATAGTTCAGCAATTTGGCACAGAGATCTTCAAGTAAATTATGTCACAAATCACAAGCAATCTGTGTGGTCCATGTAAAGTATGGTAGTCTTACCAAGATTGACAACCCTTTAACACCATCAAATTGCTAAATCTCTCCCTTAATCATTAATTTGTAATTTTCAACAATTTCAGACCAAACATGTTCCTGTTCATTTCCACCCGAGTTATAAATGGTTCGATCTTAAATCTTTCTACCATTTTTTTACACCATCGACAACTTGAAGTTCCAGCATGGTTTGTCATGCATAATAAATCATAACATGAGCTTTAAAATTTCTCAATCCAATCAAATCCACCATCTCTGAAATACAAGTTTCAATAGATTTGCTCCAGAAAAAACTGGTAGAACAATCCACATTTTGAACAGCAATGATTGGGAGATTCACATACTTGATCACAGCAATGGTATACCTTTTGATATTGCTTGGATACATTAATAATCTTTTTGAGTAAAGTATTGACATTGGAAGGCAACTTACAGGTGTCTGGAAAGAGATCATTTAAGATTCTGAAAATTTCGTTCATCATTACTTTGGTAGCCTTAAATTTGACATACAGCTGTAGCATGTCGAATATTAATTCTCCCAAAGTCTTACCTGAATGAGTGGAAATCGGAGTACGTGAGTTGGGAATTTGATTCATAATCATGACGAGTGCTTGTTTTTGAAACACCTCAAAAAAAGTCCTTTCAGTCCTTTGCTTTGTTTAGGACTCTCTTCATACTCGTTAGAGAATTCTTGAATAGGTGATTGATCCTCTTCTAAATTTCTCTTCTTGTTATTCTCACCTTGAAGGCTAGAGTTTGCTTGGTTTGGCTGGGACATATTAGACACTACTACACTGTGTTGCTGTTGAGGTAATTTTTTGAGCGATGATTCCCTCTAAAAATTACAAATTAGTGTTGTAACAGAGTTACAATCTTAGACACATTCGTGTCACGATAAAGTTTTCTAAGTATAGGGGGCGGAGTTGATAATACTTTTTGAGTGACAGTTGGAGTTTCCAAACACTGAAGATCTATCATTGTTCAAGGGAATAACTGGTATTATTTATACGTTTGTTAAGATAGCATATCCTTCCGTGGTAAACTCTTTGAATTTCTGTTAGAAGTATAGGTGCATCTAACCGTGTTTTATCCAAAGGTTATAACATCACCAATCAAGAAACATCGTTTCTCTTAAGAAGTCTTCATAAGCAAAGCTTTTCTCACAAAAAGAAGAACGATTTTTGGCGGGCTCTATTTTAATATCTGATCAAAAAAACTTAATTGCCATCATGCTTAAATTAAGTACCATTGTTCAAACCAATAAGAACATGAAGAAGGGAAGTAAAAGACAGATTGGGAATACTATGAAGGAATGCGGATTGAATGGAAAGCTTTTTTACTATCCTCAACATGGAATTTGGGAAAAGGTAAAAAAGAAGGCTAAGAGGAACAATATCCCCTCTTCGATTTCCTTTTCATCAATTTGGTCGGCTAAGACAGTTGGAAGAGACAATCATCTTTCCGAACAGAAATCGGAGGTTGGAGACTCTGTATCAAAAGCCACTCATCAGAGGAATGAATTGAAGGAGGACATGATGATGGAACTGAGAGAAATGTTGGAGGAACTGAAGAAGGAAATAAGGGAAATCAAGATGGAATTCATGATGTTAAAGCAAGAGATCCAAAGTCTTAGATCCGTAACTGCAGCGGGGTCCTATTTGAATCAGGAGCCTGATTCCTGTTGCAATGACACTGTGTCTGATCTCTAACATTGTTTCTTGTTAGTAAAGAAATACTGAGTAAACTGCGCTGAAATGACCACCAAGCTACGATCTGATTACCATGCAACGTTTTTTCATTTCTGCCAGTTCCAGTTCTTTGAATGGCTCACTCTTTAATCTTTCCTTCTGTAATGACTTCTCCTCGTAATAGGATAGAATCGATAGTAAGAGAGTAATATCAAAAGAAGCGAGTTGTTAAATTAAATGGCTACGGCCATATCACGATGAATGCACCTCATCCCGTCCGATTTGAGAAGTTAAGCATCGTCGAGCTGCATCAGTACTGAGGTTGGAGACAACTAGGGAATCTGCAGTGCTGTAGCCTTTTTGCTAGCATAAACAGCGTTTGGTAAATGGCTCAAATACATTCCATCAACACCACCTTGAGAGATTCATATTAATTGGTCGAATGCAACTTGTTCAGCTTGTTTCTTCAAAAAAATGAATTTTGGCGGAAGCGCGTTCGATGAGGTGGAACGAAGGGTTTGTAGTCTGTACTTGTAGTAGTATTCAGAGGAATTGAAACATCATGTTGAATCAAAATATATAATCAGAAATTGCTAGAAGAGAATGAATTATTGAGAAGAGAAATTGAAGATTTAAAACATTTAAACAAGGAATTAATGTTGGAGAGTGATGATAACGATGCCCGAATTATCAAAAACTACAAGGCAAAAATTGCTCAATTGGAAAGACAAGTTCAATTACTCACCAAATGTAATAATATTAAATCGGAATCAATTTCAGACATTGATAATTTTATTTCAGAGATTGTTGGTGATGAAAATGATTCATCACCGCTGGATAGAGCTCAGGTGAGAAAATGGGGAAAGATGATTCAAGAAAAGATTCGAAACTACAACATTATGACAAAACAAGCAGAAAATCAAAAATATTATATGGAGAGCAAATACTTTGGATCAGCAGGCCATCAAGATACTATTCAAAATGTTTGCAATTATTCCAAGAATGATGATATACCCTATCTTGATGTTACCAATGTATTGGAGCTTGAGAATGATCTCATTCATGTTTATAGAAATCTGTACAGAATGCGAACTCACCTAACGAACAACAAGGACACTATTAAGGACCCTAACTTTGTATTATTATCCAACATCACCACCAACAATATTTCTAAAATATTGAATGAAATGGTAGAACTCTCTCTGATACTTCCAAAGAAAGATAAATCTTCCTCGAGTGAAGAGATCAGCTCCTCATATCATCAATTCTATAACCCAATGTCTCTTAGCACAGCGGAGGTGATGTCAAAACTTCCAAGAATTGGAAATTCAAAAACCTCAAAGGATCTTGAGGACAGTGTTAAAAACTTGGTAAGAGCGTTTCATGCTCAAAAATCCCTATTTGAGATTGATTTACAGCTGAAACAGGAGGAGCTTAATATTTCCACAAAAACGAGTAGTTTCTACAGTTCATACATGAGCGAATTGCTAAAGGAAATTGATCAGAAGTACAAAGAGTACACCAATCAAATACAGCCTCTTCTCCAAGAAGGTCTCTACCAAAACAAAAGAAATACATTAGAAGAAATTGTTCATGCATTTGAGGAGTTCGATAAGGACAGCACTGAAGAGAATCTACGAGCATTTCTCCTAGCGTTTAAAGACAATATCTATTCAATGTTGTCAGATGAAGACAACAAAGGACCATTGACGAAAAAACCAAAATCATCAAATATCAATATTAAGGGTTATTATGAGAAATTTAAAAGACACATTGAAGAAATTCAAACTGAGTTTGAAATCAGAAAAAACGAATTTATTGAGAAAATGTATAATCTAAATCCTGAGGTTGAAAAGTATGAACACATAGAGCCATTCATCAGTTACACTCCCTATGATAATAGATCCTCAGTGTCTAAAAAACCGCCATCTCTAAAAAGGTCATCCACAGTTGCTCAATCGAATGGTAATGTGAAAATATCATCCAATCGATTGTCAATAGTGAGAAAAGAGCCGATCAAAGCTCAACGATCTATTGATGTGGGAGTGAATGAAAATGTAGCTTCCTCATCTGAATCCCAGGTGACACCAAAAATTACTTCAACCAAACAAGAAACTTCCAAGCTTAATCCAAATGTTCGAGAAATAGCACAAAGAGTGGAGGATCAAAAACGAAGAGTGCAAACATTAACAGAAAGTCTATCTGTGAGAGGTATTTCAGATATGCAACATTATGCAATTTCCAAACAAATTGTACGTATTTATTAATAACTTTTAACCCTTTCTTAACATTTTTCACCACGATACCATAGAAAACCGAGAAGGCTGAGTTGTTGAAACTAGAACGAACATTAAAAAATCTTCAAGAATAAATAGAAAATGCTTTATATTTACACCAAGGTACTCAATTCTGAATGAATAAAGTCCTCCCACTGCAGTTATTCAATATCAAATAGACTTTCTTCACCATTGGAAACAGCAACGTCAACTGGTGTTTTCTCGGTGTTGGTAGAGATTTGATTTGTTTCTGAGCTAGTCATGAGGGCAGTTGCATCAGGAGTTTTGAATTCTTCAACTTGTTCATCAACATTAGTTTCGTTTTCAGAGTCATCTATTGATTTTTCAGTTTGTTGTGCTTGTTTCCTTGCGTTCTCAACCAATCGTTCAAAAGCCTCAAAGTTTTTTCTTTCCTTTTCTTTCTTTTCTTGTGCAATTCTTTTTCTCTCCTCACGCTCCTCTTCCACTCCTCCTCGTTTCCAAGCATCCACTGTTCTTCTTTCATCCTCAAAAATTGGCATATTGTCTAAATAATTTAATGAAGGAATTTGGGAGATAATTTCCTTTCGATAATTCGGAATCATTCTCACAAGTGGGTTTCCCTCAAGCCGAAGTAATTTCAATTCTGTGAGAGATTTCAAAATGGCTAGAAATTCTTCAATGACTTGCTCTTGAGTCATGTTTTCGGGAATTGTGTCAAAAAGTTTGTTCTTACTTAGATCTAAAATTGATAATTTGGAACAGTATCTCAATGCCTTCACAGAGTCCAATGTTCTTAATTGATTGCTATTCAAATCGAGAGTTTGAAGATTGGTGCAGTATTTTCCCAACTCTTCCGGAATATGGCTAATAAAGTTTTCCGAAATGTTCAATGTATGAAGCTGTTCGCAATGGAAGATCCCCTCAATATGTTCAATACAATTCTGATGAATGTATAGACAGGCCAACTCTTTCAAACACTCCAAACCCTCAATTTTGTTGACAGCATTTGACTCGAGCCACAGTACTTTCACTCCGGTAAACTTATCCAAATTCTCAATTTTTGTTACACCCTTATGCTGAAGGTAAAGCTTCTCATTCAGCTTTTCCGTCATGTATCCTCCTTTGCTTTTACATAATCTTCTCAAGTAATCATTGGTGATCTTTCCATTTGGGAGGCGATCGAGGTCTTCGTTTCGTGACATTTTTTTTGTATTTTGGAAAGCGGGCTCTTCAAATACAATGTCAGAATGTAAAACAACCATGTAAAACAACCATGTAAAATTTCAGCACATACAAAAATCCCTTGAGTTGTCGAATCTTTACTTGGAAGCTGTCTTCTTTCCGTACAATTGTTCCTTCATCTTGGTGAATTGTTCTTTACCGACCTTCTTGGCAGCAATTTCTTCTAAAACGCCAAAATCAATTTCACCTTCCTCGTCACTCTTTGAGCCAGTCAATTCAATGACAGAGTCAACCATCGATACAATACCATCAAAAACTTCATAAGGAGTTGGATTCTTGCCCATGTATGCAGGAGTGGTTACCAATTTGTTATCCTTGTCAACAACAACTTGGTTTGCTGCTTTAGGCAAACAAGTTGCACCAAGAGCTCTGGCATTTTCTGTGGTGGCTGGATCGGAATCTCCCAAAGTGATTGAGCACTTTGGAATGAGCTTGGCAGCCAAAATTGGAGCAATACAACACATTCCGATTGGAATCTTGGCTTCGTGAGTGGAAACGATGGCCTTCTCAACTTCAGGATGAATCTTAAAGTTTGATGGGCTTTCAGCGTAATTACTCAAGTTTTTAGCAACACCGAATCCACCTGGAATAAAGAGAGCTTCGAAAGATTGTGGTCTGTATTGTTCCAATTTGAGAACGTTTTGTCTGGTGATTCTAGAAGCTTCAGAACGGATATTTCTCACTTCATTCTTATCCAAAGTCTTTGAAAGATGATCATAAGTTTCTTCTTGATTGATATCCGGAGCAAAGAATGCAATCTTGTATCCCATCTTTGATAATTGAATCATCACGCTCACAGCTTCGGTAATTTCGGTACCATCAAGATAACCACATCCACTCAATAAAACGGCAACAGAACCCTTCTCGGTTGGTGTTGTTTGAGCAGCATAATTTCTGTATTGTGGTTGGTGAGAGAAGAGAAGGAATGATGATCCTTGCTTGGCGAAGGAGGTGTTGCAGAGTGATTTGGTGATGAGAGTGGATGCTCTTCTGAACATTTTTTATGGTTTTTTTGTTTTTACAATGAAGATGGAAGAATTTTTTAGCAGAGCAATAAGCAACTTGGCCAATCCATTTAAATTGTTAGAGTTTTCTGATGACTGATGTGTTTGAAGCAAGTAGAGAGGTGAGCCATTCCTTGTCACAACAAGTGTGTTATTTTGTTAACTTTTATGACCAAGTCGTCAACAGCCTCTACCACAAAGTCAAATGAAATGTTGAGAAATGGTCAATCGAGTCACTTCTCTATTGATTGTGGTGGAGCCCTTAGGACTAGCGGTTCTGTTTAAAGGCATCATAACCTTGTGCTAACAAATCAAGAGGAGGTTCTTCTTCCTGATATTCTCCCAATTCATAAGTATAACTGCTAAATGGATAAAGAAACGATTCATCTCCATCCATGTCTTCTCCCTTCGAAGGATCTTGGCACATTTCCTCCCAAGCTTGTTTACCTTGAGAAATCACAAGACACATGGCATACAAGCCTCCGTCATATTCAAAGCAACTCAAATCCTCCTTTCTAGAGGCTTCATAGAGAGTGTTCGTGGTTTTATCAAACTCATTCTCGAGTTGATGAATGAAATCTAAATAACCTTCTTCCACAATCATTCTTTCAAGATAGGAGGCATCTCTATTTGCTTTTTCAATGAGGGCCCAAAATAATTCATTGATATTCGATGCAGCCTTTGTTCTTCTATTGAATTTCAAATACAAATTTGAGTATTCATTGAGATGTTTGAGTCTTCTCGAATAGAAGGGAAAATCTCGTTGCATACAAACATCGTACATGGCATCGGAAGTGGACATCTCAAAGAAAGCCTTGCAAACGAGACTACACTTTCGGAGAGTGTGATCTTCTCCAGCTAGATAACTAAATATTTGATCTTGAAAGACTTCAAAAGGAATTTGAACAAGAGAAGACTTGGTTGATAAGGAGGATGAAGAGAGTATTTCTTTGAACCATTCAATGACATTTGTGGGAATTGGCATCAGTGCATGTCGGACGGATGGGGTGATAGGTTCTTTGACACGCTTTGGTGTGCGTGTTTGTTGCTGCGTATAATGTTTTTTTCAAGTTGACATCAAAGTTCGGACAATACCTCCTGTAGATCTCATCACTTCCGTAAGAGTGTGGGTTTTGAATTTGCACTTTCCAATATGTTCAATTTTTTTAATCCTCACTCGTTTTGCTCCAGTTTGATCCCACTTGGGTCAATCACACTTTCAATAAAATTTTTTTAATCCTCTGTGAACATAAGAGATCGTGAAAAAATTGAACACACAACAACAACGACTCTGAAAATGATTGGCATGACGACTAGCGATGATGATGATGCAAAGAAAACGCTCTCTCACCAACAAATCTCTGCTTTTTGGAGAGATTTTCTCATGATATCCAGCGGATCATCCATTTTGAAAGAAATTATTCCAAAATATCAGAATTATAAATCGACAGAAAATATTCTCTATGCAAAGTATAATGGATTTCCGTCACGTTTTCACGCAAAAGTGTTTTACAGCTTGGCAAATGAAAGATTGAATTGTGAAAACATGGATAGTTTTATTTCGGCCTATTCAGAACTTTCGGAAAAGCCACAAGAATGAAAAGAGCTCTACAATGTGAAGAGGAACATTAAACAATTGGTGACATTTGTGGATTCTGAAACACCCAATGCATTTAAGAGGAAGCTTTTACAAGCCTCTCCAGAACATTTCAAAAGAATTCCCTACATGATCATTCATGGAAGATATTTACCTCAACAAGCAAGTTTTTTGTTGTTTTATTGGATGGAGTTTATTGAAGGAGAATTAGAAAAGAGAGACAGAGAAATTGAGAAGAGAGAGGAGAGTGAATGGATCCCTCTCGTCGCTTCGCGACTCACTTTGATTCACCGTCTCAAGAAGGCACTGGTTTGGTACACACATGGTGAAACAGATAAGATTGAGAATTACATTAATAGGAAAAATAATTCACAAACACTGCCAGTGTTAAGGGGATCGTACATGCCAGATCGTTTCAAACCGTTGATTACTCTTCCAAAAATCAATATTCAAGTGGTGAATAAGATTTTGAAAGATGCTGATTTGCAACCCATTAATATTGAGAATATGAATACCCTTTCAGAGTATTACAACTTATTGGATACATTGGAGAAATTGTGTGGAGTTGGAGAACATTGTGTTCTCAAGTACAGTCTTAGAAAACGAAAGAATTCTCCACCTACTAAAACAGCAGTGTATTGCAATCTGTTGAGTCATGATGAGAGAAAACAAAAGTTGCACAAGAGTTTGTGGCACTTTCGCAAATACAACAAATGTTTGGCAATTGTTGGCAAGTTGAGAGGAAGATTGGAAACAGTTTTTGATCCTTTCGTCACTGGTCAATCTGCTCGAGTAGACAAGAGTGGAATGATTACCCTGAATTTGAAGACTCATCATTATTATTTCAACGAAAATAGTGTCGAGTCGATCATTAAGGATATTGATATTCCATCCATTATATTTTCTTGTGTTGCAGTGAGCGTCTTTTCATTAAGAAAGCAATTTACATTAAGGAGTCAAATGCAAGGCTCATTAGACCCATTCTTGTCCTATATTCTAAACATTTGTAGAAACAGGGCAGGAGAAACTAAATGGGATCTCATTGCATCGATTCATCCTTTGGAAGATGTCATAAACAACTTGAGCGAGAAGGAAGCTCAACACATGTTAACACAAATAATGTCCTATCAAATTCCAATTGCAAAGTTCATGCAGGCTCAATGGGAGAAGGGTGTCAATGATTGTGTTAAATCAAACATGAAAGTTCCAAGAGCTGGAACAACAAGTGTCAATTCCACAGGTTGGAATGTTGTTGTGAGTGCTTATTGCAATAGTTTAAGATTCATCAGAACTCTGTGTCATTCTTTAGATATCAAACCTCCTCTTCTCATCAAATCTATGAGATTGACTGCAGCGGATCAAATGTATTGGGCAAAACTATATGGAATGCCTCTATGCTCGGATCTTCTAGTATTTGAAGAGTTAGCAAGGAGTGGAATTACTCCATGGGGTATCATTTTAAATCAGATTGCAAATATTTCTCCAGACAAAATAATCAAAATTTGCGCAAATCATAAGGTGGATCCATCAGGCTGGTTAGGAATCCGTGAATCAAAATATAGATATACAGACAAGTCTTCCAACGAATATCATGATCAAATCTGTGGAGTATGCGTGCCGAACGATCAATTTGTTCAAAATGTTCTCAAAACTTTAGGGGCATTTGGATATAAATCAAAAAAGTAAAGGGGCCTCTTGTCATCTTAATAATCATCTACATTATGAGGCATGTAATAATCTCCATCTTGGTTCACTGATTCTTGTTCAACATGTTCATTTACATAGAACATTTCTTCGTCACTGTAATAGTCTCTATCTAATGAGGCAGTAATGTTCAACCATTTCCTGCTGGCATGAGGGTTATCAACTTCGTCATTCATGGTTTTCCGTTTTTTAAATACTCCACCCATTTTTCTAAAAGCTAAGACAATCAAATCTCGAATATTGTCAGGAATCAAAATCACAAGCAATGAAGCATTTGCTACCATTTCAATGAAACTGAATATGTAGTACAACACAAAGTAATATTCCCATAACGTCTCTGGTTCTCCTTTCACCCGGAAAATTACAAAACTTGAAATATTGTAGAAAGTTAAAACAAAATAGCAGCTGGAGGAAAAGCAAGTTATGAAAGCTAGCTTCATAGTGTTAAGGGTAGAAACAGCGTAATGGATTTTAAAAAATCTAAAGAGCTTAATTCCAAAAATTAATAACAAGAAACAAATTGTCAAGCTAGTGATTACCCGTACTACTAGTCGTATTGTTTGAAAAGTTATCTTCTTGTAGTACATGATTTTAGGATCAAGTACAAATATCAAGATTGACAATGCAAGTAATACTATTGTTAATAGAGCAGCAGCAACCCAAAAAAAGAGAGAAATGACACTTCTCTTCCTTCTAAAATCATGTTTGTTTGGAATTCTCTTTTCTTGCTCCTGTTCCAAAGTTTGTTTAAACGTAAAATATAATTCTGCCCAGTAGCAGCTAAGTACAAAGTAAATTAGGAAATTAAACTCGCTGGAAAATAAATCTAGAGCTTGACTTGTTCGATACATATAATCACAATAATTGAACGGGATGTAATCATTTGATTTAAAACAAATCTGGCTAATAACCCCACATTGCAATAATCTCGTGGTACTGCTCAAAAAGATAAACCCGAAAAGCCTTCTTTGAAGAGAGATTTGTTTTTTAAACAGTCCTCGTGTCCCCAATGTCCACACCAAAGCAACACTGGCAATCATAAAATAACCAATTGCTTGAGGTAATTGTTCATAATTCACTACATGTTGGTCCAAATCAGGCATTTTCAAAATGTGTTCATCCTATGGAGAGAGTAGGTCAACGGTTGGATCCGCGTATTGAGGTGCCTCAATTTTTTTTTGAAACACAATAACACTGGCAGTTAGGAAAGTGCTTTCAAATTGGCGCCTAGAAATGGAATGAGAGAGTAGAAGTGGACATTTTGTTTCAAAGAGGCGTCGTCAACTAATACCCACAAGATTGGGTAATTACATTGAAAACTTGATCACGTTGTGTTTCAATTTTTTTAAGAGGGTTGAACCGAATTCGGAATAATTTACAAATACGCTGTCTTGTGTACGATGAAGCAAGCCTTCGTTTAAATTGCATCATCTGGTACAGAATAAACAGCTTGGGCCATGCACTCTGATATTTTGAGGCCTCGTGTGATGATCTTTCTCTTCCTTTGAAACTTCATGCTGTCACTAATTAAGAAAATGTTCGAAAAGTTGGAATTTTTCTTTGCCCTTCTGCAGTTGAAGCTTGGTGTGAAGGAGTCCTGAGCCATATGATGGCCGAAAGTTAGAAGCTCTCTTCATGATGATGCAAACAAACGGTGGCCCATCAGTGAAGTGGTAGGGCAACTCGTTCTCGAAGGAGTCCTTTCTCCTTGCCGTGTGTCCGATGTTAAACAAATGGACATTTTTCAACGTTCTTCTTCCTTGCCGTTGAGTTTCAAGAAACTCTTGCTCGCAAACAAGAAGCTTCACATTTTCTCCTTCCAACAACAGCGATTTTCAAAAGTTACTCAAAAAAATTTGACCACAAACATTGGCCGCTCTCTCTCTCTCATTCATTGAAGAGAACAATTTTGAACAACAACATAGCGGATTCATTCGAGTCATTGGCTCATCTATTTCATCAATTATTAATTCTCCGATTTCATCATTACCATTAATCGTAACACTTTTTCATCATGTCTGCGTTAAGTCCAGTTGTGGATACACAGTCCAATCGTGGACTCTTTGCCAACATTGAAGAATACATTCGTGTGATGGGAGGAAATAAACCAATCAAGAAGATCCTGATAGCAAACAATGGTATTGCAGCTGTTAAAGGAATTCGTTCAATGAGAAAGTGGTGTAACGAAGTTTTTGGCAGAGCCGATGAAATTAAATTTGTAGTAATGGCAACTCCTGAAGACATTCAGGCCAATGCAGAGTATGTCAGATTAGCAGACGAGTTAGTGAAAGTGCCTGGTGAATCCAATTTCAACAATTATAGCAATGTCAAATTAATTGTAGACATTGCCGAACAATACATGTGTGATGCTGTTTGGCCTGGCTGGGGTCACGCGAGTGAAAATCCTGAATTACCTTTCTCTCTTTCTCAAACTAAACGAAAAATCTCTTTTATTGGTCCTGATGCCTTGCCAATGGAAGCTCTCGGAGACAAGATTTCTTCAACAATTTTGGCTCAAGCTGCTGGAGTTCCTTGTATTCCTTGGTCTGGATCCCATGTTACCTATGATATCGCAAAAGATGGTTTGCCAATTCCTGAAGATATCTATTTGGAGTGTTGCATCACTTCAGAGAACGAAGCACTCGAATGTGCTCATAAGATTGGTTATCCAATCATGATTAAAGCATCAGAAGGTGGTGGTGGTAAAGGTATCCGAAAGGTTACTAATGACGTAGAATTGAAGTTAGGATTTCAACAAGTCAAAATTGAGGTTCCAGGTTCTCCTATTTTCCTCATGAAACTCTCAAGCGAATCAAGACACTTGGAAGTACAAGTGGTAGCTGACAAACACGGAAATGCAATTGCACTCTATTCAAGAGATTGCTCTGTCCAAAGAAGACATCAAAAGATTATTGAAGAAGGTCCAGTAACGATTGCTCCAAAGCAGGTTGTTGATACTATGGAGGCAGCTGCTGTCACACTCGCAAAAAGCGTTAATTACAGTGGTGCTGGTACAGTAGAATACTTGTATGAACCATCTACTCAGCAAGTATACTTTTTAGAGTTGAATCCTCGGTTGCAAGTCGAACACCCTGTCACTGAATGGATTACTCTTACGAACATTCCTTCAATTCAGCTTCAAATTGCCATGGGTATTCCTTTATACAACATGGCAGACATCAGAAGATTCTTTGGTGTTAAATTGGAGGACGTGTATTCGCCATCTGTTAAAGTTGATGTGAATGATGCTAGCAAGAGACAACCCCCAGTCGGACACACTATTGCTTGTCGTATTACCGCTGAAAACCCAGAAAGTGGATTCCAACCAACTTGTGGTAGCGTGGTAGAATTAAACTTTAGAACAGCACCTAATGTCTGGGGATATTTTTCTATTCGTTCTCAAGGTGCTGTTCATGCATTTTCCGATTCTCAATTCGGCCACATTTTCACCCATGGAGCCACAAGAGAAGAGGCAAGAAAAACTATGCTGTTAGCTCTCTCAGAACTTGCTATTAGAGGGGAGATTAGAACAACTGCCGAATATTTGCAATCACTCCTTAAATTTGACGATTACATTGACAATAGATACACTACAGCTTGGCTTGACGGACTTATTGCTCGAAAAATTAAACTGGAAAAACCAGATACATTTTTAGTTGTCACTTGTGGTGCTTTGCACACACTTCACAGAATGGTCTCCGAAAGAGCAAAGAATTGGATTTTGGCTGTAGAGAGAGGTCAAGTTCCATCGTTTGATTGTGTAGATGTTCATTACTCTATTGAATTAATTTATGAAAACGTTAAATATCAAGTTGACGGAGTTAGAAGTGGGCCTAATAAGTATACCTTGGCTTTGAATGGATCAACTAGAGAAGCAGAATTTTCAGAACTAAGAGACAGTGGCTTGTTAATTATTATTGACAACGAAAGCCATGTTTCTTATGCAACTGAGGAACCATCTGGCCTTAGAGTTTTGGTTGATGGCAAGGTTTGCATGTTCACAAAGGAGTTTGATCCTTCACAATTAAGATCAACATTGAGCGGTAAATTTATTAGATACCTTGTTGAAAATGGTGCTCATGTCAAACCAAACACACCAGTTGCGGAATTGGAGGTTATGAAAATGATTGTTACCGTTTATGCTCCATTACCTGGTAAAGTTAATCACTGTCTTGTCGATGGTACAGGTGTCAATCAAGGAGACATCATTGCCATGATTGATCTTGACGACAAGTCTCAAGTTAAGCGATCACTTCCATTTGAAGGGCAATTCCCACCATCTAGCATTTCAACTGCTAGAGTACCACCCAATAGAGTGATAGCATCTGCATTGGAAGTCATTGAGAATCTGTTGGCAGGTTATGACTATCCATCATTTATTTTCAATGAAAAGTTGAGCCAAGCTGTTAGCTCTTTGAAAAAACTCGGAGATAGAAATGTTCTCATTCACGTTTTGATTGAGAAGATTTCAGTTTTAAGAAAATTTTTGCCAATTTCCTTGATTAAGGATGTAAACAATGTGTTGCTCAAGAGAAAGGAGCAATATGATGAATACTGTTGTAAGGACAATGATGACCACACTCACGATGTTTACAACGAAGATTTAATCAAGGAACTAGTTACTCTCTTCAAGAATTTTGAAAATGGACTTGAAGGAGGAAAGAAGGATGAATTTTTGCAAGCTGCAAAGCCAGTTTATGATATTTTTGATCTTTTCAACTCTGGATACAAACAACATGCGTTCAATGTACTTTCAAAGCTTTTTGAAAGCTATTTGGAAACTGAAAAAGGCTTCGACACTAAGGGAGGAAAGAGAAAGGAGGCTGTATGGTTTGACTTGAGAGAAAAGCATAGCGACAACCTCACCAAGACTTACCAAATTGGACTTTCACATTGCAGACTAAGAAGCAAGAACAAAGTTATTCGTTCTCTTTTGGAAGTTATTGAAGATCTCGACATGGTTAAAGAGTTCACTCCAATTCTTGATGAACTTGCAGCATTTGTTGCTCCTGAATACAGTGATGTTGCTGTTGCAGCTAAACACATCCTAACAACAAGCAGATTGCCTTCAAAGAAGAGAATGAAGGATGAAATGGAAGGATATCTTAAGGATGGGCTTGAAGCAACTGACCAACAACAAAAGTTAGCTTGCTTGAAGGAGTTGATTGTTAAATCTAACTACAGTTTTGACATACTTCTCGAGTTCTTCTCTGATCCAAATGAAAGAATTGCTGATTTGGCTGCAGAGGTTTATATCAGAAAAGCATACTGTACTTTTGATATCAATATTGTGAGGTCTGCATCCCATGGTAAATTTAAGACCGTAGAATTCAACTTTATGAATACTGAGAAATCAACCAATTCTGGATCGTTGAAGTCTGATGGTATTGTTGGGTCTATTTCTATGGATTCCTTGAACACACTTTCTGAAACAGAAGATAACCTTGGTTTTGGAGTTATGAGTATTTTTGACTCTCTCAACGATGTAGATTCCTATCTTCCTGATGTTTTGAAGATTTTCGAGAATAATGATGATGCTGATCATACCAACATTTTGAAAGTGTTGCTTAAGTGGAATCAAACCATTACTCCAAACGATACTGAACTAGTTTCTGCTCTTACAACTATCATGAAGAAGCATAGCAAGCAACTTGAATATAATGAAATCAAGAGAGTAACAGTGGTTGTAGAAATTCAAGGAAGATTACCATTCTACTTTACATTCAGACAAAGAATTAACTACAACGAAGATCCAATGTACAGACACATTGAGCCAACTCTTGCTTTCCAACTTTTCCTCAAGAAACTTTCAAACTATGATGTTAAACCATATCCTTGCAGAGATCCATCTGTGCACGTTTTTTATGGCCAAAAGAAGAAGGAACTTGGTTTGAATAGATATGACTATTTGAACAAGAGATTCTTTGTTCGTACACTTGTATTACAAGGCGATATTTTCACTGAGGAAAATCCTGAAGAATTGCAAATTTCAGAACTTGAAAGATACGTTGTTGCATCAATCAATGCATTGGAAATTGCTATGGCTGACAAGAATTACGCTCCTAGCTATGCAAACCATATTTTCGTCAACTTCTTACCAGAAGTTGTTGTTAAAGCTGACATGGTCGGTGAAATTATTGAAAGATTCCAAAAGGTTTATGGTAAGAGATTGTGGAAGTTAAGAGTCAGCGAAGTGGAAGTACGATTTACTGCAAAATTCTCAAAGACATCTCAACCTCAAACATTCAGATTTATTGCTAGAGATGATACAGCTTATAATCTCACATTAGATATTTATCGTGAAGAGAAGGACCAAAACACAGGCAGAACTGTTTACAAGACCGTTGTTGGCGAAAAAAAGCCATTAGAAGGCCTTGATGTAAATATTCCACACCCAATTCTCCAAACAGTTGATCAAAAGAGAGTTATTGCTCACAACAATGAAACCTCATATGTTTATGACTTCCCATACTTATTCGAAAGAGCAATTCAGGGCATGTGGAAAGAATATAATGAGCTAACTCAAGAACCAATTCCATCCGTTCTCTTACAAAAGGTTGAATATATTTTGAACAGCGAGACTCATAAGCTTGTGGAAAATCCAAACAAGGATGCTATTGGTAAAAACACTTGTGGTATGGTTGTTTGGAAGCTAACCATGTACACACCAGAATGCAAAGATGGTAGAGATATGATCCTCATTGCAAACGATATTACATTCCAATCTGGATCATTTGGAGTTATTGAAGACGAAGTCTTCCAATTGGCAAGCGAGATGGCCAGAGATTTGAAGATCCCAAGATTCTATATTGCTGCTAACTCTGGTGCTAGAATTGGTTTGGCAGATGAAGTCAGAGAACTCTTCAAGGTTGAATGGACTGATCCAAACGACTGCACAAAGGGATTCAAATATCTTTACCTAACTGAATCTGATCATGAAAAGCTTCAAAAGACTCACTCTGTCAATGCCACACTGATTGGAAGTCAATGGCGAAAAGAGATGGAGGATTATTGACATCATTGGAAAAGAAAATGGTATTGGTGTTGAAAATTTGAGAGGATCAGGCATGATTGCTGGTGAAACATCTCGTGCCTATGAAGAAGTTTTCACAATCAACTATATTGCCGCAAGAAGTGTTGGTATTGGTGCCTATGTGAACAGACTTGGTCAAAGAATTATTCAGAACAGAAGAGCTCCAATCTTGCTTACTGGTGCCGGTGCCTTGAACAAAGTACTCTCCAGAGAAGTTTATACAAGCAACTTACAATTGGGAGGTATTCAAATCATGTATCCAAATGGTGTGTCTCACTTAGTTGCTGCTGATGACTATCGTGCTATTCAACAAGCCATGAAATGGTTGCAATATGTACCTAAAACTATTGGATCTCCTCTTCCAATTTTGAAGAATTTGGATAATCCAGAGCGTGAAATTGGTTTTGTTCCAGTTGAAGGATCTCACTATGACTTTAGAGAAATGTTAGTTGGCAAATATGTCGAAAATAATGATGAAAAGACATATTTGAGTGGATTCTTTGACAAGGACTCGTTCTTTGAAACCTTGGGAGGATGGGCTAAGAATATTATTGTTGCTCGTGCGAGACTTGGAGGTATTCCAATGGGTGTTATCGCAGTTGATACAAAGACCTATGAACAGGTTATTCCAGCAGATCCAGCTGACAGCAATTCAAGAGAACGTGTTGTTCAAAAATCTGGCCAAGTTTGGTATCCAGATTCAGCATTCAAGACTGCTCAAGCTATCAATGATTTCAACAAGGGAGAACAATTACCACTCATGATATTTGCTAACTGGAGAGGTTTTTCGGGAGGCCAAAGAGATATGTTTGATGAAATTCTCAAGTTTGGTTCCTACATTGTCGATGCTCTAACTCAATACAAACAACCTGTGTTCGTTTATATTCCTCCACATGGAGAATTGAGAGGAGGTGCGTGGGTTGTTGTAGATCCAATGATCAACAATGAGGTTATGGAAATGTTTGCTGACGAAAAATCAAAGGGTGGTATTTTGGAAGCTTCGGGTATCGTTGAAATTAAGTACAGAAAACAAGAAATTGTTGCCACAATTCAACGTTTGGATGAAGAATATATTAGACTCAGCAGAGAATTAGGTAGTCCTGAAATTTCACTTCAAGAAAAAGATCAAATCAAATTGAAGATGGAGAAGAGAGTCGAAAGATTACTTCCAATCTATACTCAAGTTGCTGAATGCTTTGCTGATCTTCACGACACTCCAGGAAGAATGAAGGCTAAGGGTGTCATCACTGAAATTGTATCATGGAAGAATGCCAGAACCTACTTTTATTGGAGATTAAGAAGAAAACTTGTTGAATTCTCATTGTTGAACCAATTGAGCGATTGTGTTGCTCAAAATAAGATTAGTGTCAAGAGACAAATCTTGAGAGAAAAAGTCATCAACAATGAGAAATTGTGGAATAATGATAAGGAATTCCTTTCTTGGGTTGAATCCAACAGCCAAACTGTGCAGCAATCTATTGCCAATATTAGACGTGAAAAGGTCAAACAAGACGTTGCTTGTTTGTGCTCAGAAAATGCCGATGCAGTTCTTGAAGGATTACTTTCTTATTTGGAACATAATTCTGTGAATGAAGCTCTGAAAGAAAAGCTCCGAAAACTCCTCTAAGTTCTACAATCGTTCTCATTAAATAATAATTAAATATGAATAATAATAATTTTGAATTGGATGTTTTTTGTAGACAAAATTGGCGCCATCGTCAATTCAGACGCAGTTCAAAAAAAAATGTTGACATCTTTGCCCTTTCAGCTGGTTGTATTATCAAACACCGTGTGGTCCTATTTTGTAGTGATCGTTTCATTCATTACTCTAATCGTGAAGGGGTCCATATTGTTATACCCTTCCTATGCATTAGCCTTGGAATTTATTGGTTGGATTTGTTATGCCGTTATCACTTTTGCCAACCTCCGATTGAGTAAGTGTCGCAAGCCTTATGATGTCCGCCATGAAATATAATACGATCACCCACAAAAAAGATTCGTTGGGTAATTTTACTGAAAACTACACCCCCATCTTTTTGAGTTTGCCTTTCCTGACATTGATGCTTGGTGGAACTATCTACTATTTATTTCTTCAAGTTTATGTGTAAGTAAGGGGTGAAAGATTCAAGATTTTTCGAAAAGTTGATATTTCAGATTAATGTTTGAGGTCATCATCAACAGTGTTTCTTTACTTTTGATTGCAGCAAATTTCATTGCATCCATTGTTGTGGGACTGACATTTGTAAGATTTGCTGTGTAAACTTTGACGCTATCACGTGTTGTTCAGCAGAAAGGAAACCAAAGAATTGATCTCCCATTTCATGAGAATGCAACCACAGAATAGAGCTCAGCCGTTTGTCAACGTACGAAAGGTGTACCACGTTGCATCAATTCTCGACACCGATATTAATATTGATTTCGAACTCAGTTTAATTAACATTATAGGATATAACACTGTTATTATTGATGAACATATCTGCTAACATGTTTCCATGTTTATCAATAAATAGTTCTAAAGCAATAATATTTTACCAAATTCCAACTCACTTTATGATGTTCGGCTTTTTGAATGACATTTCACAAGCATCCTTTCTTGAATCTTTTATCCTTTCCGGCCGCTCCGACTCTCTTTTCATGATTCTTTAAATTGAAAAATAAAAACTAATTTCAAACAAGTATTCCAAATTCGTGGGATTGTGGTTGAATTTGTGTGACTGGAATGAAAAGGTAGCAGAGCCAAGCATCATCAAGGTTCATGGCAAGATTAAAATCTCAAACAAAAAACCATTCAACCACATTCTCTCGAGTCTCATCTTCAACAGCGAGCCTTCGCCAAAATCTCACCTTTCAAAGTATAGTTTGCGACACTTTCCTACTACTACCACGAACATTACTTTGCAACCTACTATAACTCCAATCTATTCGCTGAAAACAATCACCAACAAACGATACCTTCCGTCCCTATTGTATTAAAACCACGCATTTGCTTTAACAACTACAACAATCCATTCCATTGCTATTGGGGAAGACCATAAAGATGATGACAACAGCCACGACTGGTGAAACTCCTAGACTTCTCATGCTAAAACTTGATCATAAAGACTTTTGTATGTCCTATGAAAAGTTACTTGCGGAGAAGTATCAACAACAACCACAACAACAACCTCCTCAACATCATCCACATGGTTCATATGATATGAACCTCATGAGCCTAACATTTCAAACGACGACAACATCTCCACGCACCCTAACAACATCCACTCAACCCTCTCCAACCCACTCTCTCAATGGTGGTCCTCTCTTTCATCTCAGCAATCCAGACAATAACTATTACCCTCTAACAACATCCACAATGACAAACGAGGACGACCATTCCCAACTCCATTCTTCGAGTACCCAAACCAAGAACGCTTTCAGATACATAACAACTACTTCCAAATACTCGGTCTCTTCACCTCATGACATTGATCCCATCAACTCGAGCAGAAATATCGATCCGACTCTCAATCTAGATTTTCAAGATCAAGTTGGTTCAAAAGTCCAACCTCAGAATCACGACCTGATGATGAATGATACTTGTTTTGTTCAAGATGAAGGTTGCTGGTTTTCCATTCATGAACCATCATTCACCAATTGTGAACAAAGCTTCCAACTTGAGTTAGACCACAGTGGTAGGAACACCTCCTCTGCTCTTCAGCCATCCCAAGTACCTCCAACTCTTGATCCTTCTTCCACTATTACATTGATGAATGTCGGATCAGAAGAGATTTCTTCCTCTTCCATGACCGAGATCAGCAGCACCACCACATCAACACTTCCCACAACTCCCACGTTGTCCACCTCTTGCAAAAAACAAAAACGTTCAAATACCACCACCTCGACCACAACCACTAAGGGAAAAGGAATTTGTAAGAGATCAAGATCCTCTTCATCCTTGTCCGCTTCCAAAATCAAACAACAATCCATGCAATTTACCTTTCCTTTATGGACCTTCCATGTATCACGGTCCTCAAATTCCTCTAGACATTAGGTGATTTCTGGTGTTGGCCAACTCTCAGATAATACCAAGCTGCCAATCTAATACCAACATTACTAGAGTGATCCAATCATGTACTTTATCATCCATTCTCTCTCCCCATTAGTTGTTCCTTGATTACAACAATAAATTATTTATTTCTCACAACTTTTGGAATGAGCCTTCTCAATGCATTCAGCTTTCATGTGGGAAATGTGAGGAACATTCAAGTGTTGATTTAAAATTCAATTCGATCAGTTGACCAGTGTCATTTACAGTTTCACAAATAAATTGTGACTTAAGCCATCATCATCCAAATACGCCATTTTACCAACATGTCGTGATCCGGATGTGTTCCCCATCAAAAAACTCCGAATTGTAATTGCTTCATTTGTGGTTGACCAATTGCCTGTCCATTACAATACGACAGGTTTTGTTTGCTTCACCTTTAATTTCATCAAATAAGGAGATTTTTAAAACTTTTTCCCAAATAGTAGTACCACCCTTTCTGAACACTATAAAAACGCCAACTGTCATGACATCTATGAGAACAACAAACACAACAAAAAAACACTTGACAACAATCACAACAACCACAACCACAAGAACAACAACAATGGCCACTACTATTCCATCACCATTCAACTGGGACTCTTCTTTCTGCGTTGGTAACAATGAATTGAATGAGCAACACAAGAAGCTCTTTGCTCTCATCAATGCTTTGGATGCCAACAGATCCAGTGCTTCAGCATTGAAGGAATTGCTTGATTTCGTCGTTATGCATTTCAAGGCTGAGGAGGACTTGTTCGCAAAGGTGAATTTCTCTGATTCTACTTCTCACAAAGAGACTCATGATAAGTTTGTTCAAGATGCTTTGGGTTTGAAGACTGTTGGAGATGCTGAAATTCAATTCATCAAGCAATGGTTGGTGAATCACATTAAGGGATCTGATATGAAGTACAAGGGAGTGCTTTAAAGCGTTTGGCATTTGCTCGTGAAGAGTTAATAAATATCAAGATTATATTACTGATCAAGATTATTGTAGTATTATTGATCAATACAAAAAAAGCATTGTTTGATGATTGTGTATGATCGATCAATACACAATTGTTCACTGTTTGGTGATGAAAGAATGTACGTTCTCAACAATAATTCTGAGAGTGATGAAATGATCACATGTTTGTTCACATATGAAAATGCTAGTGTGTAATATTGGAATGATTCATAGACAACAATAATCTTTCAAAAATTCACAATCGAAGGTCAGCAGCAATTCCAAAGTGGTCCGATATGGGATACTTTTCATCGTTGCCAATATCACAATTCCAATCGACAATATGATACGTTTGTGGGTGAGTGTTTGGCTCTCTTGAAGACTTGTTGCGACCTCTTGTGGCAAATGGATTGAAAATCAAGTCGTTAGAATGGCAAGGAACAGTATATATTATGTGATCCAAACACATATTCTTGTGAGTTTTAGGATGTTTTGTGAGGTCGCTTCCAAAAATGTCTCTGAATTCACATTCTTGGATGTAGTTTTTACAAATTTTTGAGTTGAGCTCATTCAGTAAATACTCATAAATTTCTACATCCACTAAACTGTCAATGTTAAAATCTCCAGCAAGAACAATATTATGTTTTGTCAAATTATGTTGATGTGAACTGGTGTGTTTTCTTTTTGCATATGAAATGTATGTGCACTCTCTAATAAACGCTATCAATTCATCGATTTGACATCGTCGAATATTTTCATCATGTGCATCCATATGAAGCGTAAAAAGATGAACAACTCCTTCGTGTGGACTTTGAATTTTGGAATATAGGACTCCTTTCCCTGTGACATAGTCATTCCAGCTAGCGTTTTGAAAAACGTAATTTTTGGAAAATACGATTGGATATTTGCTCAAAATCAACAGTCCAGAATCTTGACATAACAGATAAGGAGGATCCGACAAAGCCACATGATAATTCAATTCATTAGTTCCCTTTTTTACAATCAGTTCATGAAAGGTATTTTCAAATAATTCAAAAAAAGTATTTCCATATCGAAACACTTCTTGCAAGACAACCACATCAAACATTTTGTGAGACGTTGTTGCTATCTTGCCTGATTTTTGTTGTTCTTTGTTTTTCTTTGTAATTTTTTCATCTGCGATCACACACGAAGATTCAATGCCTCCTGTTGTTGTTGAGATGGCTCGATCATCATGATGAAGGTGATCGGAATTGTTCTTTTTGGATCGGCTTGTTGTTTCCTCCAAAACACAATTTTCAAATTCATCAAAACCGTTTGCTAAATGTCTTAAAAATCCCTCCGTTCGTTCCTTCTTAAATGGTGGAGGAGACTTTTTGAAGGAGAGCGAATTGATGAGCCACATGTTTAAAGTAAGCAATTTCATTTTTTTTTAAAAATACATTTGGGTTCCAAGTTCACTAACTGGAAATTTCATCCTGCGGAATAATAGCAAAAAATGCTTTTCTCAAGATGTGACGTTTCAGCCACACGCTTTGGGATGAATTAAATCACTGTCCTGCATGGTTGAGTTTATTGAGTCGCCTTGTCATTCTTATGTTATAAGTTTCTCTTTTCATGACTTAAAACGTCACGCTTGATCCTGCAAATGACAGTTGAAGTCCAAACACTTGTTTTAATGATGTCATAATTTAATAATGATGATGGCTCTCGGAAAGCTTGTCCATAACCATAGGTTTGTTGTTGATATGAAGAAGCTTAATCAACTATAAATTTTTCAATTTCCTCATTAATTTGCTTTGGAATCTGCAACATGACAAAGTGACCTGCATCCAACTTGAGTAACTTTGATTTTGACTTGACACTTTCATCGACATAGTACTTGAACGATAAATCAGCAGTTTCCTCAATGAGTGCTATATCATCCTTTCCCCACAAAATCAATGTTGGTACTTTCACTGTTTGATTTTCAATAGGTCCATCAAGAGTATTGCCCACCATTGGATAACGTCTTTGATCTTTCATTCCTAACAATTTCATTTTCACATAATTGGAAACCTTTCCTGTAAGCAAAGCTCTATAATATGCAATCATGGCTTGCATGCAATTTGGTTGAGACCAAGCATTGACAATGTAATGATAATCTTCAATTGAGAGAATATTCTGTTTTGCTAAATCAGCAAAAGCAAAGGATAATTTCCTGAATCCTTCACGTGAAAAGTACTCTTCTGGAATGGAGAATCCCAATTGCATGAAGAAAATGTACCAACTCTTTCTCATCTGTGCGAAAATGCGACTGACAGGAAGTGTCGTGATTGGTCCTGAAAGAGTATTTGGATGTGGCACATTGAGAATAATTAATTTTTCAAGAACTTGTGGATAAGTGGAGGCAAGAGACCATGCAATGATTGCACCCCAATCATGAGCTACCACAATGGCCTTTCTATTATTGGGTTTAGCTTCATCATTGCCATAATAACCATCAATGAGACCCTTGATGTCATGAACCAATTCACCAATATCGTAATTTGCCAAATTATTAACATCTGGTTTTTCTGTACGATTATATCCACGAAGATCAGGAGCCATGACTGTATAGGATTTGCTTCCAAATTGATAATCATTTTTCATGAAATGTAAAAGTTGGAAATACCATGCAGTTGTGGCTGTTTGTGGAAATCCATGTAAGAATAGAACAAGTGGATTTTTAGTATTGGTAGTTGTTGGCTTTTCCAACACAACCACATCCATCGTAATGCCATTACTTGGAATTAATTTTCTTGGAAATTGTTGGTAATTGTGAGTATTTTCCGAGGTTGGATTTTTGAATAGATCCTTCACCTGAACCACATTTCTCATTGAATTGATTTGATAATAGAGTATGATCACTGCCACAGCAGAGAGGAGTGTCCGAGTGACAAGACCACAAAGAGACATTTTTTTTAATGAAGAATGGCTTGCCAGATCCCAATCGCACCAATTTCGGAGTGGTTATTGTCTTGCCGACGGAATGGACAAAACTGGGTTTCTGAACGATCGTACATTCGAATGATTTTCTTTATAATAAATTATAGGAGGACAAAATGGTTTTTTCTCCGGTGGCAAAAATTCTCGAACAACCCAGAATCGAATAGAATGAATAAGAGAAAAAAAAAAGAAAAAATAAACTCTTGAGTGTATTACGTTTTATTGATATTCGTACATTGGAAATTTAGAGTAAACGATATTTACTTTTTCATCTTTCTTGATTTTGTAATTTTCGAAGAGGAAGACGTGGACCTCTTTTCCAAAGTATTCTTTGAGGATCGTTTCACAGTGACTTGCATTCCCGTTAAATTTGAGACATGATAATCCAAATTCTTTCTTCTTCTGGTTCCACTCACTACATTACATGGATCAATATCAAAATTAGGTAATCGTTTGGTAATATCAATAGGTTGAGATCGAACCCATTCGGTTTTTGTTGGAATTTTATCAGTGTTGTTGGATGGGGAAGAGGAATTGTCGTTCGATGATGTTCTAGAGACCATGATGTTGTTGTTGGTTTAAAAGTATATTGCTGTTACTTTAGTTGTTTTGTTTTTTGTTGATGATTTTCGGAACAACAACTCGATGACACTTTTTATCGAGCTCGCTGTCATCCATTTTTTTGTGGAATACTGAAACATCTGAAAATTCTCTAAAAAACTGGAAAGACATTCAAAAATAAATGATTCCAACAACAACAAAGAAAAACAAACACTAACAACTGCATTCAATTCAGCAAAGCAAATAATCAAAATGGTCTGCACAAGAAGCAACAAGGGATACAACAATTATTCTTCCGAAATTTCCATGGATAATATTGTCGGAGGAACAAGACAACGAAAACAATTCAATTACCGAGTGATGAATCAATATGGTGAGGAAGTCATGAACAATCAGTACTTCTCCTCACGACCCTCCCATAATACTTTGGAAATGAGAAATAGGAATTTCCGAAAGTAGAGTTCTCATCTCTCCAAACATAACTATTATCAACCACTATGTAAGAATGTTTAAATATTTAAATATATTGAAGACACATAGATTTGACCCCTTATCTGCCAAATGTATCCACATGCTTCACAAATTCAAATAAATTTACCCTCCATAACCTAGGTTTAACCAAGTCTCATTCTTGAAGTTGTCAATTTGAAAGGGAGAAATTGTTGGCATTTACAGTAAGACACTTGCTTTCTTTGAGGATGATCAGACATCTCTCAGAAATGCACACCTTTCATCAAGTGAATGACAATTTCATTGGGAAGGCAACTTTCATTTATGGTTTGGGTCATCATCCATCACTATCAAGTTTACAATACATCAAAAATATCATTGGTTTGTTGAAGGTCCAGCAACACGTCACACCAAATCTTTAAATTTTTTCAATAATTATTAACAGCATTCTTTCACACAAACAAAAAACTCAACAACAACTTCCTCTCCAACAAGAACAACAAAATGTGTGACGACGTTCAAGCACTCGTAGTTGATAACGGATCTGGTATGTGTAAGGCTGGTTTCGCTGGTGATGATGCACCAAGAGCTGTCTTCCCTTCCATCATTGGTAGACCAAAGCAAAAGTCCATCATGGTTGGTATGGGTAACAAGGATGCCTATGTTGGTGATGAAGCTCAATCCAAGAGAGGTATTTTGACTTTGAAGTATCCAATTGAACACGGTATTGTCACCAATTGGGATGATATGGAAAAGATCTGGCATCACACCTTCTACAATGAATTGAGAGTTGCTCCAGAGGAACATCCAGTCTTGTTGACTGAAGCTCCATTGAATCCAAAGGCTAACAGAGAAAAGATGACTCAAATCATGTTTGAAACCTTCTCTGTTCCAGCCATGTATGTTGCCATTCAAGCTGTCTTGTCTTTGTATGCTTCTGGTCGTACCACTGGTATTGTTTTGGACTCTGGTGATGGTGTCTCTCACACTGTTCCAATTTATGAAGGTTATGCTTTGCCTCATGCTATTTTGAGATTGGATTTGGCTGGTAGAGATTTGACTGATTACTTGATGAAGATTCTCATGGAACGTGGTTACTCATTCAATACCACTGCTGAGAGAGAAATTGTCAGAGATATCAAGGAAAAGCTCTGTTATATTGCTTTGGACTTTGAACAAGAAATGAAGATTGCTGCTGAATCATCCTCCGTTGAAAAGTCTTATGAATTGCCAGACGGTAACGTGATTACTGTTGGAAATGAAAGATTCAGATGTCCAGAAGTTTTGTTCCAACCAAACTTCATTGGTATGGAAGCTGCTGGTGTCCATGAAACTACTTTCAACTCGATTGGAAAGTGTGATATTGATATCAGAAAGGATTTGTATGGTAACGTTGTCTTGTCTGGTGGTACTACCATGTTTGAAGGTATTGCTGAGAGAATGACCAAGGAATTGACCAACATGGCTCCTGCTTCCATGAAGATTAAGGTTGTGGCTCCACCAGAAAGAAAGTACTCGGTCTGGATTGGAGGTTCCATCTTGGCTTCATTGTCCACCTTCCAACAAATGTGGATCACCAAGGAAGAATATGAGGATGCCGGTCCAGGTATTGTCCACAGAAAGTGCTTCTAAATTGACCTTGGATGCACATTATCAAATTCCAATGTAATAAAACATAAAAATCTATGTAAAATCATGCATGAGTTGTGTCTTTGTAAAATTGATTTGTAGTCTCCTATTATGTCAATTTTGTGTTTGGTTTATTGTGACCAAAGCCACTTCTTTTTAAAATACAATTTAAAATTTCAAGAGCATTCTCATAGGAATAACTCCAATCGAGCAAATAAATGAAATCACAAATGAATATAAAATCAAAGGATTCAAGTGCAAGAAAAACTTTTCAGTCTTTTTGAACCATCCCGAAATACATAAATTGCTCAAAATTTCAAAAATTAAATACGGAATATTAATGGCCACATAGTATTTCAAATGAGTCATCAAACTGCTCATCAAGGATTGAATAAATATAGAAAGAACTGGTTCCGAAGATGAAATTAGTGATACAAGCAGGCATACAAATCCGCCCATAAGTATCACAGAAGTTCCTACAAGCAATCGATCCAGTACATCATTAAGCTTGTTGTCGGTTGTTGTTGTTTTGAGCATTTTTTGTTTGAAAATTCGTTTTACAAAGAAGTGTTTATATAATTCAAACGAAAGGATAGAAAAGAAGAATTGAAGTATGACCATAGATCACACTGTGAGTTGAAGAATGTCACTGACGAATGTAATTGCATGGAAAATGGTCAGTCGAGAGAATTTACACTTTGGGAATGCGTCCCATACAAATACTTCAACCACCTTCCTTACTCGAATGTAATCTGCTGCTGAGGAAGTGGTGGTAACCTTTCTCTGTCCTTAGTGATACACACACCTATTGGACATGTCATTGTGCAATTTGTCGTGCTGACTCCGAAAATATTTCATCTTTGAAAAAGTTTTGAATTCAAAAGGTCCTTAAGGGAGTGAGCGAATGGTTGTCAAACACAAAAAACGATCATCTATTATTTTCATCTTCTAATCTTCCTCTTCCTCCAATCGAACATGAGGACTCACTTCAGAAGCATCTTCTCCAAAAGATACATTTCTTTGACACTCTCTCCACACAAACACCACATTCCAAATCGAAATTCCACAACACAACACACAAAATGCTTCATGAGCAAGTGCCACCATCAGTGGAAGAACTTCCATCTTTTCCCACGAGATTGTTCCACCACCACTACTACTACCACTATTGGTAGTATTCTCTTCCAATAAATTTCCATAAAATAGAAAATAACTTCCAATATAGACAATCACTGCTCCGAAAAGTGTTTCCAATGAATGAAAGGCCCCAACATACGACAAGTACAATCTCGAACAAGACGAGGAGATTCATGAAGAGAATGGCCAAAATGTGTTGATGTTCCAAAGTGGAATTCGTTCCTCGGACGAGTGTGGCTAAAAATTTGAGAGTGAGTGTGGTGAAGATGAGAGAGAAAACAAGTGGAATGAAAGAGAAGAGTTGGTAGAGAGTGGAGAGTTTATTGGAGAGGGCCATGATGAATGTTTCGATAGGACAATTTTTTATGAATGGTTGAGAATCAAGAGAGAGGAGTGACAAGTGGCAGGTACGTCAAGAGGTGAGGGTTCCAACCTTTCCTTCAATTATTCAATGTTGAAAATCAAATAGAGGAATCGCTAATGCCACTTGTCAGAATCGTTCAAGAACGAAAATAGAATTCCCATTCTTTCAAAAAAAATGATTCAAAACCCAGTCATTCATTTTCTCTCTTTATCGGAGCCCATCTCCCAAAGCGACCTCTCTCGGCAATCTCTTTCTCAAAAATTGAAAGAAACCACCGATCTTTCCAAAATCAACTCCAAATTTTTACTTTTCGAACTTTGTGTACAAAAAACTCTGACTCTGGCGTCGATCAAGCTCTTGTCCTTCCACAAAGAAGAAACCATCATAACAACAAATCTGAATGTCAACCACTCTGCGTGTTGTTTCAACTCAAAAAAGTTTGTGTCATGAGAAATCAAAATGACGACACAACGAAATTATTGAACAGCAATTACACAACGACAGTTCAAGGCAATCCTTAACTATTCATCACCACTCATGACATTGCATCTCATCTACCCAGAAATGAACTCTCCATTAACATAGATTCATGTTTCAGTGAGAAATATTTGAATTTATATTTTAAATGTATTCGAAATGTGTTCAGAGAAAAGGAACAAGAATTCAACGTTGGGAATTCTCAAGAGAGAGTGGATTTTGAGGTGTTGGCCACTCATATTAATGAAATTTTGCAAGAACAATTGGAAGAGATACAAATCGAAATGGCCACTCGTGAAAGTAAAGCCATTTCTAAATCTCTTCTTTCATCCAAATCACATCAACCAGTGGAGTTGGATCATGATGAAATTACGAAAGTGAATTCGGAATTGAATACACCTGAATATTGGAGGAAACATGTCAAATTTTCATTACAAACACCAGTGGATGATTTTATACAAGGCTCCATGTTAGAATTTCATATTCCATTTCCTAGTTACTGGGAATCAATGAATGATTTCTCCACACGAACAGTTCCTGTGACACCAAACTCGACCGAATATAGAAATGTGAAACAATGGATGAATTCTACCATTCAAAAACACAAAGGAAATGTAGGAGGAGAGTTTTCGCATTATCTCAAAAGCTCCATTACAAGAATTCAAAATGCCAAGCTCTATCTCAAATACTTTTTGAAACAACAAGAATATGCTCATGAAAAGAAGGACATTGAATTGTATTTATTTCATGGATGTCCTGAATCGGTGGTTGACACCATCATTGAGAAGGGTTTCGATCCAAGAAAATCAAAATTTGATGGAATGTTTGGGTTGGGTGTGTATTTGGCAGATTTGAGTTCAAAATCGAATCAGTACTCGAAATGCAAATTGCATGACAGTGCCTCTTGTAAGGTGTGTGAGAAGAAATTATTTTTATGTCGAGCATTGATTGGAGATCCTTATTTTACAAAGGTGGCCATGCGATATGCCAAGGAGCCACCACTGAATAAGGATTCTGTGATTGCTCTTTCGAGAAAAGATGTTCCTGATAGTGCTGTTGAATATAGAGAATATATTTTCTATGATAAGGATGTGGTCTATCCTGAATATGTCATTTCGTATCAATTACAGTAGAAGTGTTCACACACCTCCAATGTAAAGCAACAACATTAAAATAAAATTGACCCACCTTTACTATTTCATCATAATAAGTATTTGTTTCAACCATATCAACCTACACAATCATCTTATCTACATTTAAATTGTTGTACAAGAAGGTTACATTGCATGATTACTCTGCATCCTTAGATGCAGCAGTTATCTTCTTAATTTTTGCTAAAGCATCGTCCTTAATCTTGACATTGAAAAGATATTCGTTTTTCTGCTTGAATGGTTTTTCCTCTTCGAGAATCTTTTTAACATCCATGCCAGGAAGATCATTGGCAATTTTTGCACGAACTTTGCTCATGAAATCTTTCAATAATTGGAAAGCTTCCTCTTCCTTTTCAACACGGAAACAAAGAATTCTGACTTTCTTTCCAGAAAGTAAAAATTTGACAGTTTTCTTCATCTTGACGTCCAAATCATGCTCTTCAATAGCTCCAGAAAATCTAATTTCCTTGATTTTCTTTTCTTCCAATTGTTTTTCCAATTCCTTTAATTCTCCAAGTTTATCTTTTATAATGGCACGTTTTAAAAAGACAACATAATCACCCAATTTTACAATAGGAGGATTCACAGTGTCAACAACGAGAATTAAATCCAATGACTCGTTTGAGGCAATTGCTTCGGCTTCGGCTCTTGGGACCTTTTCACCAATCATGGTTCCATCCGAAATACGAATCAATCGATAGTGAGTAAAATGATCAGGAATTTCATAATTAATTGGTTTTACCATTTCTTCAATTCCAAGATCTTCTGGAGATGCAACAAGAAGCTGTCTACCTCTTCGGAGTCGATCGGCCGATTTTCTATTTAGAGATCTAGCTTTGAAATAAGAAGTCCATTGAATATCAAGCTCAGCAGCAACACGGTCAAGATAGACATCTTCATCTTCATTTTCCTCTTGTTGAGTTGATCTCATGAGCAAGGAGGAATGATAACTTTTGGTAGAAGAGGATGTTGTATTTGATGAAAATAATAAATTACTAGTTTGTCCGATCATGATGAGAGCTGCAGGGTTGGTGTGGTGCTGATGATGAATGGTTTTTTGCACGCACGATGATGGTGCAAACATGGACAACAAGCCACCATAGTGGCTTGCTGCTTTGAATGTCTGCGTGGTTTGCTTGAGAGAGAAGAAAGGTCGAAAAAGCATTTTTTTGGTAGCTAAACAAGTCCGCTTAAAAACAATACCTGATATCACCCAAATGTTGATTGAATGTTTTTATCATATCATTGAGGTGCAACAATGAAATTTGGCCTTGAACAAGTTGGAACCAGATTGCTATTTTGAGACAACTTTGTTCCAATACTTTTTGAATTCAAAAGAGCTTATAAAAATACTGTTCGAAGCCGTCGTAGCTCAGTTGGATAGAGCACAGGACTTCTAATCCTGGGGTCGTGGGTTCGAGTCCCGTCGTCGGTAGACTTTTATTCGGAAATTGAAGTTTTCACTCTTCCTCAATTTCAGCCTTCATATCGGAGAAGACTCGCTTTTAAAGTTTAATGAAGTGTCTCTGTATCTGACCCTCATCATGATTTTCTTCAAAAAAAATGACCTCTCGACAAGTCCAATCCAAACTTCCTCCTCTTCCTTCCCTCCGAGAAATTTTGAAGCTGTATGGTCTGCAAGCGAGCAAACAACTCTCCCAAAACTTTCTACTCAATCTGCATGTAACAGATAAAATAGTGAAAGTGTGTGGTGATATCTCAAAAAAAACAGTGGTGGAAATTGGTCCTGGACCCGGAAGTTTAACCCGGTCCATTTTGCAAGCAAATCCGAAACGATTAATTGTTGTGGAAAAGGATGAACGATTTATGCCTGCTTTGCAAAATCTTCAACAGTCTGTAGAGGAAGACAAGATGCATATTGTACAAGGAGATATATTAAAAGTGGATCAATACAAATTAATGGATCACTTTTTAGAACCTGAAGAAAAGATTGTAAATCATGAAGAAATTGCAAATACTGTATTTATTGGAAATTTACCATTCGGAATTGCCACACCGTTATTAATTAACTGGTTAAGAGATTGTGCAAATTGTACGGGAGCGTTTGCTTTCGGAAGAAGAATACCCATGATTTTAATGTTTCAAAAGGAAGTGGGGTTAAGAATGAGTGCCAAACCTTCCACTAAGGAATTTGGTCGTATCAGTGTCTCTTCACAGAGTCTATGTGATGTGGAACACATGTTTGTTGTGAAAGCAAAAAGCTTTGTACCGGCTCCAGAGGTCGATGCAAGCGTCATGCGTTTAATTCCTAAAACAACACCTCTCATTGATACCTCACTTGTACAATTCGAAGACTTGGAACAATTTTGTAGGATTATTTTCAGTAGCAAGAGAAAACAACTTTCCACAAATCTTGGAATGCGCTTTACACCCAAACAATCAGCTTATATTGCTGCAGGTGCTGTGGAGGGTGGATCTAAAAACATGGAAGCTGTACAAGCAGCTCTCTCTAAACGCTCGCAAGATTTTACTGTTGAGGAAATTACGAACATGGCTAGAAGATTCAAACGTCTTGTTGAGAGTGATCCAAATCTTAAGGATGCCCTTAAAAAGGTCTGATTGGAAGGAGTGTGTTGTGCACAAGCGCAATCACGTAGTTATTGTTACGGCGCCGAATAATAATGACAATAGGGAATGATATTTTCATCTTCATGTGTTGAATTAAACCAAACAATAGAAAATAATATTAGGAATAGTCGATTCATTTGAAATAAAGTTATTAAAATTAATTTATTATAGTGTTGAAGAAATGCGAAAACCTTACTCTTCGTCCAAGTTGGCCTCTGGGCTATCGTCCATGGTCAAGTATTGTCTGTCCAAGTTATATAACCTTACGAAACCGTCTTCTCCTCCAGATGCAAAGGTCTTGCCATCTGGTGAAAAGGTCAAAAAGTGGATAGGACCGAAATGGCCTCTCACTGTACCTAATTCTTCTTCAAATACCATATGGAAAAAGTGAGTGTCAAAGTATGTTTGTTTCTTTGCAGTAGTTGTGACATCTTGAGCTGCAGTACCACCTCCTAAAATAATATGGCGTTTGATTGGGGAAATAGCAGCAGTGTTGACGGGCTCTGTGTGTTTGTAAACCTTTAAAAGTTCGAGGGTTTGAGTTTCAAAGAGTTTTGCAGTCTTATCTTGGGAGGCAGATATGAACAACATTTTGTCCTTTGAAAAGGCCAATCTTACTACAGAACCTGTGTGCTCCTTTGTTTGTCCGATCAGTTTACCATTTGTTGCATCAAACATTCTAATAGTTCCGTCCTCAAATCCACAAATAATGGTCTTATTTAAAGGTCCCCAAGCTGCTGCTGTAATTTTCTCCTTTTGTTCAATCTTGGCTGATGGAATTAATTTTCCAGGCTTTGATTCGATTCCTTCTTCTGGTAATCTAAAGATTTGAACAGAAGGTGTTTGTTTGAAGGAAGCATCGGTAACACACAAGAATTGTTTATCATCATCGCTGAATTGAACAACTCTTACAGGAGTTTGAAACTCCACAGACAATAACAAAGTACCAGTTTGAACGTCCCACATTGTTACTTTCATATCGGCAGAAGCGCACAACAATCTTGTTGATGAAGCATTGACATCAATACAATTCACAGCACCGGATATTTTAAAAGTACCAAGTAATTGTCCATTGTTTGTATACCATACAGAGACTGATTGGTCTTTCGAGGCAACAAACAACAAGTCTCCTTCTCTGCTGAATTTGAGCCAAGAGATTGGCTTCAAGTGTGCGTGAAGATTTAAAGGTTTGATGGTCATTTTTTATCATCAAGAATTATTCAATTTATTCATTCAACCTGGTGATGATGATGGGAACAAGTTAAGCCGCATTTCAAGCTTGAGCGAGAGATTTGAAAAGAATTTGCGTGAGTCATTGAGTAGATTGTCTTCTTTCCAGGGTTCCCCACATTCTTTTGGGATGGTTATAACATTGGCCAACCATCATCGTCATGACCACCATTACATTGAAATTGTGAATTATATGATATGGTTGAAAAGTGTTGTGAATTACTGTTGATTGTTTGTTGTTGTGAATTGTTATCAATAGTTTGTAGTTGTGAATTATGACTTGTTGGTGATTCTGAAATATTACTAGCTTGGCTTTGATGATATGTGTTGGCATGTTGTTGTAAAGAATTTCTAATTGTTGTACGTTGCTGTTGTGAATGATTTTGTTGTGTCTCAGTTGACCTCACAGTGTATGGTATGAATCGACAGGAACGAGCAAATGATGTTTCACTTAACACTCTTCCTGATGTTGTTACTCGAGCCGTTCTTGGTTGAGAAAGTATTATCAATCGATCGTCAAACATATCCATACTATGATCTTGGTGTGTACTTAAGTTGGTATGAGTGGACATGTTATCTTCCTCTGGCAATAAATTTCCTACAGCTACTCAATCCGATGAGACGTTGGGGCAAATTCTGTGAAATTTGAAAGTACTTGTTGCTCTACAAATAATCCAATCGCTTGCCTTACTTTTGGGTTAGTGAACACATAGATGACACCAGCTAAGCCTGGGCTATTGGGTGCTATATCATTATATTCTAAATAATTCTTTGAGACGAGAAATTCCAAAATATTTTGCAAATTTTGAGTGGTCAACCAACGGTTGGAACTTGTACCAATGTTGACCGTTTCAAATGCATCACCGATATGGAGTGCATTGTACGCTCTAAATAAATAGAGAATGGCATTGATGCATTCTTCATTGTCAAATCTTCGTTCATCTTGCTGTCTTCTTTTAATTTCTGATCTAATATTCGTCAATGCTTGGGCGTAAGTTGCAACCTTTGGCCGGGAAGTACGATCTTCTGTATTAATGTCTTTCACTGTATCCTTGTAAATGGAAAAATATCTGGAATTGTTGTTGTTAAGTTCATGATACCACAAATCAATGTCATTCAATATAATTTTCAAATAAGCTTCTCGATCCTTTCGATTGGCAATGGTATCCAAGTTGAAGTATGAAAATCTACTTTCAACCTTTTCATTGTCCAATTCAATTGAACCAAAATTTTCAACCCATCGTTTCAGTGCATCTGGTGAGTCGATCAGGGTATGTGTTCCATTTTGTATCGATGTTAATAATCGATCTGAAAATCCCCACTTACTTCTCTCATCTTGGCTAAATTCGAATAATTTTCTGGAAGTCATCCTACTTAATTGTGGATGCAATAAAGCGCTAGCATAGGTAAAGGAATAATCTTCATAATCACCCATAATCTTTTCCAATTCTTTCACACCCTCCCCTCGAGCTCTATTGAATAGAGTATGATCGACGTTGTCTGGTGCTTGTAATTGTTCAAGACGTATGGAGTTCCAAGAGTTGATATATTCCAATAAAAACTCCATAGTATTATTAGTTCTCAATTCTTTAAAAGATGGCTCTAAAAATTGTTCATAAAATATTTTGTTGACTTGTAGGTCTTCTAAAAAATCCTCATTCTCAAGTATATCCAACACATCGGACCAAGTTGCTTGAATGTTCTCATCTCGTTTGTCAATACCCCATTCAATCTCTGCTCTATAAATTGGTTCTAAATGATCTAAAATAAATACAGCAGCACGTGACACGCTTTGCCATCGAGTGGACACTGGTAAGGGAGGCTTCATTACATCATTAAAATTATTAAGGTCATCAATAATAATAGTACCATCTTGTGAATTAAAATAATTTTCAACAAATTGAAAATCGAATTTCAAAATAGTCACCAACCAGCGTAACGATTTCCAATCCGATCGTAGCTTTCGAACCACCTTTCCAACATGTCTTTCAAAGTCCTTATAGCATGTAATAAAGTGTTTGTATACCAAATTCAAATTATGGCCACAACAAGTAATCAGTGTTACGTTGAGCATGGTTGGCTTGGCAACTGCAATCACATTCGCCCCATTATCGGACATCATAAAGTCAACACGACGGCCATTCCATCCACTCTCAGCTTGTTTCACAGTTTCAAATAAGGTCTGTGCTGTTTGATTTAACATGGGTTGAATTTTTGAGCAAATGGTTGTCCTTTTGTACTTGAGTTTCAATTGACGCTCAAGTTGATACATTTTACGAGTGTCTTCTTGACTACGTAGCTGTTTTCTGAGCAACATGGTGTATTGTTCTGAAATTATTTCCAATTCCTCTTCATTCAAATGTTCAATCATGTTATAAAATATAGACACAAAACCATCACTTTCATCAATCATACGAGTAATTTTCCCTGGAGCATGTCGTAATTTATCATTAATAATTTCATCTATGGCTCGGGAAATGGCTTTCATGTGTCTTGAAAGACAGCTATCCGATGGCACATCTAATATCTTTTTTCCAAAGAATACGTGTTGGAAAGCATTATTACAAATTTCGAGTTTTCGGATTGGTATGTGAGTTTCCTTGAGTGCTCGAAATAAATTCAAAATGTAGTGGGAGTGGTATTCGGTGCGATTATTTTTTTGCGGGGTAAGTGTAGCTGCAACCACATTTATGCCTTGAATGTCCATTCGTCGAGATTGCTCTTCGATTGGTAATAACACATCTTGAGTAGAAACTGTCCTTGAATTAATTTCTCGAGAGGAGTGTTGAAGAAGGTTATGACGGACCCATTTAGAATTCTTGTTTTGTTTAACTCACTCATGTGTGAGATAAGATGAGTCACAATACGATCCCTGCGATCTGACTTGTATCCACATAAACAAGTCAAAGAAAGATCTGTGCGAGCTTTAAGTGCGTTTACGAGTGATCGATTTCTCAAATTTTCTACATACTGCGCAGATGGCATAATAGTGTTCAATTTTTTTGTTTGCTAAAGCAACAACATTTAACGTACTTCATTCGATACCAACCTCACTCTGGATATAGTAGTCTTCTATTCCTGACGTCAACACTGTTGTTCCTTTCAGAGTTTTGGACTTAAACATCGTATTTGGTTGTCAGATCTGCCAGTTTGTGGGGAACCTTGCTTCTTTCGGTTCGTAACGGATTCATTCGGAAATACCCAATTATCTCAAAACCAAGGTTCAAAGTCCATTTGTTCATGATGACATCACTTCAATCTTCCCTTGCCACGATGCGCACCTTCAAAAAACGAAAACCAATTCATTTTCAAAAAAAAAGCTCTAACCACATAATCCCGAAGAGTGATTTTTCTCAAGTCGGACGTGTTCTCTTCATCTTTTCCAGCAACATTGATATTATCCGAGTAATAGATATTACCAGTGTAGAATAACAATGATTGATAATTTTACCGTTCTTACTAAAGGAGGATTGGTTTTGTGGAGCCATACTGGATTTCAGTTGAATGGAAATCCGATCAATGAGTTGATTCGCTCAATCTTGTTAGAAGATCGTCTTTCGGAAAAGAAATTTACCTATCACAATGAATACTTGTTAACTTGGGTTCAAGAAAATGAATTTGAATTGATCTTCGTTGCAATTCATTCAATCTCTATTCAAATTATTTTCATTGACACCCTTTTAGAAACAGTGAAACAAAAGTTTGTTTCCACCTTCAAAAAGACTTTGCAAGAAGCTAAAGGAATCGGAAAGGGAATGCCATCTCTGAGCAATGTTGAATTTAATTTCGATAAAGAATATACCAAGATTGTTGACATGCTTGAAGAAAGATCCCGAGAAGAAAAACAATTACAAAAAGAAGGACTTCTCATTAAGCAATATAAAAAGAAGGAAGATAAGAAAAATGATGATGAGGATGAATCTGACAAAAAGACAACATTTATTGAAAAACAAATCATGCAAGGAGAAGAATTGTTACAAAATGCCGCCAACTCACCAAAAACACCAACAAACAAATATGAAAAGAAGAAGAAGGATAAACCATCTGCTAAACCTGTCACTCCAGCTTCGGAATCTGATGAAAGTGACGAGGACGAGCACAAATCTAGCTCGAGCCAGAAAGCATCTAATGGCGGTATGAACGAGACTGTGTTGGCTAATATAGAGAAAATGAAGAAACGGTTAAGTAAGGTAAAGAATGGCCCAAAGAAGTCTTCAAAGAAAGTAGACTCTCCAGAGGATACGGTTCCAGTAGCCACAAAAACAAAAACTAAGAAGGAGGCAACTACTTGGGATACCTTTGATACAACTTACAACAAGAAGAAGGAAGGAAAAATTGACTTTTCACGTAAAGCTGAAAATGAAGATGACGAGCTCCAGCGTCACAAAGACAAATATTTGCCAAATCCAAATCAACAAACAGATATCGATGCAGATTTAGAGCCAGAAAGCTCTGAGGAAGAAGAAGAGGAAGCAGCACCAAAGAAAGGAAACATTTTTACATCATTCTTCTCCAGCTTGACAAATGGCAGAACTCTCACAAAAGAGGATCTCGATCCGGTAATGGAAGAATTCAAGCAATCATTGATGAAGAAAAACGTCGCCCAAGAAATTGCTGTCAGTATTTGTGATTCCGTGTCAGAAGGTTTAGTTGGTAAAAAATTAGGAACATTTTCGTCAGTTAAATCCGAAGTCACAAAGGTGTTAGCAGAAACCCTCACAAGAATCCTTACACCAACTAGAACAATTAATATTCTCAAAGAAGCATCGACAGCAAGAGAACAAGGAAGACCCTATGTCATTGTATTTTGTGGAGTGAACGGAGTTGGTAAGAGTACTACCTTATCAAAGATTTGCTACTGGTTGTTACAAAAAGAGTTTTCTTGCTTGATTGCCGCTTGTGACACATTTAGATCAGGTGCTGTTGAGCAATTGCAAGTCCACGCTCGTTGTTTAGGTGTACCTGTATTCCAAAAGGGTTATGGAAAGAACGCAGCCAGTCTTGCTAAGGAAGCCATTGCTCATGCCAAGAAGAACAAGTACGACATTGTCTTGGTAGATACTGCAGGAAGAATGCAGGATAATGAACCTTTGATGAAGTCATTGATCGAACTTATCCAAGTCAATCAACCAGACCTCGTTCTCTTTGTTGGTGAAGCTCTGGTTGGTAACGATGGTATTGATCAATTGCAAAAATTCAATTCTTCACTCAAGATTTTGGCTCAAAATGAAAATTCCACAAAACAAACTAAGGACTTGATTGATGGAATTGTGCTCACGAAATTTGATACCATTGACGAAAAGGTTGGGGCAGCTGTTTCTATGGTTCACAAGACAGGACATCCCATTGTGTTTGTTGGTGTGGGTCAAACCTATACCGATTTACGAACCCTTAAAGTAGAATCTGTCGTGAAAGCATTGTTGAAGAATTAAAAATACTTTGTGTATAATATACATATTGTTGTACAATTTTAATACAAAGTGAACAACATTGGATTGCATAATGAAATCAAAAACAGTGGTTTCTTAGTAAAACAAAGTTACTTTAAATTTATTTTGTGCTACGAAGCTGAGCCCAAACTGTAGGTCCAAAATAATGTCAAGAATATCACTGCAAGCTCCACCAATTGAATGGCAATGCTATATTCCATTCTCACACTCTGAACTGCAGGTTGTTGTTGCTGTTGAGGAGGGTTGTTATTTTGGGGAGGTTTTGGTTTGATCTCTTGATCTATCCCATGATGAACCCCAACAGAAGTTGCTGCTGACACAAGAGACTGCAGTCCGCTTGGGTCCACTACTCGTAAATGAACCGTATCTTCAAGGTGGTGATGATGATGGTCTTGCATTTCAAATTCTTCAGAAAATCTCTTTCCATTACCTCCCAATTTCAGAGTTCCTGAATAGACAATCACCAAAAACATGGAGACATAAATCAAATCCAACAACATTGCTCCCAACAAGAAGTGAAGTAGTCTCGTTTGTTTTCTCTGAACGGCTATCACAATCATGGTTCCAATAATAATCTTGGGCAAAAACACCAACACTCCCACCAGTGAAAACTTGTCAAATAGAAAAGCTTGTCCTGCACACAGTGCATTCAATATCATTTGCATTAGAATGTGAAATAGAAAGAGACCAATGGTTGCCACTCGCCTACACTGATGAGACGCGAAGAATTGAGAAGAACATTTTCGCCATGTTTTTGAGCATCTAGTTGTTGCGGAGGAGGAGGAGGAGGAGGAATGAACTTGATGAGTGAGGATGAGCATGGGTTGTCCATCTTGTTGTTGTTCATCATGATCATCCTCTTGATCTATATTCCAATGAGAGGCTCTAGTATTCAATGAAGAGGAGGAGAATTTTGTCGTGGTGGAGTGTGGGTGATGGAGTGAAATTAGATTTTCGTTAGATTCAACTGTTGTTCTTGAATTCATTGTTTGTGATGATGTAAGTGGTGTTGGTGGTGATGAATTGGAAATGGAAATTGGATGTTTCATGGAAGGTATTGAATTCAATGGTGGTGATGATGATGGAATATTCATTGTTTGAGCTGGATCAGTAACAAGCCGTCGTGTCTCTCTTTCCATTGGTTCTCTAGAAGGAATCAAGGTCTCGAGAGGTTGAGAAATGCCATACGTCTTGATGGAGCGTAGAGGTATTCGCAAAATATCAATTCCGTTCAATTCGAATGGTTGTTGTTGTTGTTGAATCGGTGTGTACATCTCAACGTTGTTGTTGTTGGATGTTTGTAGTTGGTTTGTTGTTGTTGTTGATGAATGAACACTCATCACAAAAGCTGCCAAATGTCAATTTTTTGTCGTTGGCTTTGATGGTGAGGTGTTCTTTGGTTTCGAACTGACAAAATAGAGTTCACTACGAACGAACAACAGCGGATATGAAAAGCACATTTCAACTGTCATTTTGAAAATAGAGTTTGGACATGTAAGGGTATTACTAGGGGGAATGGCGGTCTAGTTTTAAAAAGATTAAGGGTTTTCAGGTCTTTGAATTCATGAACCTGTTCATTGCCCTCTTGCAAAGGTTTCATATGACATGCTCTCTCTATTGTCCCTCTTCTTATTGGTGGGAGTTGAAAAAATCTCCTTATTTGGGTTGACATGCATCGATCCTTCTCGGCGAAATCAGAATTTGATCAAACGCCACCACACACGAATAAATGTCTGCACGACCATCCCTCTCATCCTCCACCACCGAAGAAGCAACAACATCTTTTCCTCAGCTGCCGCTCATGAGTTCCGAAAACTCCTCAAATAGACCACACTCTGAGGTTATTGTTGATGTTTCATCATCGTCCCAGTACAAACCCGAAAACCAACACCACATTCATCATCATCCTCTCTCTCGGAAGGATCATGATGCCTCTCAATCGGCGTTGCTTCTCCTGGATGGACACAGTGAGGATGAAGAGGAGGAGGAGGAGGATTTAAGTGAGGAAAATCGAGCCTTCATTCATTCCCATCATCGTCAACATCGAGAGCATCAACAACTCTTAACCAACAACACACGTACGACATCACTTACTTCTCGTGAAACAACCCGCAACAAGAACCCACCACCATCATCATCGTCTTCCCAAAAGGAACTCGTTTCTCTCCATATCCGATTCCCTAAATATTACTTGACCATCGCCAAACACATGTTGATCTTTATGGGTGTCATGATGCTGCTGGCCATGTGCTCTGGATTTGTGTTCCGAGAGAGTACCAAATGGAGTGTACCTTATTTCCGAGTGGGAGAGTATGCCTATCAACAGGGCACTCTCATTCATGGACACTTCTTTACGATTGGAGTGTTCATTCCATTGGCCTTATTGGTCATGCTTTTTGTTTCATACATGATTTCGGGAATGAGTGTGAGTAGGGGGATCTTTCATGGAGGATTCATCATTTTCGAAATTGGAGCCATTCTCGCACTCTTGGCTTTCTGTTATAAGGCTTTCTCGTTCTTGTCACTCTTGAAAGAATCGCCAAATGTAAACATTCATGAATTGGAATTAAGGACTTGGGGTTCGACAAGCTCATACGGAGGAAAAAACGATGGCTCTGGATCAATGGGAGCAAAAATGTTGAGAATGGTTTATTTTGGTTTGTCACATGGCTTTATGCTTATTGGACTTGCCAAGTGCGTACTTGTGGTTGTGTATTCTTTACTTCGAAAAAAGAATAATTAATTCAATGATTCAAACAAATCCAACAAATGTATTCATACAATGTAAATTATGCACATTTCTCAATAAATTGAGCGTCAATAACAAAATCTTCATCGAATGTCTTTTTCGATGACTTGGATGACTTTTTAGACTTTTTCTTTGGTTTAGCCTTGACATGAGAATGTGGTAAATCTTCCGACTCTTCAGAGAAGTGTTGTGAGCTTTCGAACATGTCGTTGATTTCATCATCTATAGAGTTGTCACTTTCAGAGGTACTCTCGTGAGAACGAGCTGACTCAAATCCAGTTTTTGCAATGATTACACAAATTCCTTCATGGTCACTATACTCCGACCTTTCAACATTAATGTCTGTAATATATGGCTTTTCATTAAAATTTACATTATCTGGTAGTGAAACTCTTCTGTGAAAGGTTACACTCTCGATATGACTTGCGATCGGCTTTAATTTTCCTTTTATCACAATACTGTTATCTGATTTATCAAACGTTGCCTTTGCACTCTTTTTTGTAAGTCCAGGACATGTAATAACCAATTCATGATGATCTTTTTCCTCATGCCAATTAATCGCGACACTGTCATGATTTTGGTGCTCTCTGTCATATTGGAATGCTTGGTCAAATAAATCTGGAGCCATGCCCATCATGGGATGAAAGAATGCACTTTCATCTCCAATATCACCATCATAATGTGAAGAGGATTCAAACAGAACAAAGTCATCATCTCCGTCCACAAAGAAGCTTTGCTGTATTCGCTTTTTCTTAGATTTAACCACTGCTCCACCATGTCCCTTTTTTTTCATTGAGATTGTACAACCCGAAAACTCTCTAATATTTTGTTTATCGCTATTTCGTAATGAGTTTGTTGTGATCAATAATGGCAAACCATATTTTGCCCAAACATTTCCGAACTTGTTGTTGTTGGTGGTGGTGGTTGTGATGAAGGTAGGCGAGGAAAGCAGTCTCTTCATTTTTTTTGTGCGAGATGATCCTCAAAAAACTAGTTAGAAGGAGTCCGATCATTCGAAGAATTTGGTTTCTGGCAAGAATGTGCAACGAATAGACAAATTGAAGCTTTGATCTTGTTGCCGAGATTGGCCCATTTATATATGGAAAAGAATGTTGTCATCATTTTCTGTTCCATCTCTTCCAAGAAGTTTCAAACAATTTGCAAAACAAAAAAATGAGTCTTGATCTCACTTCAACACCGTCCTTGCCAGCTTTGCTTCCGGCTGGATCACACAAACAAGACAAGAGTGAGAGAAAACATTTTCCCGAACGAAGGGTGAAAAGAGAGTTGACATTATGGAATGGTATAACTACGAATTTAGGAGATCAACAATTTTGTTTCGGAGAAAGCAACACCAACAGGATACAATCAATAATCATCACCAATGAAGATGATTCAGAAAAAATTATTACTGCTTTACATCTTTCAGATAAATTGATACATATTCTAGTGAATTACGAATTAAAACAAATAATAAGATTTGCTTCAAACGATGTAAAGATTCTATGTCATCATATTTATCAAAGAAAGAAGAATAAGATTTCTATCATATTAAGTTGCTCTGATTCCAATATTTATTTATTTGAAGTTTTAAAGAAAGAGAAGAAGAGAAAAAATACTCAACGAAAATCAATGCAATCTGCATCCAAGCAAACACCTTCCATTTTCTCAAGAGTAGATCCTTGCGATGTGAAAAGCTTTTCGTCAGATTGGAAAGATTACTTTACATCCAGTGAAGGAATTATTATTAAGGAAATATCGGACTCTGATGTTTTACAAAAACTTCCAGAGCCTATTTATCAAATACAATCCATCGAACCAGAAGTAATCCAAAACCTTGTTGGTGAACAACCAAAGAGAAGTAGTAGGCACATTTTATTGTTCTCCAAAATGCAGATCTACAAGATGTTTCAAGACGAAGTCTCAGATGAATTGAAACTTGTTCCTCATTGTAAAACGCCTTCAGTGGTTCATTCGAGAGTGACATGCCTTTATTATCCAACCAATACAAGCAAAATATCCCAACTCTCAGATCAAAATAGTTACCTCCTCACTGAAGGATTTTTTCAAGCCCTCTTTGGAAGTGAATTTATTCTAATGTCATCCTGTATTTGCTTGATTGGTTGTGAAGATGGGTCAATTTTTTGCTTTCCTTCCAATAAGAATATTATTGATAGATTTTCTGAAATGAGTTGTTATAGGACGATATTGACTGTAAGAAATTCAGTCCAAAATATTATTCCACTATCAATATCCATTAACACTGACAATGAAAGGTACAACTCAATTATTTGTGTGAGGTTTGTAGAATTTAACTATTGTTCAATATTCTAACCTTCAAATTAGCCATGAAGGACATATAGTGTTATTATATCATGATAGAGAGCAAATCATCAAAAGGTCTTGTTTTATTAATATCAAAATAACCTCCTCAATAGTAGTTAAAAACCAATTGATTGTGTCAAACAATAATGGATCCCTATTTTCTTTCACTATTTACGACAAGATCCAATCAACTGATGCATTCTCCAAGACATCTAGTGTTATCAAGTTATTTGACTCTGTAGAACTGAGAGAAATACCCTCAGAATCAAACATTTCTGTTTTTCATGAATTTAAGGCAAAGAAGTATCATCCCTTTCACTTTCATTCCTTCCCAAATACAGAATTATCACTTTCACGGTTAACCTTCTCGCCTCAGGATGAAAAGAAAAAGCATATGAGAGCAAAAGGAGCATGTACAGTATTCACTAAATCTGGAAATCTTGAACATATTATAATACCATCACACACTACCATTGACGACTGGTTGTGTCACTCTGTTGCTCCGAATAGATTACAAAATGGAATTCGAGATATGATACAGCAAGTGGATGAGAGTTTTACCGTATTGGATGCATCCAAAAGGGAACAAGAACATTTGAACAGAGAAATTTACACACTCAATACAGCCATGCATTTACTTCATGAGTGGAAGGAGCAAGGAAAGAGAATATCGAGTAATATCAAATGCTTCACCCGGAAAGAAGACATGCAACCCGTAATGGAATGCAGTGTGTATAATGGAACAGATTTCGTGTTGACCAATCAGTGGAGTAGTAAGTATTTTCAATATAATGGACTAGTGACAACTCCAATAATGCAACTTGTAGTTATTGTATTAGTGGATTGGCACCACCACAACCTGATGTGTTACTCTTTTCCTATTAACCATTTGGACAGCACGAGTACATGGATGAGAACTATTCCAATCACTTTCCACAGTGGACATTCATCATTTAATGTCAGCATCATACTCTCTTTCAATCAAACAGAAGGCCATTTTTCACTGGTGCTCAAAGAACAACGTTTTAACTTGATGGATTTACTCGACACAACTTTGGAACAATCAACCCCAAGGTCTCATGCATACTTGTCTGTTCCTTCCCCAAATAATATGAGATCCACTTCAATGCGTCTCCGTAGCCTATTTCAAAAATATTACAAGAACAAAAGCATTCCCTATTTCGACCACTTGAATACATTGTTGACCAGCACAATTTCACACAGCTTTAAGTTGAAAATGAACCCTCTTGAGGATCGATATACAATGAATTGGGAAAGGATGTTGAGAATACCTCTTGAAGAAATATCGAGCTTGAGTCAAGACGATTGGGCAGCGTTTATTGATAGTAGAGAGGCCACACTATCCTCCAATAACTTTGCAACACCTTCATTGTTGAAAACTCCAAGCGGAGAACACCTGAAGCTCAAAATCTCAACCTCTCTTGGAGGGCAAGCATTTGATGTGTTTCTTCAGAGTAATCAATTTGGATGTCTTCTTGCCTCTCGAGCAGCCTTTTTGGAGAAGCTAAAACAATATTTATTGGTTCGACAGAAAATTGATTTTACACTTGCTTCATATCCGAGAATTACCCCAAAAGAGGAAATTATTGAGACAATCAAGTCTTTGCAAAACATTCGAACAGCTGCTTCTCAATTACTGGCAGAATTCGAGCAAGTAGAAGAACTATGGCACTCTCTTCATTCCAAACGAGACAAGAACCACTCTGACGCCACTGTGGTGAGCACATCAAATACTCCACTATTGACTCTTCTTCATCAGTTGAACAGTTTAGACAAGAAAATAGTGGAGACCATGAAGGAATTGAGACAAACGAAATGTGGTCTGTAATATTGAATTCTCTGAAAGAGCCATATGTGGGGTTCAAGTCTTCTCATTGTAAACTTTTATCTTTGGTTGACCTGGTCATGCTTGAAAATTTCGTTTGAAAAAAATACGCCAAAATCACACTCAAGGTTTGTGTCATTTTTTTGTTTGATTGTCTTTTGGAACTGACAATATTAATTCTCCAACAGTGAAACAATAACAACATGGGCTACGAAAATATCTGGTTCTCTCACCCAAAGAACAACGCCAAGGGTGCTAGAAGATGCAAGGTTTGCGGTAACAGAAAGGGTTTGATCCGCAAGTACGGTATCGGTATCTGCAGACAATGCTTCAGAGAAAATGCTGCTCTCATCGGCTTCACAAAGACCAAGTAAACCCATTATTCACCAACAATAAAATTATCAAATTATTATTATGATTTGGCCTTCCGATTCGTTTATTCTGCAGACACTAATACACTTGGCTTTCAATCTTGGACTTGGCAAAGAATTGTTTGGCTCTTCCACCAGGGAAGTTGTACTCAATATCGTATCCTTCGGTCACTGGGTAGTGAACTGCGTTCTTTGCTTGCAACACTGTGGCACCAAATGGTGGCACTCCTGGAAAGACATTATTGGCTCCGAAAAGTGCTGCATTCCATGCGGCAGGGAATGTGAATCCGTTGTTTCCGAAAGCTCCAAAGAACAAGTTTCCGTTTTGAAGACCAGGGAACATCATTGCTTGATTGGGTCCATTCTGGAGGAATAAGGCGTTATTGGTAAATAATTCATTATTGAAAGGATTGAGTTGTGCATTCCAGAACACACCATTATTGCCATTCCACACATTAGTCTTCCAAAAATTGGCTGGGAAATTGGCTCCAAATGGTACTGGATTCATAAAGAATGCATTTGGAGTTGCCCACCATGTATTCGTCACAGGCCATACAGTGTTGGTATCTTTGGTCTCGGTTGCATCTTTCTTGTCACCTGTTGTGTATAGCTCTGCTTTTATGACCATGGAAAGCATTGAGGCAACGATCAAAAACGAAGCAAGAAGACTAGATTTCAAAACCGATGACTTCATGGCTAAAGAGATTGCTTATTGGTAAGTTGCGGTTTAAGTAGTTGTTAAATTCGAAACTGCTAGGGGTATCGATCTATTTTCTTCAAGTAAGATGCTATCTAATCACAACACAACCGACTCTTCATATCCTCTCAACATTCATTCCTTTTGTGGAACATTGATATATGGGTCAATTTTACTCCAAAGACATATTTCCATAATGTCACCTCAAATATTGAGTGCTTTTATGAACAATGAAGGTAGCTCAAGGAATTAACTTTGTGGAAGAGCAAATTGGCGCCTTTTCATTTTACAGTGATCGTCTGTTGTATGAAAGTGTTGCTGCTGGACAGAATCAAAAAAATTGAATCGATTGAGTTGTAGTCAGTCTTGGATTTGTATTCCGACAACAGCAACAAAAACAACAATTCATAATAACAACTTTGAATAGAGGTTTTAATTTTGTAAATATACAAGATGGTATGTGATTATGTCGAGAATCATCGGAATGCATGAAATATATGTTGGAGGATCGGAACATTCAATAATGTTATTATGTATGCCTTTTATTGATATCGGAAACGTAGGTGTTCTTTTTGCGAGACGCAGTAAAAGCATGGGAGGAAAAAACAGGTCAAAAAGTGGGAGAGGCCGAACAAATAATGTTATATGGTTGGGTACCTCCTATTGAAAAGATGGACACAACTGTAGCTCAAATGAAAAATTGTAAAAGACTTGCACTTTCAACAAATTGTATTGATAGAATTGGAGGTCTGCAAGGCCTTGTTTCTTTGGAAATATTGTCACTTTCAAGAAATCAAATCAAAAGATTAGAAAATTTAGAGGCAGTGGCCCCAACTTTGGAACAATTATGGCTTTCGTACAATAATTTAACCTCTCTGGCTGGCATTGAAAAGCTGAAGAAACTAAAAGTTTTATATTGTGGAAATAACAAAATCAGTTCTTGGTCAGAAGTGGACAGGCTTAAAGAGTTGCCAGAGCTTGAGGACTTGTTACTTCAAGGCAATCCTTTAGAAAAGAATTCCAAAGACAACGGAGAAAACTGGAGAATTGAAGTGTTGAGGAGATTACCAACTCTTAAAAAACTGGATGGAAGGTCCTTTGATTTAGCAGAGAGAGAGCAAGCAGAAGGAGCTCGAAAGGACATGGGTGAATAAAATCATTATTGCATGATTTTCAAAAGAGAACAACACTATTTCATCTTGGTCGAGTACTGGACACACCACTAAAACATCTCAAATACCATATTTTATCCATTCTTGAACATTCACCCATTGATTCCTCTCAAATTATCCTATTCACCATGTCGTTACTTCTCGGACGCTGTTACTCGACGATAGCGGCCTGAAATTGACTGAAGCTCTCGCATTTTTTGCTTTTTTGGACGAATCTCAAACAGCAAAAAATCAGAGCCAACTCTTCCCTCTCTCGTTCTCACGCAACATTTGTTCTCTTAGCCATAGCTCGTGTTTTGCGATCATATGGAAAGCCTTTTGCGAGCGAACAATCACCAATATTCCACTTATTTCAACAACAACAACAATAATTGTTCGGACTTTGATTTTGCTCTGTTACTACAGTAGTAATTATTCAATAACTTTGATACAAGATGGAGTCTCGAGAGAACATTGAAAAATCTTCATCCGAATTTGTCTATCAACAACAAGAATTCAACACTTCTTCCCAGACACAGCAAGCAATTAACAATGCAAGTGGTAATATCAAGGAATCAAACACTGGATCAACAACAGATTCAAAGAATTCGTCATCAGATTCAAACCAAGACTTGGGTAAGAGAGGACCAAAAGTCTACTGTGGCTTTATTAGAACAGACAGATATTTGGGCATTATTGAGCTCAAAAAGGGCGTCACTTGGGTGAATATAACATGCTACTATGCTTTGGTTATCGTTCTCATTGGTATTTTCGTTTTCATAAATTCAATGGCAAGTTATGTCTTTGAGGCTTATTTAAGAGGCCATGTAAACAGGAAAGATCAAGGAAAATTGGCAGGTATGTATTGTACAAGTTATAGTTGACATGACTTTCAATGAACTCATTAATGACTATTGCAATCGATGAACACAGGTGATCTTTCTTTCTACAATGAAATTTGTATCATTGTTTTTGGTATTTTTTGGGGAATTCTGACGGACCTCCTTAAAGGAAGAAAGTTTGTGTACATGGTTGGCTTTTTGTTGATGGCACTTGGCTTATTCTTATACACATTTGCATTGACTCCAGGTCAATTAATTTTATACAGAGTAATTTTCGCTATCGGTGCTGCAAGTACCAGTAGCATGCTTACTGCTATTTTGGGAGATTACGTGAGAAATAAGGACAGAGGAAAGGCATCTGGCCTTCTTGGGCTTTGTTCTGGTTTGGGAGCTGTTTTATCTGCCTTGGTCTATTTGAAAATACCGCAATGGATTCAATCTGCAAATCCATCAATTCCTTCTGGTCAAGCTGGATTTATTGCATTCGTGATCATGTCCTTCTTTTGTGTGGCCTCAATGTGTGCGATCATGATGTTTTACAAAGGAAAGATTTTCCCAATCTGTGAGAACTATTTTGCCAAGAAAAAGACCAAAAACATTGACGATATTGAAAGCAGTTCAGATGAGGAGTCTGACAATGAGTCATCATCAGATAATATAATGGTTCGATACTTGAAACGAATTAGAGACGTTATGGTACAAGGTTTATTCCAAGCTCCAGCAAAAAGGCCATCTCTCATTTTAGCATATGCATCCAGTTTTGTTGCAAGAGGTGATGCAACATTGATCACTACGTTTATTACATTGTGGGTCTCTCAACAAATGATTAACCTTCATGATTCCTCCAAAGCAGACGCTGTTGCAAGAGGAGGTACAATTTCTGGGGTTTGTCAAACATTTGCCCTTGTCGCTGCTCCATTTATTGGAGTTTTTGCTGATTTGAGATTTAGAAGAAAGAAGCAAGACCCATCTCAACAAGACCCAGATACATTCATCAGAAAGATGGCTAGATTAATTACCATGGCAGTAGTTTCAATAATATCGGGTGTTGGGTACACAATGTTATCGTTCCTTTCTGACGTGACAGGCGGATTTGTGTACTTACCAATTGCTTTGATTGGTATTGGTGAGATTGGTGTCATTGTGTGCAGCCAAGTGTTGGTCACTGCTGAATCTCCAAACCGAGTTAGAGGAAGTGTGAGTGGTATTTTCACACTATTCGGTGCTGCAGGCATTCTGTTAGCCACCAAGGTTGGAGGAGTTCTCTATGACGATTGGAAACCAAGTGGCCCATTCTTATTCTATGGTATGATCAACTTTGCTCTCTGTTTGTTGACTATTGGCTTCATTATTGGAAACGTTATTTATTACAAGGTTTGGAAGAAGAAAGAAAGGGTATCTCCAAAAGACACAAGTGAAATGCCATAAGAAGGAGTTTTCAATGAACATTGAGGAAGTGTTTCTGACATGAACGCATTGCACCTTGCAAAATATTTTTGCAAATGCCTCAAAGACGACTAAATAAGATGAATCTCCTGCAAAGATGTCAGTCATCATTCAAAAAAATTAAAAAACAAGAATTCAAGATTAATGGCAATCATCAAAAATCAAAGAACCAACACGGCGGCAAGACCAGCTCAAACACCATCTATTTCATCACCAGCTCCATCATCGTCCAATGAAAAACCTCTCCGACATGTCGCCTCTGGAGCGGTTGCAGCCAAGAAACCTCCTGCATCATCAAAACTAACAACGACCATTCTTGTTAAACAAGAGAACAACGTCAAGACACAATCATCATCATCCACCAAAGCCTGCAAATCCAACAAAACCAACACAACCAAACAACCCAACAATACTACTGATCATGTGAATTCAATGAATGTGGACACTAGTAATGATGTTGTTGACATCTCCATCAACGTGATACGACCTTTGAATGCACCAAGGTCTGAAGCAATTCAGCAAAAATTCACAACCAACAAACAACAACAATCCATAACTGGATCATCTTCTATAATATCACCACCACATGCCAACTCTTCGATCCACTCCACCACAAGATCTCCATTGAAAAGACTCATTTCACAACTCTCCCGAATCATCCCCTCATCATCAGATTCTTTATCCACCATCTTGAATGAAATTGATCAATATTTGGAAGAATCTGAATTTTCAACCTCTTCATCACTCGTCAAGTTCTTTTTTGACATGATACAATCCGAAGATGTGGAAGCAGTGGTGAGAGCCTTTCAATACTTGATACTTGAAGAATATTTCTACACATGCAAGCAAGAAGAGTCGAATAGATCCTCCCAATGCTTATTATGATTTAATGACTTGCTTACGAGTGGCCTACCATTCAAACACAATGAGTTGTCTCGATAAGGTCATTAAGAGTGGAAGACAGGATTGCTATCGACAATTTTTTCTTCTCAACACCACGGATTTGTCACTCTTGTTTAATGTGGACACGAAGAAACATGTCATCAAAACTGAGGGAGTGAATACTTCAACACATTCCACAATGACGACAATGATTTCAACAACAAATTCCATCACTCCCAAACAAGAACGGCCTGTTGTGAAATCAAACTCCTCAAGTAGTTCCTTAATACCACCTTCATCACCCACAGAGAGTTTAATATCAATTCGACCACCACCACCACCTCAACAACAACAACAACAAACTCTCTCAACCAATAATCATTCTTCCTCTCAAGCAACAACAACATCAACAACTACGACATTAGGACCAAAGATGTTGACAGATTCAACCACCCACTCGACTACTCTTCTTCCAAATACAGATTCAACTCAATTACTGAATTTACCTATCAAGCAAGAACCAACGAGCAAGCAAAGGAAATTAAAATTTACGTCTCAAGTACGAACGGATCTCATTGTTTATTGGAAAGATCATCCATCCGAGAGTGGAACTAATTTCTTCAAGTCTGATGAAACAATTAAAAAGTTTCTTAGACATGCATCTCTCGATGACTCGTACATTACAACACTGAAGAATAATGCAGGATCCATATTGTTAGAGTATGAAAAAGCAATGAAGAACTAACTTTGAAATTTTCATTAAACAAGAGAATTCATGTTTAAATAATTAAATAGTGAGCCTTTAATGCTGTCTCTTGTATCAAAAAGACCAGAGAGACCACATTTTGGGACTTGGAAGACGTCTCCCAGAATTGGGTGGGTTGTATTAGTGGTGCTTAATTGATCGTGTTCGTGTTCGAGATATAAGGGTTCAGAGAAGCTTCAGAATTTAGAGTCAAAAAATGTCTTCACAACTCACCAAGCTTGGCATCACAAAAATTCTGGAAGGAACTGTCGGAGCTCGCGGTTTTAAAATTATGTATAAATCTCAACAATGTTTTATTTCTCCATGGCATAACATTCCACTAATAGCCTCAGAAAAATCCAAACTTTATCATTATTTGAACGAAATTCCTCTCGGAACACTTAAAAAGATGGAAGTCAATACAAAAGAAGAACACAATCCAATCATACAAGATGAAAAGAAGGGAAAACTCCGAGAATTCACATACAGAGTAGATAAAGGAGGCATTCCTTTCAATTACGGAATGCTTCCTCAAACATGGGAAGATCCCAACAAGGTTATTCATGTACCATTCGGAAGTGTGAAAGATGGAATTTATCAACCAACAATTGCAGTCAAGGGCGATGGAGACCCATTAGATGTTGTTGAAGTGAGTGACAATGCATTGGAAATGGGAGAGGTCTATAAAGTGAAAGTATTTGGAATTTTAGGAATGATTGATGAAGGTGAAATGGATTGGAAGGTTTTAGCCAAAGTCGTGTCATCAGATGAAGAGCAAGCTTCAGATTTCTCGCAAGATATTTATAACATTCCGAAGAGAAAACTTAATGACATTATTGACTGGTTCCGCATGTACAAAACCACCGATGGAAAACCAGAAAATCATTTTGCCTTCCAAGACTCTTTCCTTGACCGTTCTTATGCTACCTACATTATTGAACAAACACACAAGCATTGGATGGAAAGACTACCACCTCAAAGCAAACATTAACTATCCAACTCAATAAATTGGGTCAACCTCAATTAAATTATTATTATTTTTGTAAATTTATTTAAGCAGTGAGTTCGCAGACACCACCAACAGCCTTTATCTTCTCTTCAGCAGTCTTGGAGAAAAGTCTTGCTCTGACAATGATTGGGATCTTTGGCAAATCACCTCTTCCAAGAACCTTATCGAAACCAGCCTTGTGAGCATCAATGACGACAGCCTTGTTTCCGAATTTACCTTCCTTTGCTTGGTTGTACACTTGTTCACCAGCAATCTTCCACAACTCATCGAGGTTGACGCTTGTAGTCAGGAAGTGGTTCTTGTTCATGTGGAATCTTCTGATACCAATCTTACCAAAGTATCCAGGGTGGAATCTATCAACCCAGATTCTGTGATGGTGTTGACCACCAGCCATACCACGACCACCAGGGTGCTTTCTGTGTTTACCTACACGACCGTGTCCGTGAGTAACGTGTCCTCTCAACTTTCTGCATTTCTTCTTTGTTGTGGCCTGTTGCGTTGAGAGAAGTATTAGTGAAATACACCCATATATGATGAATTAAGAGGATGAAGCAGTCAATATGTACAATCATTAGAAGAAGCGTGAGATACAAACCATTTTGATTTTGACGTATTTTTTTTCAACAAGAATTTTTCAAAAACTAGTCAACCCAAGCGTTAAGTTTACAACAAGTGGAAAATTTTCCAAAGAACCAACAAAACCTTCAGCCAAATAAATAGACCTCTTTCAAAACCACCCATCAGTCCAATTCCATCACCTAAACTACAGTCCATTCTAACTGCTCGTTCAACATATATTCAATATTCTCTTTTGAGAGTAGCTGTTTTACAAACACAGATTGCCCAAAAAGGCAACCTACGTAGCTTGTCTTTCATTGATGTTTGAAGCAACTTGTGGCTTTTTCTCCTGCAAAAACAATATCAACTGTTCTGTTTCACTATCCCTCTGAATCACTAACTTGCATGTCCGAAGCTAACGTATTTCTTCTTGGAAGACATCTTACCAACTCTTCCATTGTGTCCCATCATCATTCGAAATCACAAATTCCACCATCATCGACCAATTTACCATCATGGGGTCATCATAACCTCTCGTCATTCACCAAAATTAATATTCCAAATAATTGTATCAATTACCGCAAAGAAGATATCGATGTGCAAACTTCAGCCATGGTGTCTCAAGTCGATCAGGTCTCTATTGGTTCCGATTTTATTATGATCCTTTTATCGGATGGTTCTCTGTATTCTATGGGAATTAATCGACCTTCTAATCACTTGGGATTCACAGATGCCTCATTGAACACCTTTGAGATTGGCAAAGTATTATACATCAACTCTCTCAAAGGTCGGCCAGTGAAAATGATCGCGAGCGGAGCCTATTACACAATCGTTGTCACAAGAGATGATGATCTCTATGGAATTGGAAGCAATGACTATGGACAATTTCATGTTGATGGCTCAAGCACACACAAAAACAATGCAACACCTTATTTCATTGATTATGGAAAGACGAAGGAAGACAAAATGTAAGTATGCATTTTACAATTTGAAAATCAAACAAATGGAATGCACTTTTTCAATGTCAAAAACAGAACTCATGTTGCATGTTGTTTTTCTTTTTCTATCATTATCACAAATGGAAGAGAGTTAAGATTGGCAGGACAAGATTGGGTCACCGATGGAGGGTAAGTGTACTTTGACCATCATTATTCTGTGATGAAAATGTATCAATTTTTTGTTGACATCATCTGCACCAAATAGAAGTCAAAATAATTCATTTCTTGTTCGATCCAGACATGTCGCTAAGAATATTTATCATACATTTGAATCACCTGTTCAAGAAATTCGAGCTGGTGCATTTCACTTTGTAGTTGTACTTAAGGATGGGAGTGTTTATGGTTCAGGAAGCAACTCGAGAGAGCAGCTTGGTCAATCCTACTCAAGAAATGGTATTCAAAAACTTGTTCTGAGTCAACCATTGGTGACAGGTGCTTGTTGCGGATCTGATTGTTGTTTATTCCTTTCCGACAAGGGAGACATTGTAAAATCAGGATCATCAAGATATAGTTTCCTTGAAGAAAATCTCTTCAGAGATTTGGATAATTATAAGGACATAACCAATCTACACATGTGTGAACAATTATTGGGTATGGTCGGAAAACAAGGCATTCACTTAAGGTATGTTTCTATTTGGAATACATTCTTTACTAATTTGGTGAAATAATTTTCCAAACAGAGGAAATAACAACACATTCTGTATTGGGAATTTTGATGAAGAATTTTGCCAAGTGGATATACCCTTCGAGGCTCTTTTTAACACTTCGGTGGCACATGAGTATGTTGGAGTTTGTGCCAGATACTATCACATAGCATTCTTTTTAAGATTTAGCAAGAACATAACAAAACATTTTATTTTCATAACAAAAAGGATCAACTGTTCTGGTCTCAGTGATATTATAGTCACTACTTGCTCGTCTGGGTTCTGTCAATAAATTGAATGCATTAAACAGTATATACTCCCACATTCTCAAGTTGATCTTCATTGAGGAACCAAGGATACTCTTTAATAATCATCCAACGATTCAATGTTGTGTAATAATCCCATTTTCAAATAAATACTTTCTTTTCCGAAACAGCAGACTCACGAATGTACACCTCCCAATAGGGAAAAAAAGATAACACCCCTAACTTTCACTTCGTTGAAACAACTTCAATTTGATTGGTTCAAACGCTTTTTGCAAACCATTCTCGTGAAGCATGGATTTGTGCGAGAGGGTGTTGAAGCATGCTGTTGTTGTAAAAACCACACAAATAAATAAATCAGCTTCAAACCTCTTAATCTTGAGAATTCTCTTAAAAAGAAGAGAAACAAGTCATTGCTCAAGGTGTACAGTTGCATCTTCCCAGACACCATCACCGTGTGCACGGTCGAAATCACCATCATCATCACCCCAAGCCACGTTAACACCTCTCTTTTCCGTTCAGACCCTGAACTGCAATCACCTTTGAACCACCACAGACCTCCGCTTTGCAAATACCGCCACTCAAAAATTTCTTTCCCTTCCCATTCAGCGTCTCTGCTTTTGCGAGAGCAAGCCTCTTTCATTTGCGTTCAGGGCAACGCTGTTGCATCATATCCCTCTCCAATTTTTATATATAGTAGTATATAGTATAACAATAATTGTTTAAACACTTAGTATAATTCACCTTTCCTTCTTCTATTCACTTTGCTCCGTAATCTCATCATCGAGAATTTTTGATTTATTTACACGGCAATTCAGAAGTGGAGTTACAACTTACATCATCACCGAAAGAGAGTTTTATAATTATTTATTCATCATCACTGTATTCCGATTTTAATACTTTCTTTAACTCTTAGTTTTCTGCATTGTTTGATATCGTCCTATACGCGAAAGCTGTAATTTACAACTATTACACTCAACAAACATAATAATATTCTTATAGTACAATGATAAGTGGAGACAATTCTTCTAACAAACAAGCATCAAGTGGCGAATCTAATGAAGCGGAACACCATGCGATGATGGAGGACAACGTCGAAAGTCTAAGTGATGACTCGTATCAACATCCTATGCAAAGGAGATTTGTAAATAATCCCATGATGAGAGATCATGATGATCAAATACTGGAGGAAGATGACAACTGCTACGGTGGTGGTGGTGGAAATGATATTCACCCTTTCAACATGGGGAACATCCCCAACACCACGTCTTTCAACATGGGAAACAACAACAAATCTGGCGCTTTGCCAAACAGTAGTAGCGGAACTGGTTCATCTTCTCTTTCTCAAGGTGTAGCACAAAGTAAAAACGCTGCAAAGAAACGTCGTCGATTCACTCCCGAAGAAGATAAAAAGATCAAGGAGGGGATCGCCAAAAACAAGAAAGACAATAACATTGATTGGGATGGCGTAGCAAAGTATGCAGGAATTGAAAGAACCAAAGAACAGATTAAAAGCAGATATCTTAGAATGAAAAAAGAGGAACCAGAACAAGCTACCACGGCCCAGCCACAAGCAACCAGTAGCGGCTCATCTTCAAACACGCCACAACCTCAACAACCTCCAGTGTCACAACACCCAGCCATCACTTCACAAACTACGAATACCTATGTAGCCGCAACACCCACCAACGTTTCCTCAGCTCAACCTTCGCCCATAGTTTACATGGCCCCTCCAACACAACATGATCACCAACCTCCACAAAATACCTCTACCAAGCCTCATGACCATTCCCTTAGTGTTGAAAGTGAGGAACTCAACACTTCAGAAATGATACCTTCAACAAAAAAACAAAAGACTCTTCCTCAGATGTTCCAACAATTACAATCAGGCAAGTTCGATCCCAACTCCAAAAAACCTTCCACCTCATCTTCCATTCCTCCGAACTCTTCCAATCAGAACAGCAACAGCCTCTTTGGCGATATAAGCAATAGTAATAGCAGCTTTGCTCAATTATTTAACACAAATTCAATAGCTAGCGCTTGTTCAAATTCCACTTCTCCTTTGAATGACCCTAATCAACTGATCCAACAACATTTTGCCAAACTTCAAAATGAAATAGAAATTCTGAAGGACCAATTGAGACAAAAGGAAAAATATATAGAGCAAATAGAACCTAAAGTTAAGAATTATGACAATGAAATTTCTCAACTGAAAAATTTACTTCAAGACTATGAGATAAAAAACGTAGAAAGAACCAAAAGGTTTCGTGAGATAGCAGTTCAATTTTTGAGAGAAAGGGCTGAAAGAGAAAGAATTGAGGATAAAAAGAGAGTCAACGAAAAAACTATTACCATTGGTACCATTACCTATCAAAAGGGAATGGAAGTTTATGAAGTTTGGCAAGACGGAACGCTATTCCAGCAGTACAAGGAAACAGAAAATAGGATATCAATGGAAAGAGATAAGCTTGAAAAACAAAAAAAGACAATCCAAAAGCAAAGGCAGCAGCTCAAGAAGGAGCAGATGAGTCATGCTTCTGCCAATGATCCAGACTTTGCAAGAAGATTGGAAGAACAAATGAACGACTTGAATGAACAGGAAGAAACTATAAAAATTCGGCTAAACCATTTGAAGAAAGAAGAGACCCAAAATCAAGCCGAACAAGAAAAGCTATTAATTGAGAAGAGTATCCAGATTAGAGAAATTAAGAGAATTAGGGACCAAGAAAAGTCCATGTTCAAAAATTATCCAATTATTGGACATCAAAAGTATATACCGACTACTCCTGAGGGTCCAGGAACACCTCAAATCAACGGCCAACAACCTCAACCAAGTAATCACCATGAATATTTCCTTATGAAAATGCTTGGTAAAGGAGGTTTTTCTGAAGTCTACAAAGCCTACGATTTAACAGATTTCAAGGTGGTAGCATGTAAAATACACCAACTTAATCCCAACTGGAAAGAACATAGGAAAGAAAATTATATCAAACATGTCCTTCGAGAATGTCAGATCAACCAGAGCATTAATCACGACAAGCTAATCAAAATGTATGACACATTTGTTTTTGATAACAATACTTTTGTGACGGTTTTAGAGTATTGTGAGGGTGCTGATCTTGACTTGTACATTAAAAAGCACCAAAGGGTACCTGAAAGAGAGGCCAAGAATATTATTTCTCAAATATTTAGTGGACTCAATTACCTTAGCCAACAAAAACAAAAAGTGATTCACTATGATCTAAAACCTGCCAATATCTTATTTGACAAAGATGGAAACATTAAGATCACAGATTTTGGACTTTCTAAAATTATGGACGATGAAGAAAGCATAGAACTGACGTCTCAAGGTGCAGGAACATATTGGTACTTACCTCCTGAATGTTTTCATAACCCTTCTGGAGAAGGCCCACCACCAAAGATATCTAACAAAGTTGATGTCTGGTCTGCAGGAGTTATCTTTTATCAAATGCTCTATGGAACGAAGCCCTTCGGTAACAATCTATCCCAGCAGAAGATTCTTAGTGAAGGAACAATTGTCAATGCAACACAAGTTGGTTTTCCAGACAAACCAAGTGTGTCAGAGGAGGCAAAAGATTTTATAAGGCGTTGTTTAACTCATGATATGGCGAAAAGGCCAGACGTTAAAACCCTTTACAATGATCCTTATCTGAGAGGTACGACTTCCTCGTCGACAGGATCATCCTCCTCTAAAAGCAAGAAGAAAGACAAAGAACAATCTTCCAGCAACACTCCCACAAACAACATCACTCCAACCAACTTCCTTTCCTATCAACAATAGCCACACCACTGGTGTTCCTAAGACAATGTCGTAATCTTTGATTACATTATAAATGTGTGAAATTTAATAATTCATTTCGGCTCGCTTTTTGCGTTTTCTCTTTGTTCGAATCCTGCTTAATCTGTTGAAAGGTAAAATTATTATTATATTGCCATCTAGTCCCACCAACAGGTCCTGACTCAATTCACCAAGTATCCAATCGTTCCAAGAGTTTTGGACATGCCTATTCGAGCACTTGCTGGTCGTCGAGGTCCTGCTGAGAGTGGCCGCGATCCTGGAGGAGGCAACGGTGGAACTTTTTTCTTGTTGGAACCATACGTTGCTGAAAAAGGTCTAGTAGATGTATATTCAGGTAGAGAGGTAGGTAATAAGGAATTTACGGGTGTAGTTTGCAAATCTGTTGTGGATGATTCTGTAAATGATCTATCAGCCTCCATGGAAGTATTGTTCTTTGACAGTAGCTTCTCATAAGCAATCTTAATGTATTGCCATGCATTAAAAAATTGCTTTTGATCTCTCTAAAACTTACCGTTTGGGATTTGGAAAGAACTTGAAGATTTTCATAGTCACGAAGTTTTTCTTCGAGTTGCAAATTGCGTTGTTGAAGAGCAGTTTGGCTAGATGGATTGTAAAAGTCATCGTTTGGAATGACTGTTGGAAGCTGACGTCTTAATTGAGTCAATTCTCCAATGAGTTGAGTTTTTTCTTGCAGGAAATTCTTTTCAGCTTGTGACTCTCTGTTCTGGTGAAGAATCATTCTCTTCAGCCTTTTGTTTAATTCTTCAACTTCACGTTCTTTTTCTTTCAGTTTTTTCTTGTAATACGATGCTAATTGTGGATTTCTTTCAGCATTTTCATGGAAATGTTTTTCAATTTGTTCTCTCATATTTGCTTCTTCTTGGACCTTTCTTTTCTTCTTTTCTTCAAGGTTTGCATTGAAAATTGCCAAATATTGTTGCTTCATCTCAGCTTGGGATCTCCTCAAATTTGATACTTGGATTTTTAAAGTCCTTGATTCGCTTTGATATTTCTTCAACTCTTCTGAAAGCGAGTTAACTCTTTCTTGTAACTTTTGATTGACTTCTGTTAATTCTTGGACCTTTTCTCGACTTGCATTGGTTTTCAGAGATCGAACCTCATCTTTCATTCGTTTCAACTCATTCTCCATTTCTTTTTTCTCATTCTCTAGCTTTTGATAAAAGTTAATATCATTTTCATACTTTTTCAAAACTTGGTACTTTTCAGACTTCTCTCGGTTAATATCGAATTGATGCTTCGTTTTATCATTCTTAATTTTACTTTCTAGCTGTGTTATTTTCATCATTTGCACCTCTCTGTGACGCAAAATTGAATCTCTTCGATCAATCATTTCATGAAGCTTGTCGATATCTAGTTCCTTTTTCGCAATCATGTTAGCAAGCATTGCGTTTTCGTTCTTGATAGCGTTAATTTCTTCCGCAAAAGCTTCTGCCTGCTCATTTTGCTTCTGCTGAGCTTCATCTTTGAGCGCAATAGCCTGAATCGCTGCTTGTTTATATTCCTCTTTTTCTTTTTCCTGAAAACATTGGTAGAAGAGGTCATTGTATCAATAAATTTAACAAGAATTTGATGAGAATAGGCCAATTTTAAAAACTCACCAGTTGTTCAATTTTGATTTTCAATTCTTCTACCTTATATTCCGCTTCAGTTTTCCTTCGTCGTATCTGATCTTTAAGCTCGTTTTCGTAGTCATCTTTAAAAACTAGTAATGTTCGAAGATTTGCTTTCAATCGGTCCAGTATTACTAAGGGATTTTCTTTCTTCAGCTCCTCTTTTTCTCTCATTTCGATTTCTTTGATGTCCTCCACATTTCCCACAACTTCATAGCTTCTATCTTTCAACTCGAGATATAATTTAATAATTGCATCTTCGATTTGCTCCACTCGTGACAATTTTTCTTCCATGCTAAGCTGTTTTTCCTTTCTTTCTTGAA